ACGAAAAGTCAAAACCTCAACGTAACAATTTCTCCCATCCTTACCGACTCAGCCACTCCATTTCGCTGGAAAAATCAATTTTTCCGACGTCTCCTTTGTTTTGTGTTCACTGGATAAACCAGTTTTTCTGGCATCTATTCTGTTTTTTTGTTTCTGGCATCTATTTTGTTTTTTTGTTTGAGCTCTATTTTACTATTCACTGATCATTCTTGTTTTTTTTTCAAGATCTATTTTGCTGTTCATCCTTTGTTTTGTTGTTCAAGCTCTGTTAAGCATTTTTTGTTTAATATAACATTCACAGTGCAATGTTTTTCTCTTTTACACTGCTACTTAAAATGATGATGTAATCTTAAGAATTTCTTGAGCATTTATATTAAATTTTTGTGTACATAAATATTATGTATGCATATTATAATATTTTTTATACATTTTATTATATCCGACATAACCTATCATAGCGGTCGCCATAATTTTATGATAGATTTTTTAGTTTCTACTGTGAGCTGCCATTCGCAATTGATAACATTGGTTTAGATTCATGTTTAATCCTTATTTATACGTATTTATTTCAAAATTACTAGTTATAACTTCTACGTTGAATCTGAATTTATAGATTTTTTAACATGTTTCCAAACACACTTGATCAAAAACATTTTGAGAGTAGATTCTGATTTTGTGACAAGGACCAATGACAACTTCTAACCAAGTTGATTGACCCAAAAGCTTAGCAACGCTTAAATTCTATCTTAAGAATCCAACATCAACATATACAGTCGGAGTCCTCCTAAATGCTTTCTAGGGATGAGCAAAAAATCCAAATACAAAGGTCCAGTCTGAAACCAAAGCCCAACTGAATTTATAAAAACATTCATATATGAATCTGGTCCATATATCAAAAGTGGATATGATTTGAGAAAATCGGATTTCTTTTTCTCCTTCCTCTGAACCCTAGATTTCTATCAACAATGTCAATTAACCTGCAGTGAAGATTACTCGCAGCCTCTCGCAGGTACTCTCTTTTCCTCCTCTTCAATGGTTTTTCCATAATATTATGAAAACTGAGTACACTGTTTTTCACAATAAGATGATTCTTTTACAATTGTGTGTACATTGTACATACGGAACTTGTTGGCATGCTTCAAAGTTTAAACATGGAAGATACCAAAAACATTGATTTAGAACTAATTTATTGATTCTTTTCTCCCATGCACTGTGAAGATACTAGTTATTGTTGGTTTTATAGCAATGACATTGCCGTGATTTACATCATTTTGGGCATATCGGTAAATTTGTGTTTGATACTACAAATATTAACGATCAAGGTAGTTACAATTAGGGTATCTTGATTAACTAGGTTCAGACCTCTAATTTATCAGTTCTTTTTTAATTTATTAGTTGAAGTAAAGTGGTTGGTAAGTTTAATGTCGGATTTCAGTTTCAATAAAATGAAAATGCCTCAGTGTTCAAACTTAGTTCAAGATTAGTTATACAGTTATTTATGAGTATACTCTAACAAGTAACTAGAAATCTGAGTCAGCTGATGTAGCTCAAAAAAATTAAAAGAAAATTCAACTGAGGAAAATGATGTGATCTAAATTTGTAAGAAAGTGCTGAATTCAGATTCCCGTGGGAATGTTTAAACCTGCGGTTGATGTAAAAAAATGTCAAATTTTCTGCAATTGGGAATTTGTTAGTTTTGGTAATAATAATTCATGATTTTAGAGATATATTTATATTATGGTATTTCAAACGTGTTTATAAATACACACTGTGACTATTTTGTTTTAAATTTTGATTGTTGTTTTTTAGAGATATATGCATCCCTGAATCTAAAAAAAAAATTCACTATGTAGGGGTTTAATTAAAACTAGTAGCATTGCCAAAAATTGATTTGCATAAACAAGTAACCTTGGCATTTGTATAACCGCTCTCTGTTTTGACATGAGAACCAAATCTATCTTTTGATTATGCTTAATGGTTGTTCGTTAGGAGTCAAATTGTGCGGCTGATCCACCTTAGTCCATGTTTTAAATGACAGATTGTCATATTATCGTGTCCATTTAAGTGTAATATGAGTTTGATTTCATTCCTCATTAGGCAAGTAACAATTGGCAAGATCAACCGTTTATCAAATGTAAATATGATCCTGTTGTTGTGATGAAATTAGTTTTATCACTTTTGTCAACGTGCTCTATTTATCTAATGTCAACACATAGACTTTATATCAGCACCAGAAACATTTTGTTATCACTTCATTTATGTTTCGTTCTGTTAATTATAGGTGAAAGGGAAAAAGAATGAGGTTTTTAGTGGTTAATTTTATCTTAGCATTAAAGAGTGCAAGATATTTTGTAAAAATAAAATGAGAATTCAAATCATATCAGATTTGGTTTGCTCAATGCAGAAAATGGGTGGTGTCAACGAAAAGTTATCTTTTCTTAGTAGAATTAACAAAATGACATGATGTTATTCGCGTACATATAAATTTTCAATCCATAAAAGTATGAAACGTGGGTATGAAAAATCCAAAACAGAAAAGCATGAAAAATATTGAAGCGGTTAAGAGATATGATTGAATGCTTTTTAAGTGATATGGCCTGTTTTAAAATTAATTTTAACCAAAACTGAATTTAAAATTAATTTTAAACCAAATTTAAATTTTAAAATCAATTTTAAGCTGGTTTTTGAAAAAATAAAATAAAGTGGTTTAAAATTCAATCTATAAAATTGGATTAAAAATATATTTGAATTAGATTTTTATAAATTCAATTCATGCACATTTCTAATGCTTTGTGATACCAAACCCTGCTTTTAATGAATGAACTTTGTTGTCCCAGTGGGATATGGATATAGTCTTTCTGCCTTGCATGGAATGTCGCACTTCTCAACGTTGACTTTAGAGGATCCATGCCAAAATCTTTTACTTCATTCACGCCCTTCCCGTGAGAAACAATCTAGTTGTGTTTGAGTGGTAAACTCCATGATCAAGCAACAAGTTTACATTTTGTGTCAAGTGTGTGCAAGCGAAACGTCACAAGTTACTAAGCGATCTAATAGTCTTGTAATCAGATTGAAAGAACTCTGCACCTAGATTCCCTTATCTATGCAAAAGGCATTCTTTAATTGTTAACCAATTTGTTTGTACATGGTGACATCTAGCTAAATCTACTTATCAAATTATATTAACGAAGTAAAAGTACTTTTATTTGGCATTTGCGAAAAGCACGACTTGCAATAAGATGATGGGGGGGGGGGGGGGGTTTGTAATGAAATTTGGCATGGTAAGACAACTCAAGGTAATTTTCTCAAGAAATGTTCTTGCCTTATGCCCAATTCAGCTTCATACTTATTGGCCAAATGCCTCAAAGTTTCACAAATTATTTAGAGTTGATGAGTCATATCCCCTCACCCGTTGCTTAAGCTTATACATGTTCAATTGGCACACAATGCTATATACAGAAACAGTCACGTAAAACACATTCTCACAATATATCTGAGAAAGACGTGTTCAAAAAAGTAATTTTCCACGACTTCAACATTGTTTACTTAAAGCATATCATGGATCTTCATATTTTGTAAATTGTCCACCGTAACAAAAATGGTAACATACCAGAAAGGTAAAGCAATTGATATCTCAAGTCCAAACCCATTTCCAGATATCAGATACAATGGGCCAAAAGATGAGAACTTACTTGCACAGATGCCAATATAGAACAGAACATAGTAACATGAAAAGCGTAATATACAACAGAACATGATACATAGGTAAAGTCAACAAAACTTGATGTCACAATCAGTTATTTGCAAGAATTCACAAACTTTGTGGTTGGGGCTAAATTGGCAATCTGAGGAAAATCATCTTAGTATGTTGTTTTTGAAAAACAATATAAAAAATTTCATCAGAGTTTTTGGTAGACTGGAGAATGTGGAGGCTTTCCAGAGACACAAACCTGCCTCCCTGCTCTGCTGTAACAACAGTCTTTATTTGCCGTTACGTTAGTTTGCATAAATTTAAATCAAAAGATAATACAAATAAAAAAATAATTTTATATTTATTTAAAATTAACAAATTTCAAATGTATTAAAATAACAAAATATAATTTTGACAAAATTTTTTATAAAAAACAATTCAATATTATTTTACGAATACACAATTATATAAATATAAACGATAAGTTAATTTTTAAATAATATTAGATATAGAGAGAGTTTAATTGACTCTTAAAATTAAATTTAAAATAAAATATTATTTAATAACGACATTTAATTTTCTATACTATTTTTTTATGTACATTTAACTTTATTAAATTACGAATGTCACAAAACTTAACCATCAAAAGTTAAACTGAATTAAATTAAAGTAGATTGTGTAAGTCTTAAGTCTTGACTTTCAAATTTAAGATTTAAAATTAATTTATTTACTTGACGTAAACTATTTTTTACAATTTATTCAGACATTTTTAAAATATTTTTATCGAGCAATGAATCAATTGACAAAATTATTACAATTACTTTAAATCTTAGTAAATATAATTATATTAAATATGTTAAAAAATTAGTGCTCATATTAATTTTGTATTAAGTGAAGTCTACATATAATTTATAAATAAATCAAAAAACTTCTTTTTAAAATAAACTAACAAATTTAAACTTATATATATATAAATTGACATACTTAAATTTTTTTAAAATACTTTTACTCTTACCAATAAAAATTATTCCACAAGTCACACCCAATATTAATAATATTTTGAAATCAAATAAATAAAATGAAATTTGTTTATTAAAAAGTATATATAATATAGAGAAAATATATAATTCTTTAGCCATTAAACTTATTAGTCAATTATATTTCATAAAATTTTTAAAAATTTAATGTAAAATATATTTTAATCGATACTTTTCTTGAATTTTAAAAATATATGAAATTTTAATTTTCATAACTCAGAGAAGTGAGGCCATAAGTAAAGTAAACAGTGTGGATGTTTCTAGTTCTTCCTATCTCCCATGTCAGGTGAAAGAAATTGTCGAATTAAAAAAATAATAATAAAACTCTGATTCATATCCATATTCCACGGTGATTCACAGTGGAAGCTTCATTGGTAACAAAGAAAGAGGAAAATCATGGCGACGGAACCAACGGATTACGATTCGTTCAAGCCCTACACTCTTTCGCAAACCCTAAGCGGTCACAAGCGCGCCATCTCCGCCGTTAAATTCTCATCCAACGGTCGCCTCCTTGCCTCTTCCTCCGCCGACAAGACCCTCCGAACCTACGGCTTCACAAACTCCGACTCCGATTCCAACAGCCTCAGCCTCTCACCCATGCAAGAGTACGAGGGTCACGACCAAGGAGTCTCCGACCTCGCCTTCTCCTCCGATTCTCGCTTCCTCGTCTCCGCCTCCGACGACAAAACCCTCCGTCTCTGGGACGTTCCCACCGGTTCCCTCATCAAGACACTTCACGGCCATACCAACTTCGTTTTCTGCGTCAACTTCAATCCCCAATCCAACGTCATCGTCTCCGGTTCCTTCGACGAGACCGTTAGGGTTTGGGATGTCAAGTCCGGTAAGTGTCTTAAGGTTCTTCCCGCACATTCCGACCCCGTCACTGCCGTTGATTTCAACCGTGACGGTTCCCTTATCGTCTCTAGCAGCTACGATGGCCTCTGCAGGATCTGGGATTCTTCCACTGGCCACTGTATGAAGACTCTCATCGACGATGAAAACCCTCCCGTTTCCTTCGTCAAGTTCTCCCCCAATGGCAAGTTCATTCTCGTCGGCACCCTCGATAACACTCTGGTAATTCACTAGCCATTCTGTTCAATTCAATTTGCTTGTCTCAATGCGAGTTGTGCTAGTAATGTGTTTACACTTTAAATATGAGAAAAAGATGGCGCTTCTATAGTTCTATTTCAATTTCAATTTCTCAGCATCAGCTTCTTGGTTCTGGTATTTACGGTTTGGTCTTGGACATGGACCAGGCTATTGCATAGTCTCTGTTTTGTCTTGCTAAAGATAGGGGGAATGACCGGATTTATATGATATCAGGGATTTAAGGAATCGAGATTATATTTTTTAATAGTAAATGTTCTCGTGAATTTAACTGTAAAATTATTGCTTATGAATTTTGAAAATTTCTGCATAGATTTTGGGATCTCTTGGCTGTGTACTTCTGAAAAAACAGAAACAAAATGATTTTCTTTTTCATGTTCAGTTTCTCTTAGACCAAGTCCCAATTCTAGTTCATGAGACTGTAAACGTCACTCACTTTAGTAGTCCTTGACATTTCAAAATCCTCGCATTAGGCACTTACTTTGCAAATATTCATTCATTTTTACACTGTCTTTATGCACAAAAAGGGGTCAAAGTGAATGACAGTTTACAAAGTAAAAGACTAACAGCCTGATTGGTTTACCGTTTCCATGAGTTGAAACGGAGTTTCAGTGGAAGTAAGTATATTTTGCTTTCCAAAAATTTGACTTGGGAATTGTGTTTCTCCATGGGTAACGTTAAGACAAGCAGGCTATAAGTGCCTGTTTGTATGCATTCCATAACTCTGTTATGGCATAATTGACAAATATTGCCTTCTCACAAAAACCTGCTTTTGAAAGCATGTAAACTCTGTTTTATACACTTATCCAAACCGTCTATAGAGTGAGGTTTTTGTAAAGTCAGATTTATTTGGGCTTTAATTTGTGGAACTAGAATAGGAGTTTACTTGTTTCTCTAATGGGCTTTAATTTGTGCAATACTGTTTTTGCTTGTATTGGGGCTCAACTACTTTGATAGCTTTTTTCTTGTTTACTCAGTTGTGGCCGATTTAGTAGCTTAATTGGCTACAAGATTTTAGAATGAGTTAGTCCGGTTTTCCATGTTTTTGACTTACACAGGAATTTTTCTTTCCCTGCAGAGGCTTTGGAACTACTCAACTGGGAAGTTTCTGAAGACTTACACTGGTCACGTTAATTCAAAATACTGTATTTCATCCACATTTTCGATAACAAATGGGAAATATGTCGTTGGTGGTTCAGAAGATAATTGTATATACTTGTGGGAATTGCAGACAAGGAAAATAGTACAGAAATTGGAAGGACATTCTGATACTGTCGTTTCTGTGTCATGTCACCCTACAGAGAACATGATTGCATCTGGTGCTCTTGGCAATGACAAAACTGTGAAGATCTGGACTCAACAGAAAGACTGATTCAATCTGGACTCGGGGCTAATGCTCCAACTGATTCGTTAATGTTGTGTTGGGAGTAAGTGACTTGTGATGAAACCTTTGGCTCATTTTGTAGTTGAGAACTTTGGTTGAGAAACTTTGTAGCCTTTGCAGCTGAGATCACTATTTTAGTCTCTGTTCAGTTCCACTTTTGAGAGACTGGAACATGGGTTTGGAAAACACTACTTTGAGGATTTCGTTTTTCAGCCATTGTATCTTAGCTAGAGGATTTCGCTTTAAAATTAATGTCAGTAGTCATTACTACTATGTCCAAATTTCGTAGATCATTCCACTTTGCGGGAATGGATTCTGTTTTTGGGGTGCTTGGGTGCCTGGGAAGTTCATGTACTTGTCTTGTTTGATAAATATAGAAGTTGGATGGAAAAAAGTTCGATGGCCAAATAGTAGAAGTTCAAAATCTTCAAACACTAATATTCCAAGGCGGGTCCCAACCAAGTAGTATAGAATAATTAAAAGTAAGTCATTGACAATTTATTTTCTATCTTTTAAGTTAGCCTTTGGAATTGAATGAAATTCAGATCATTCCCTATACAGCTCAATCTATTTGATTCTATCTTTATGCTCAGGCACCCCTAAATCTCGGCTTGTAAATTAAACTAAGAATTGTTGGCATTCTATAATTGTGAACTGTTATGATTTGCATTTAGATTAGCTAAATTATTAAAATAGTAATAATATTGTGAATTGAATTAAGAATGCCAAGAAAATATATTTCCATATAAAGTGGAGTATTGTAAAATTTCTTACAAATCCATGCAATAAATAATACATGATTATATTCGTAGGAAATTCTGAAAAAAAAAATCGTGGGAAATTGGATATAATGGTATCCAAGTCAGCCTCTGATGAAAGGGGAAGTTGAGCCAAGAAAATTTTACCTGACATGGGTCAAGAAAAGGTTGAGTCAAACCTTTAAAAAATCACAACATTTTAACAACGTTGTCAAATTATAATGAGTTTGGAATCCCCACAGAAACCCCTGTGTGGAAAGTAGGAATGAGAACAGACATAAGAAAACTCATGACAGAAATTAGAAATAAGAATGGGGGAAAAGTTGAGACACGACAGGAAGCAGGGGAGTATTCCCATCATTGCCCCGCTCGAGTGCTGAAGCGATTAAGTGTTTGATTTTTATTTTTTTTTAAGAATTTTTTTTTAAATATAGTATAAATTTATACTATATTTAAAAAAAAAAATTCAGACTGCTGAAGCGATTGAGAGTGTGTTTGATTTTTTTTTAAGAATTTTTTATTTTTTTTAAATATAGTATAAATTTATACTATATTTAAAAAAATAATTTTTTTAAAGAAAAATCAAATGTACTCTAAATCTTTATTATTTTTTAAAATTATTTCATGTCTTAATTTATTGTAACCCCTCAAATAATTAGATAAAAAATATATTTTTTAAATAAAATAATTATTCAAGGACAAAATTTGTTTAATTTAAAAAATAAATCCTCAATTTAATCTTTCAAAGTTATGTCCATCACAAGTTTAATCTCTCAAAGATTCAATGTCACCAAATTAGCTTTGTAATGATAAAAAAAAAATGGAAGGTAAAAGTGGTGATAAAAAAATTAAATGATTAATTTAATAATAAAATTTAAGAACTAAAATGATAAAGAAAACATCTTGATAAATGTAATTTTGAAAAATATCCTAAATAAATGAATGTTTAAATATCTAAATTATAAAAATAATAATGTATGTTATATATATATATATATATAGCAGTTAAGCTTTTTATAGGACTATAGTATTGTTTTTAATTATATAGGTACTTATTAGGTAAGATATAAATTTAATAAGTATTCTTATCTATAATTATTTATATAATTAGTTTTCAACATATGTTATTTTAGTAATTCAAATGGGAGATTCACAAAGAAATAATAAAAAGAAAATAAAACTATGAAGCTTTGATCAAAGATGATTATGATAAATTCTTATAGTTGATAACGGATGCTATAAATTGTTATAATTGATAATTAATGGGCCAATTAATAAACTAAATGTGGAGAGAGTCATCCTTCCTCGTCTCAATGCTAAAATTAAATTCTATAAAACGTATAATCATTAATGAAATGGTTTAAGAAACAATATAACAATATGTCAACACTTATACGTAACAACTCTAGTTTTGGGTGAGACCTAATCACAAAGACATTCACTGTTGGTGATAAAGTATATAAAGAGTACTTAAATGTGAGATTATTTTGTAATCTTTTAAATATATTAATAGTTTATAAGTTTAGTGCATTATATTATTTTCAATATATTAATAATGGATTTTTTTTTTCTAGTCTCACCCAAGTCAAAAAAATCTTCTAAAAAAAAGTATGGTTGATTATGAGGATTTGAAGATTGTTGTTGGGGGTGGAACTGCTAGTATGCATACTTCCATGTCAGTAGACCTTGATGATATTGATACTATAACTTTTGGAGAAGAAAATGTTGATTTTGAGATGAAAAACTTTTCATATGATATTAACAATGATATATTCATAGCACCAGATCACTATAAACCACCTTACCAGCATTCATCACCTCGTCTAAGCATTTCATTACCTCAACCCCTTTTAGGTTTAGAGGTTCTACTGAAAAACCAATTAATCATAAGCAGAGTAGGTCCAAGTGTGGAGAGAGTTCAAACTTAATTGGAAACAACAGTCAAGCCAAAAATCTAGAAAATCTATCTGTTAGAATTGAGACTATAACCATCAATTTTGAAAAAATGTCTAACTTGATGGAGAAAAGAGAAAAATACAAAAAGGCAAAGGAAAATATTTGGAGTGCTGTAAAAGAGACCCCAAATTTGGATGATCAAACTCACTACATAGCTAGTGATTTTCTTGATACTAATGCAAAGAAAGACTTTTTCTTGATGATGTCAATAGAAGAGCCCTCATGTTGGATAAAGTACAAGTTAGGATGAACAATGTTGTTTTGGTGTTATTTTGGTTGCACTTGATTGAAGTATTTTATTTATAATTTGGTTGTGTATGAACACATGTTGAATTTGTGAAACTATATTATTTTGGTGTTATTTTGGTTACATTTGATTGAAGTGTTTGCTTTATATTTTGGTTATGTATAAACACATTTTGGAATGGTAGAACTATATTGTTTTCGTGTTATTTTGGTTGTACTTGATTGAAATATTTTAGCATGTTTTATTTTTTATTATATTATTATTTTCTGTTATATTGTTTTATATAGGTACAATGTCATATTCGAGCATGTATGAAGGTAGTGACAGATGAAGAAGAAATAGGTGACGAAGAATTTTATGAAGCAATGTACTCATGTGTAATGGCAATTCATGCATTAATGCATGTGTTGATTCAGTTTCTAGTTATGATACGTAATGAACAAATTGAACGTCCATTAAATCGACAATGAATTACTAACATGAGAAATGACTATATACACTGAGCATTAAACGATGATCCTGCAATAGTTCGACAAGTTTATAGGATGTATTCAGATATGTTTTGAAAGTTATGTACAATTCTTAGAGAAAAAACACCTCTAGAGGATATACGATATATTTGTGTTGAAGAAATGCTTGCATCATTCCTATAAATTGCTGGCCAGAATACTCGATATTGTGTAATTCATAACACATTTGGTCGATCACAATTTGCTACAAGTAAAAATTTTCACAAGATTTTGAAAGCTTGGAATATGATAACACCTACTTTGATGGCTAAACCAGGATCAACTGTGCCAGCTAAAATTGGAGAAAACACAAGGTTCTTCCTTTTCTTCAAGGTATGTAGTAATTATCTTACAATAAAAATTATAATTAAATTTAGTACTACTATATTTATATTTCTCAAATGATGAAGTGTTATATATGCTAAATTTTAGGATTGCATTGGAGCTATTAACCGGACACATCTTCCAGTAATGGTAAAGGGGCGAGATGTAAGCACTTATCGTAATCGTCATGGAAAGATATCACAAAATGTATTAATTGCTTGTAATTTTAATTTGAAGTTCATGTACGTTCTTAGTGGGTAGGAGAGTTCAGCTCATGATTCTAAGCTACTAAATGATATTATAACAAGGAGTAATAGACTTAAAGTGACTTAAGATAAGTGCTTATTTTTTAAATAATAATAATAATAATAATTATTATTATTGCATATGTAATTAATTGAACTGATGGACGAATATTCATTTTCAACATTACTGATTAATAAAAATCATAACTTTGAGCTTATTATTCAAACTCATAAACTAGAACGAGAAGATAATAATGCTTGAAGAACTGGTATAACTATAGATACATGAGTGAATGCTATTTAAGAGTACATGATATTACGGAATATTATTATTATTATTTATTCATATATTATTATTTTTATCTTTGACTTTTTTAAATTTGAATATATGAAAAAAAAATCTTTAACTCTATATATCAAAAATCTATAAAATTCTGCAAGGTCCACAAAATCTATTAAAAATTATGATTTAAAAGTCGTGTAGAATATGTTAAAATCTAAATTTTAAAGTCTTACCAAATCCTACAAAGTCTTAAAATTCTACAAAATTTTTTAAAATTCACATAACTTTTTTTAACTAAAAAAATTCTTTGAAATCTTAATCCAATACACCCATAAGAATAAATGGCTTTAATTAGTTTTTGTTTTAATCTGAAGACCATAATGACATAAAATCAAAATTAAAGACACTCTACATTATTTTTCATATCTTCAAAATTTTTGCAGAATTTGTGAAAATCATGAAACTGAGGAGGAAAAAGGGTGGTAGCAAAGTAAAAAAAAAAAAGAAGAAGGCAGATTAAGAATGAAAAATAAGAGTTATTATGTGACAGAGAGGCGCGTAGTTATCATCGTATTTGGGGTTGTTAAGTGTTGAGATGCTTTAATTGTATTTTTGTGTGAAAGAAATGGGTGCACTGCGCTGTGACATAAACACTTCGATGCTTCGACACCTACCAATGAATGGAGTGGGCCTTCTCTCTCTTGATCGTACCTCTCTTTTGTTTTTGGATCATACTATTACTCCTCTCCCTCTCCCTCTCCCTCCACACAAAACCTTCCATTTCAAATGCTATTTCAATTGAAATATGCCACAATCCACTCTTCCTTCTGTATATGATTTTTAACACATTATAAGATATTCATTCACTTTTGATGATTTGGGATTCAGCCAAGGAAATTATGTTATTTATACAAAAAAAATTAATTATAAAAACTATATTTCAATTGAAGTTAAATTATAAGGACTTCTTATTTACTCTTTTTAAGATTATTAATTTGACACAGACCGTTGATCATACTAGTGTCGCATGTTAAAAGAAAAATAATGTCAGATGATTGTAACATTCGCTATAAAAGAAAAGAAAAGTTAAAAAAACAGTTTCCCAAAAAAATATATGAAGGAATATATTTTTCAAAGGAAAGACACTGTTCAACCCCTGTGCTGTGACTTTTTGCGGAGAGATAATAACAGTCTCTGGCTGTAAAGTTTCAAATTAATTATTAACTTAATAAAAATATGTTTAATCGTCTCAGTTATATAACAGTAATTTTTTGCTCTCCCTATGACTCAAATAAAGCATTTTTATTCATTAAAATTTCTCTCATTTTCTTTATTAAAAAATGAATTAATTATAAAAAATATCTTTGATATATTGTTAATCAATATAAAATATCCTAATTTAATCACCCATGCCATTGGTCTAAAACTATATATATATATTAAAAAAATCAAACTTTATAAAAATTATTCTCTAAATATTTCTAATCACGTCTCAACATTTTCCTCGTTTTTTTCTCCATCTTTCAACGAAACCTATGAAGAGAGATCCCCTTTCTCTTCTTCTTGGTGGACACAGAGTTCCTTTTTCAAGTATAAAAAAATGATTTAAAAAACCTCACGTGGAGTTGAGAGTTTCTAGTTTTTTTTTTTGAAACGATTGACATTAGGTATTTTATCATAAAATAAGGATTTTGATGTGACATATAATCAACATTAAGAAAACCAATATCTTAATTTTTTTTATTGTTTATTATAATACTTCGTATGAATTAATTATATTACATTATTAAGAAAAATAATAATTAATATTTATAATACACTAATTAATAAATATACAAAAACCCTAACCTCAATAATTTTTATATATTTTATAAATTTTTTTTTTCATAATTCAACAACAAACAGTATTAACTTCAAAGTTTAAATATTTACTAATAATAAATATTTTTTTAATAAAATCAATTATAATATATCATGATATTATATAATAAAGTGAATAAATTGTGTAGACAAACAAACGGTTGTGATTTTAGGTGCATATTATTACGAGTTTCCATGGACAAAGAATAGGTGAGGGGTACTTTGGGGAATTCAATAGAGGTTGTGAATGAAATGAGATGGCTACGTAAACGCGCTACATGTAAGCGATATGACACTGTTGTGGCCCCTGCAGAAGCTCGCGCTACTGTTCACAACTTATTCTACCACTTCACTCTGCCCTCTGTTTCCATTTGTTTTAATTACTTTTTCTTTACGACAATGCAACATCTTCTATCATTTCAACTTAAAACAAATTGTAAAAATGTTTTTATATAAACTAACACATATATGCATTCATTCTTGGTTGTTTTTTTAAAGAAAATAGTTTGATCGGTGGTTTTATAAAAATGTTTAAAGAAATATGTTTTTTATTAACTTTTTTCTTAAAGAGTGCTTGAAACATCAGTCAACATAGATTGGTAGAGTCCGACATGGCAAGAGTCTATTGTAAAGACCCTTATCACTCTGTATATGTACACAATATTCCCTCTGCTTGTGTTAATACCAACTCGAGTTTGAGATTGTTTCGCAAATATCAACTTTAGCTTCTATCACCAAGAAATATGTGAAATACAGAATTAAATTTGCACTCACTGATAATTTAAACTAACGAGATGTTTTAATTTAAATCAAATGTAACTAAATTGTAACTCTTCACATTGTTACTGTTCCACCATGCCGCACAAAGGAACAAACCAACCGAGAAACAACATTCGACAAATCTCGACAACATACGAAATTATTATTTTAAAATAATCACTTTCTTATAGTATTCTAAAAAACCAAAAAGAAATGTTAAATTTAAACAAAAAGAACTCATGTTCATCTAAATAGGGAACGTGAACCTGCTAAATTATAAAAAAAAGAAAATAGAATTGAATTGAAAGAATAGAAGAAGGTTGAGATGTGTGAGTACTAGAAATGGCAACGTAGTTAACACAAGGAAAAGCAATTCACGCAGGAGGATCTTCTCGTCCTCGTCCTCTCTCATCTCCCCCACATAGTATGATTGGAATCTTCAAAGCCACGTGTCACTATGTATCCCACGCGCCATATGCGCGTGAGGATATATTTTCCTCGACCCCTACTCTGGACGGACGAGAACCCTTGCTTTCTCTCACTAAAAATTCTCTCTTTCTCTCTCCAAACTCATGTTATATTACATTATTTTTCTTTTTATTTTCCCATATCTCTTTTTTTCTCTATATATCAGCAAGAGCCAAGAGAGGAAGAGAACGACTTCATTTTTCTCGTGTAATTTTTTCTTCTCTGCCTCTCTCCAATTCAACCTTCTTAGCCATGAAAACTCTTCCTTCTTAACGCAGGTATCGCTCTCTTTCTCTCTTTTTATGCACAACTTTCTATGTGTATATATGTGTGTATGTAGAGAGAGAGAGAGAGAGAGAGAAATAAGTATGTTATTTTCTTCATCAGGAACTATGCTTTGTTCACGTTTTCTTTATTTTCAATCTGCAACTTTGCGAATCGGTGTATAACCATCACGACCCATTTTTGTAGCTTGGTTTCTTCATGTGGGTTTCGCCGGGTTCTTCTTCTTCCATGGAGGTAAGACTGCGAATCTTCTTCTTTTATTTTCTTTCGCTTCCGCATACTCTTTCTCTCTCTCTCGTGCTTTGTTGCTGTACGGTTTTAATGTACTTGTAGGTGTCTTCTCGTAGTAAATAACTCTAATTTACTTGGATCATATTGGAATTCTCACTAGGAAACTTGTGTGTGTGTGTGCACGCTTGTCTCTTTCTTGTTACTTGTATTTTCATTTTCTTTTTGTTTAATACATACTTTTGTGTGTTTATTTTTCATCTCGTGCTGGTGTTTTTTCTTGGTTTCTTCTTCCTTGTTTGTGTTTGAATGTTGTTGGTTGCGTGGAGATTGTGCTGCTTTTGGCATTCGAGGGTAATGTGCTTAATGGGTTTTCATGCATTTGTGTAAAGTCTTCGACTTTGTGATGTTGGGTTGCTCTCGTTTTCTAAATGGGTTCAGGAAATGGATCTGGTTTTCTGCTTTGTTCTCAGTTTCCATCCGGTGCTCCCCTTGTTTTTTTTGTTACCTACTTTTCCCCTTAGATATGTGTATCAACTCGTTATTGTGAGTTTTTTTTGGATAACGAAGTTCTTTCTTGTGAGTTGATTTGGTTGGTATCAGAATCTGCTTGAACTTCGTTGTTTTTTCCCCCCTAAATGCTTCTGTTTAATTAGGATATATTTTTTTTACATATGTGAGTGGCGTTTTTGTGGAGAAATTAAATGATAATTATATCCGTCATTAATTTTTTTTTCTTTCTTTTTTCATTTCTAGAAGTTTCTATTTTTACTTATTAATTTAAATTTCTCCATTTTTGCTGATTGGAGCATGTAATAATTGGGATTAGGAATATGATATATAAGTAAACCGTATCTCAATATTACTATCTCCCTACTGCTTCTAAAACACTGTTTTAAGTACACAATACCATGGCTCAGAAAATCTCACTTGTGAATTCGTATCGTAGGATGTCTTAGTGTATAATTTAGGTCAACTAGGGAAGTGGTTAGCTGGTTTGACTCTAACCGATTCCTAGATGAAGCTTAAGTGAAAAATACTCATTATCATTAAAGCTCTGCGACTTCGGTTAATTCACAAAAAGCATCTACCTACCAAATTTTGGATGCAGCTGGAGGAAGTGAACAGACAGGTTATTGCTACTTTGTTTCTGTAGTCAGTTCATTAAAGAACATCATCAGGTTGACGATATCAAATTATGTGCTTTATAGTGTGAGTGATGTTTATAGAAAGAGATGAGCAAACTCAATTAGCCTTAAATTCAACTGTTACTTGCTGTCCACCTCCGAAACAAGAAGAAACATGTTGGCTTTAAATTAAAATAAAAAATAAAAAAATCTTGATCTGTGTATGATTGAATGCTTAAGATTAGCTCTCTTCTATGTGTGTGTGTGTTAATTTTTCTCTTTCGTTTTCTCTGTGTTCAAATTTTTGGACAGGTGGATGCAGTACAAGTTAATGACCTGAATTGTATCGGTGAGCAAGTTGATGAACATTCACTTTCTCCAGAATTTTCTGGTGTTTATGATGTTTTTGGTGATCCGGACATATTTCCTCGGGTGGGGGAGCAGTACCAGGTTGACGTTCCGTCGTTAATTTCAAAATCTGAATATTACTGTTTTCAGAGGAACCAGCACGAGGCAGAAAGCACAGCCAGTACTCTCCATAAGTTCCGAATAGGATTACCCATCCCGATAATTTGGATTAAGGATGAAGTAGAGCACAATAAGCATGATCCACTGAAAAATGCAAGCAAGCCAATTAGAGTTACTAATAAAACTGAATGTTCACAACTAGAATGTATAAAAGAGACCCAAAATGCTCTGGATTGTGATAAACTGAATCCTAAGCTTAATGCTGCCAACGGTACATTGGTCAATAGATTGAAATTGGGTGAATCAGGAAATTCCAATGTGCAGCAAGAAACAGAGATTGGGATGCATGAGAAGCATAGAGATAATGGCCGTTGTCTGGTTCCCGGGTCTGCAAGTGACACCTGGAATGAAATTGAAGAGGCCAGTTTCATCCTTGGCTTGTATATATTTGGGAAGAACCTTGTTCAAGTGAAAAGATTTATTGGTGATAAGAAGATGGGAGATATACTGTCATTCTATTATGGGAAATTTTATAAATCTGAAAAATATCAAAGATGGTCTGGATGTAGGAAAATGAGAAGCAGAAAATGTATTTATGGGCAGAAAATATTCACAGGACCAAGGCAGCAAGAGCTTTTATCTCGTTTACTACCAAACATGTCAGAGGAATGTCACAAAAAATTACTTGAGGTACTGATTTAATTTCTTCCAAATTTTTGAGATTATAATATCATTGTTGCTCCACTGTAATGGATTGGGTCTACCAATCCTTCATTCACCTTAATTGCCTGGGACAAAGGCCATGTCTCCTCCTACCCAATTCCCAACCATATATAGAACAAAAAAAAACATTTCAAAATACCAGAATTTACGGGTGTCAACTGTTTAGTCTTGAATAAACATCTTTCAAAGCCACTCTTTCTTTCAATTGTAGTGCTTAAATCAAGTAGTATTCAAAAGTCATCGTGTTTGACTGTTGTATCTATGTCATAATGGAAAAGATATTTGCAACAATCATTTTGAAAAGTCTGAATTCCTCACCCTTTTTATCTTGTCTTGAAAAGTCTTTTGCATACCTCAGTAGTTATGCAGAACAAAACTATTATCTTAGCAGGTCTGCTGCCTATTAGTTTGTCTTCTTTTATTTATTCTTCACTACGAATGTGTTATAACTAATATTAAATTCAACTACTTTCTAGGTGTCCAAGACATTTGTAGAGGGGAAAATGCTTCTAGAAGATTATGTTTTTACTTTAAAGGCCTCTGTTGGGCTCAAAGCGCTTGTTGAGGGAGTAGGAGTTGGTAAGGGGAAAGAAGATCTTACAGGTCTCACCATAGATTCCACAAGGTCCACTCAATCACTTCCTGTTCGTCAAGAAATACCAGTTGGCAAAGCATGTTCAATGCTTACACCTTCAGAAATAATAAGCTTTCTAACAGGTGATTTCAGATTAAGTAAAGCTCGAACAAGTGATCTCTTTTGGGAAGCTGTTTGGCCTCGTTTACTTGCCAGAGGTTGGCACTCTGAGCAGCCAGATAGTCATAATTATGCTGTTGCTTCAAAGAATTCTCTTGTCTTCCTTGTCCCTGGGGTCAAAAAGTTTTCAAGGAAACTAGTGAAGGGGAATCACTATTTTGATTCTGTCAGTGATGTCCTGGGTAAAGTTGCTTCTGACCCTGAGCTAATTGAGCTTGAGACAATTGCAGATAATGATTGCACTAGCAAGGAAGGAAATGGGTGGACAAAAGATACAAAACTGGACCGCGAAAATTCCCCTGATCAGCCCCGCCACTGCTATCTCAAAGTAAAAACTCCAAATCGCAGTTCGGATGTCATGAAATTTACTGTTGTGGACACAAGTCTGGCTAGTGAAAAGATGACAAAGGTGAGAGAACTGAGAAGCTTGCCATTTGGAGTTTTAAAAGCTTGTAGTTTTGAAAATGACTCAGATGATGAGAATAGTTCAGAGGAGCAAGCAAATGAATCTGTGTCTGTCAATACCATATGCTTTGATCGGGGAGATAATGATAATACTAAAGCCAGTAAATCTAATGTAAGTAAGGGTGTCTCTTCACACTTGAATGGTTTAGAAAACAACGCATCAAAAGAGGAGCTTCCAAGGAGCAGCATGGGTTTGACTAGTCTATCTGCCGTCTCCAAGGACCCTAAGACAGAATGCTTAAGCAACACACAGAGAAGAGATGGTATGAAGTGCCAATCACTCCAGAGAATGGCATCTGATAACAATAATGATCTAGTTCCTGTCACAAAAAGGAGGAGGAGATTAACGGCCTGTAGCCGAGCAAAGAAAAATAGCAACAATGCCAATTTCTTTGTGGTTCCCAGAGTTAAAAAAGAGGCGGCCAGTTTTTGTCCAGATCTTGACAATTCAAATTCTACTGAGAATGTAACTGCTAACTTCTTTGTTGCTCCCAGAGTAAAGCAAGAGAAAGCCAGCTACTGTCCTAACAAGTCTAAATTTAGTGAGAATGTTCTTTCATGGGAAGCTCCACCCCAGGATAAGCCATTAGCAGGTTTTCCAACCCAGAAGAACAAGACATTAGCAGATTCTCTGGAAAATCCCAGCTCGATCATCAATGTAGAGGCATTTCCTGATACGAGTTCTTCCGGCGCTAAGGATCAAAGTGATAAGCATCAGCCACGGACTATTATTGACCTTAACTTACCTGTTTCACCAGAAGCTGAAGCTGATGAACCTTTAGTGAATGAAGTGACTGGAATACAGCAGAATAACACAAGCAAGGAATCAGATGAGCTGAGTGTTGGAACAAACTTCAAACCTGTGGATCACTCCGATCATCAGCCTGACATGCACGGTAGGAGGCAGAGTACTAGAAACCGGCCACCGACAACAAAAGTGCTAGAAGCTTTTGCCTTTGGATATCTAGATAGAAAGGAGAAACGCAGAGGTAGAGATTACTTCCAAGATAGTTCAATTACAAGACCTTCCCGACGCATATCTCGCAAAGTGGCCACAGCTTCTAGTAGTGGTGGTACAGGTTTTGAAAACGAGGAAAAAGCAAATGTTGTCTGTAATGGTAATGTTAGCACTAGCAGTGACAGTAATGTGATATATACAGGCTTCAAGTGCAATCAAGGATAAAGGAAACCAAGCCTTCAATTTGAGCCCTAAACTCAGGAAGAGAATGATACTTCCCTGAATCAATCTAAGCCGTGGAAGTTTGATTACCTGTTTTTGATATCATGAGATGGCTGGACATGACATAAACAAGATAGCAGCATTTTCACTCATTGAGATTTCTGTCATTATTTAGAAGTCTTCAATCTCAGACAATGTTCCAAAGAGCTCCTGCTGCCCCCTATTGATCAAGTGGTTTGACAATGCTGCATGGTTATGAACAGAATATACAGTAAGCCAATGCACATTATGACTCTAGTTTTTTTTTTTCTCTTCTTTTGATCTTTTCTTTTGTCACATAATTAGTTGTTTAACTTGGTCAATTTCTGTCATCTGATGACAGAATAAAGGAAAAAGGGAGCTGTTACCGTAGGCTTTTCCCCTATTTGGGTGTGTCCTCCTTGGTGATGACTCCAAATATTCAATATACACGCATGTATGATGTTATTTCATCATAATTATTTGGTGGTTGTTTGTAATAACTTGCCTTTGCCTTTTCCATTTGGATATCAACAAACTTTGTTAGTTACACCCTGCTAAGTATTTATATTATGGTAGGAAGGAACTTTTTTCTCTATCTTATTTGACTGTGATAAAGAATAGATAAACGATTAAAGCAAATATTAAGTTCAATTTTAAGGGTTAAAGTTAAGCAATTAAAAATAAGTTTTTTATTTAAAAAAATATATTTATTACATTGAAAATATAACAAAATATTAAATATTTAAAATTAATTTTTATGATTGAGATTAAAAAATAAAACAATTAATAATAATAGTTTCTGTCATTATCTAATTTCTTCAATGTTTCAATTTGGGTCAACTTATTCTCAGCCAACTTAAGTAAGTTGGGTGGGGTTTACCAATGGATAAAATGACCCGATTGTTATTTTATTCTTAGTTTGAAAAGATGACCCAAATGAATTTAGGAATGGACAAGTGACAAGTGTAGTTTGTCGTAACTCATCCTACGAACACCTTTGATGTAAAGTTACTATTTTTTTTTTTCTTTTTCTTTTGCTTTGTTTTTATTTTGCTTATACGATTCTCGTTATTCAAAGTATTTGGAAATTAGCTTTCGCTTTGAAATTTCAGTGTGTCGATTCTCATAGCTGCAATTGACATTTGAAAAGGACTTTGTCCATTTTCGTTTTACGTTTAGAACACCTAAGTTCCGTTTGCATTGAAAATAATTGATTTCGTGGTTGGCTTTGTTATACTCTAGACAAATGGGTGTATACTTTGCACCAAAAGAAGAAAAGGGGTATATATTGCTTCAATTATAATTTCTTTAGGAAGTAATATTTTGAATTTGAAGCTTTTAGCAATATCACACGTGTCTTACCGCATGCTTAGCCTACAAACCAAGTGACAACAATTTCGAATACATACCAGATGAAACGGATGGATTGAACTTAGTTTAATTATTTAAATGAGTATTTAAAACCATTGCTTATTTATCACATAAATAATTTGATGTCTTACTTGTTAAATTATGTTTATATCCTTATTATTATAAACTTTGTATGGATAACATAATCAATTAATATTTCTTTAAACAACTGTAAATTTATAGTATTAAAATTATTATTTTTAATTTCAATAAATTATTTATTAAAAAAAGATAAGATAGAGTAACTCTTTTCCTTCGCAGTACCTTATTCTAAAAGTTTGTTTTTCTTTTCTAACGTTTCCAATCCAACGAACTTTCGGTCTCAAGACATAAATTACGTTGCAGCCGAATGCAGTTGTCGGTTTCTTTATTAAATTCCATCAAATGTTTTGGAGAGTACTTCAATTCTTTCATAATAATTTCTCTGAGTCCGTCGTCATCCTCCAATATTATGCATGAAACCACACACAAGGCAACATAATTACTTTTTAGTTAAAAAATGTCAACTCTAACTTAAATTAAATATTAAAAATTATTTATTACACTTTAACATTTTAATTATATATATACATTAAAAATATATTTAAAATACTTTGATATGCACTAGCAAACTTTCACAATTTACAAGTTACTCGGAGCATTATACTTAATATTTAATATTTATATGGTATGCGTTGAATTATTTTATTCACTATTTCATTTAGTTATTTAATGATAAATTTTGTGTGTTGAAATTGATGCTTATCATACGGATAAAATGGATACGATTATAATTTATGTGAGATACATGCTCCCCCACCTCCCCAACATTCATCTAATATCCACAAACCCATATTATTAAACAGTGATAATAAATAATTCAAATAATAAAAAGTCAAAAGTATTTATAATATTAATATATTCTAATTAAATTCTAAAACAAATTCGATGTAAATTTCATCTCTTGCCTAAACTAGAAAAACAAAATGGTTGTTTCCAGGGTAACTTGACCCGACTTTCAGAATGTTTGGGCCTCTCATTATTAAAATGGGCCCTATTTGCACATTTTGTAAGGAATTACTTTTTGTCCCTTTTTTCATATCTTATCAAAATTTTTGTAATGTTTATTCTTATAATTCGACCAAAAGAAGAACTCTCATTTGTGAGCACTAACATTAAGCCCACGGTCTATTAGAAACTACCCACGTTCTCACTAAAGCAGGAAAATGATTATAATAGATATAAGCTGCAACATCAACAGATACTCTCTTCGGGATTAGAATCAAGGTTGAATTTTTAATGTTCGCGTAATAAAATAAAATAAACTTTATCAGATTCCATTTTATCTTAAATAATTTAAATAGTAAAATTTAGAATAATATAAAAACAGATTAACGTGGAACCTTTTTATTTATTTGCTGTTTTCAAAGACATATGTAAAAGCAGTGAAAATAATTGTTTTTGTTTCTGTTTCTTATATACCTTTAAAAATTAAAAATACATTATGCTTTTTTAATCAAACTAAGTAAACTGTTACCATTTTTTCTTTTCTTTTTTCTGTCTCCTCTCATTTGGTTGAATTTTTCTTCTTTGAAACCAAAAGAATGTGAATGAGTCTAAAATGAAGTATCTTTAGAAGGCTATTTTATTCCTTGAGTTCACATAAAAGAATGGACTGCGGCTAACTATAAAATTTGATTGGAGGAGAACATAAAGAGAAGAATCTGAGAAGGATCTCAATGACTTATAATAGGAAACAGACAATTTTAATGTGTGATGTTTTTAAAACAATTTTGTTAACAAGTATTTTCAAGGTGCTAGTTTAAAAATTAATAAAATAATATATTGTTATTATTTAAAATATTAATTAGTATCTTTATATTATTGTTTAGTATTTATTTTTAAAATATATAAAATAAAAGGATATATTAATTTTTAATATTATTTGTGGGAAAATACGAAATAAATTGACTGAATCGTACAAGAATAACAATATTTTTATTCGTGAATTATAACATTAATCGATATTGTATGCTTCCTCTTTAACCCGCCATAGAAACTGGAGTAAAGTGACTCGTCAGCCACGTGGACGTGTTCGTTCCACTCCGCTTATGCAAGGTGATGTGTATACGAATGACACTTGACTTGGTCAACTACAACTGCTCTGTCATTGGTCATATAAACTCTGGTAAAATACGAGAAAATTTCAATAATATTTAATAAAACTTGTAACAATTTTTTTTTTATCATCATTAATGTTACACCTTAAGTGTCAACTTAACATGTTGACTATTAATTAGATTGGTATTACAAGTTAAGGAATTGATAATAATAGAGTTTATGATGAATGAGAAAATTTGATAATTTTAAAGTTATAAAATGAAAAATAAATTTTAATAATTATTTTTTAAGAATTACGTGGAATTTCTTTGAGATGTGGTATATCAATGTGTTTAATTAAAATTTATTGTTCTAGATAAATAATTTTGTAAACTTTTATTGGTGTTAATTAATTGTAAAATTTTACTTAAATTATATTTAAATAATAAAGTGTTTAATGAATTAAAATAAACAAAATTTAAAAACAATTAAGACTTAAAAGTGGTCATTTTTTCAATAAATGGAATGGAGTGGTATTTTGTTATTTAAACCGTTACAATGTTTATAAAATAAAATGATAATTATAGAACATATATTTATTTTAGAGTATGTGATAAAATTAATATTGTTTTATAAAATATTTAAGTAATTTAATTCACTTTGAAGTATATTTATATTTCCTTTCATCGCACTCTATCATGCTTCAACTACATATTTATTTTCCAAAAAAGTCTTAACTGCACTTACATATCACCTTGCACTATATATATATATATACGAGTACAAATTATTATTTTCTACAATAATTAATATAAATTTTATATTCATAACATGTTTTAATTAATTAATAGTGTAAAAAAAAGTTACACGGGTAAAATACTAAATTAAATTCTATAAATTATATACTAATTATTTTTAAAATTTTAAAATTATAAAAATATAACATCCAAATGCAAATGAAATTAATAAGTATATTTAGGATCATAAATTTTTTATAAAAAATTAAACTTACAATCTTACAAAAGAAATAAAACAGCACAATGTTATTTAAAGGCGAGATTAATATTTAAAAGTTGTTTTTAAAAAATTGTCTAACACTTGAAGATACACAAATTATATATTAAAGTTTTAAAGAACTGAATAACAAACCAATGGACTAATTTACGCGTTGGGCAAATCAAATTCAAACACGACAGCGTGAAACTCTTTCTAGGGAGGTAGTATATGATGATGATTGATTATAGTTTAGCTTAAATATAAAGGCGCCTTCAGGAAACAAGAAAAAGAAAACCACGCTTCAATATCAAAGAGAGGGAAGATTCCTATGTGATCTCCATGTGCTACCATAAGTTCATCATCGTTGACCTCAACTTGTGTTATTAGTTCTTCAACAAAGCCAACACGATACCCATATTCCAAAACACCCTCACAATGGAACAGAGAACACTAGAACTCAACATCACATCGGCCAAGGATCTCAAAGATGTCAATCTATTCTCCAAGATGGACGTATACGCCGTCGTTTCAATCTCCGGCGATCACCACCATAAGCAAAAGGCCAAGACCCCCGTCGACAGAAACGGCGGCACCAACCCCACCTGGAACTTTCCCGTCAAATTCACCCTCAACGAAACGCTTGCGTTCCAAAACCGGTTAACCCTTGATATCACCCTCCGGTGTGAGCGCACACTCGCCGCCGACAGAGACATCGGTCAAGTCCACGTGCCTCTCAAGGAACTCCTCGACCAAACCGGCGACGGAAAATCCTTCCAGCATGTCAGTTACCAGGTCAGAAAACCCTCCGGCAAGCCCAAGGGTGCCTTCAATTTCTCCTACAAATTCGGAGAAAAATTCCCTGCTCCGACGAAACCGGCCGCGGCGGCTCCCAAGGCGGAGCCGGTCACGGCTTACCCTGGTCCGGCAACGAGTTCCGCTTCCGCGCCCTACGCCGCAGGGTATCCTCCACCGCCGCCGCAATATGCGACAGGATATGGGTCATATCCTCCTCCGCCGCCGCAGCAACCGGGTTACGGGTACCCACCACAACCCGGGTATGGATACCCACCACAACCAAGTTACGGGTACCCGTCACAGTCCGGGTATGGATACACAGCACAAGCAGGGTACGGGTACCCTGCTCCTCCTCCAAGAGTTCAGAGAGCGGGGAAGAACAATTTTGGAATGGGATTGGGGGCAGGGTTGCTTGGGGGTGCATTGGGTGGGCTTCTCATTGGGGATATGATATCTGATGCAGGTGCATACGATTCTGGTTATGATGCTGGTTTTGGCGATGCTGGTGGATTTGGTTTTTAATTTTCTTCTTCTTCTTCGTTTAATTTAGTTTTTGTTTTGGTGGTATGACTTAGAATATGTGTATTTCACAATTTTATTTAGTTTTGCTTTCCTTGCTTGTGAAAATGGTGTACAGGACTGGAAGCTACTACTTTGTGTAATTGTTCTTCAAGTTATTACTATGCAGTATCAATACTTTTTATGTAATTTAGTTATTTTGCTTCACTACTCTGTAATTTATTTATTTTTTTGTGTCTTTTGGAATTGCATCATTTGGTTTCTCTGGCAAGGTAAAAGGATGTTTTGTGTTGTTTTATGAGGAGAATGGATACCATTGTTCTACGAAATTGCTGGAGATAATTTCTATGACTGTTTCCTTATCATGTTGCTGAACTGTGGTTTGAACTGAGGAGGAGCCCAATCTCGTTTTAATTTGGCAGTTATTTCCGGGGAAGTAATGAAATTGATATGGTCAAATGTATGCTGCTAGCATTAATGTAGTTAACTGCCCTCGCGATCGGTCTCAAAAGAGTAGTTGCACTACTAATTACTCTAAATTGAAACTCAATTTCATAAAAATAAATAATTGTTTTTAGAAAATTCAAGTTTAAATAGGCACTTATTATCTTTATGAATATATAATGATTTTGTGTTTGATTTAATTTCTTTTCACGAAAATATGCTTGATTTGTTTCTCTTTGTGAATATATAATTTTGAAAAGCTATCGTAGACGATTCTAGCGTTTGTATCTAGATTATTTCATTAACTTGTATAAAACAAACTTCAAACGAATAACAGTAACACTAGGGTTGTATTATATAAAAGGAATAGAATAAAAGAATAAAGGGAATATAAAAACTTCAATGTATTTACTTCCCATGGTGCCTTATTTTCATTTGAAAAATAGAAATAAGTAACTAAGTTAATTACATATATATTTTTATAACTTAAAAATATCTATATCCACATTATTCGTTTTTCCAAATACCCTATGCATATTCTTATTTAATTTTAAATATGCTGTCTCTTTTACTTTATTAAAGATTTCATAAATTTAGAAATATATAGAGATACATATCAATTATCTGAAATTGGTGCTCCATGACAAGATAACGAGATATTACAAGTAGGGACGACGTCGGTGATAGGGTCTGGGTAATTTAAGTTCTAAAATATTCATACATATACATTTCAGTATTAGTTTCGGCTAAACAAGAGTTTAATTTTTTATTATTAATAATATCAATGAATTTGCTAAAATCTCCACTTATGAGTACAACGACAGGTCATCGTCCACGATAAATGATTGCCTTTGAGAATTTTTTTAATAATTTTAAAAAAATAAACTAATTATTTCGAATAGCAAACATAAAAGTCAAAAAACTTAACTACTCAATGGTATCCATCACTCGTAGGAATTCATTGCGCCAAGACCCTCCTCACTTTCATTTATCTGAAACATTTATAATATATTTGTTTGCATTTTTAAAAAGAGTATGTTTCTTTTTTATTTTTACTAAACATAAAATCCTCAAATCATAAATGAATAATCTTATTAAGTTGAGTTTTTTTAATTATATAGTTATTGAACATATATTGTTTTTTATCTAAAAAATTGCAATTAAATTTGACGTTATCGTCAATCAGTTCTCACCGTGCTTAGTCGTTAGCGTGTTCGAGAGCAAGGAAAAATCGGGTCCAGCATGTAATGGGTTTGGTGGAAATGACCCAGTCTTCTGGTTGAAGTGATCTAGAAGTGCAGAAAAATGCATGAACATAAAAGTGCATAAAAATATATATGTAGAGCAAAATGAGCTTCGGTATTTTGTCACGTCATTCTCAACTATGTTACTAAAATGTATTTTTCATGTAAAAAATTCATATGAGTTGGATTTTGAAAGCTTGTTAAAAAATTCTAATGAACTGAACTTCTTCGCCAGTAAAATGCAGTTCAATAGGAAAGAAGGGATAAGTGATTTTGGTTCATACAATGCAATCTTTATTTAGTCACATCACCAATAATAAAAAATTACGAATACCATTTATTTATTTACTAGATCATCACAATTTAGTATGAAATTAAGATTTAAAAATAGTTTTACAATGATGATTATAATATTTAGAAGCTTTCTAAAATTGAAATTGCAACTCAAAAACCCAGTTTCATAAAATGATAACATAATTATAATTAATATTTATTTCTCAAATAGTAATTCTTCCCTCTGACTATCTTTATTTTAAAATATGGTTTTATTGCACAATGTTGACATTTTCTGTGATTGAATTTTTATTGATTAGTTTATTAAAACAATTTTAACACTGACTGTTATTTAAAAGGTAATAAATTATACTTTGTTTTATTACCTATTATCTTACGGTTTAAATATAAATTTTTATTATGATAGAATGATTTAATTAGAACACATTTACAAGACATAAGAAAATTAATTAGTGTTAATTGATTAAAATTAACAAACATTAAAATTTTATAATAAGGATAGTTTTATTAATTTTAAACAAAATAAAGGTCTTAGATTTGAGTGTATCATATTTATAAAATAGGATTTTTTTAATGTAAATTTTAAAAATACAAGAGGTTGTGTAAATAGTGTAAAAAAATCTAAATTAAAACAATCAACTTTTTTTGTCGTCAAAAAATATTTTACTCTAGAGTTGTCTGAGCCATATTGAGCCCAATAAGTCCAAAAGTGTTAATAGCGGGCTTACGTTGACGAGGCCCGTGCTTTGTTATTAGTCTTCAATTCCACTTCGTTATCTTGATTTGACAAGAAAACAAAACAAAACCCAACCCTCGTTTTCTTGCGAAAACAGAAGCCGATAAACCCTAATTGCAAAATTGACGGTGTAAAACCCTAGAAAGAAGCAGTAGGAGAGGAAGAAGAGGAGCAATGAGACCCTTGGACGAGAAGGAAACGAGCGCAGTGTTCGAGAAACTCTTCAAGTTCGTTGGTAACAACCTCAAGAACATCGTCGAGAACCCCTCTCACGAAGGCCCCGATTCAAACCCTGGCCGCTACTGCTTCCGTCTCCACAAGAACAAAATCTTCTACGTCAGCGAATCACTGGTGAAGCGCGCCACGAACATCGCTCGTCCCAACCTGGTTTCCCTCGGAACCTGCATTGGAAAATACACTCACGGCGGAAACTTCCACCTCACCGTTCAGGCCCTCAACTTGGTCGCCGCCAATGCCAAGCACAAGGTCTGGCTCAAGCCCCAGTCCGAGATGTCCTTCTTGTACGGTAATCACGTCCTCAAGAGCGCGTTGGGTAGAATCACCGACAACATTGCTCCCGGCGATGGTGTTGTCGTGTTTTCCATGGCCGATGTACCATTGGGTTTCGGAATCGCCGCTAAGTCCACGCAGGATTGTAGGAAGTTGGACCCCAATGGTATAGTTGTTCTGCACCAGGCGGATGTAGGAGAGTACTTGAGGATGGAGGATGAACTTTGATGCATGGGGTTCTGTTGTACGGGGCTTTTTTAGTGTTTATCATGTGAATTGGATTGCCTTGAGATTGGTTTTGATCCTTTTTCAATCTCATGAAATAATATTACTTTTTATATAATTATATGTCTACTCTTTGAGGATTGATAATCGTATTCCTACGTGGCAGTTGCCTGTTATTTTGTGACTCAGGATTGGTGTAATTTTATGTCTTGAGGATTAATTTTGTCAAAGGAAAGTAATCAATGAGGACTCGTTTAATATTTTCTTTGGTATTATATAGTTTCATTTGAAGGTAAAAAAGTTATTCTATTTAAAAGACAAACAGTGCGGGTAACTAACTTTCGGAGTGTACGCAATCTTTTGCTTGATGTGAAGATAATTTAACCTAACTTGTATGTAGTTGGCTGTGTTTTAATCCCAATTTTACCTGGGTGTTCCAAGCAAGAAAGTTATTTTCGTTCTCTAAGAATTCTCGTGTTCCTTGTCCCGGGGATTACAAAGTTTTCGAGGAAACTAGTGAAGGGGAATCACTATTTTGATTCTATCAGTGATGTATTGGGTAAAGTTGCTTCTGACCCTGAGCTAATTGAGCTTGAGACAATTGCTGATAATGATTGTACTAGCAAGGAAGGAAATTGCTGATAAACTGAATCCTAAACTTAATGCTGCCAACGGTACATTGGTCAATAGATTGAAATTCGGTGAATCAGGAAATTCCAATGTGCAGCAAGAAACAGAGATTGGATGCATGAGAAGTATAAAGATAAAGGCCGTTGTCTGGTTCCCAGGTTTGCAAGTGACACCTGGAATGAAATTGAAGAGGCCAGTTTCATCCTTGGCTTGTATATATTTGGGAAGAACCTTGTAGTGAAAAGATTTATTGGTAATAAGAAGATGGGAGATATACTGTCATTCTATTATGGGAAATCTTATAATTCTGAAAAATATCAGATGGTCTGGATGTAGGAAAATGAGAAGCAGAAAATGTATTTATGGGCAGAAAATATTCACAGGACCAAGGCAGCAAGAGCTTTTATCTCGTTTACTAACAAACATGTCAGAGGAATGTCACAAAAAATTACTTGAGGTACTGATTTAAATTCTTCCAAATTTTTGAGATTATAATATCATTGTTGCTCCACTGTAATGGATTGGATCTACCAATCCTTCGTTCACCTTAATTGCCTGGGAAAAAGGCCATGTCTCCTCCTTCCCAATTCCCAACCATATATAGAACAAAAAGAAACATTTCAAAATACCAGAATTTACGGGTGTCAACAGTTTAGTCTTGAATAAACATCTTTCAAAGCCACTCTTTCTTTCAGTTGTAGTGCTTAAATCAAGTAGTATTCAAAAGTCATCGTGTTTGACTTTTGTTTCTATGTCATAATGGAAAAGATATTTGCAAGAATCATTTTGAAAAGTCTGAATTCCTCCCCCTTTTTATCTTGTCTTGAAAAGTCTTTTGCATACCTCAGTAGTTATGCAGAACAAAACTATTGTCTTAGCAGGTCTGCTGCCTATTAGTTTGTCTTCTTTTATTTATTCTTCACTATGAATGTGTTATAACTAATATTAAATTCAACTACTTTCTAGGTGTCCAAGACATTTGTAGAGGGGAAAATGCTTCTAGAAGATTATGTTTTTACTTTAAAGGCCTCTGTTGGGCTCAAAGCGCTTGTTGAGGGAGTAGGAGTTGGTAAGGGGAAAGAAGATCTTACAGGTCTCACCATAGATTCCACGAGGTCCACTCAAGCACTTCCTGTTCGTCAAGAAATACCAGTTGGCAAAGCATGTTCAATGCTTGCACCTTCAGAAATAATAAGCTTTCTAACAGTTGATTTCAGATTAAGTAAAGCTCGAACAAGTGATCTCTTCTGGGAAGCTATTTGGCCTCGTTTACTTGCCAGAGGTTGGCACTCTGAGCAGCCAGATAATCATAATTATGCTGTTGCTTCTAAGAATTCTCTTGTCTTCCTTGTCCCTGGGGTCAAAAAGTTTTCAATTAAACTAGTGAAGGGGAATCACTATTTTGATTGTCAGTGATGTCCTGGGTAAAGTTGCTTCTGACCCTGAGCTAATTGAGCTTGAGACAATTGCAGATAATGATTGCACTAGCAAGGAAGGAAATGGGTTGACAAAAGATACAAAACTGGACAGCGAAAATTCCGCTGATCAGCCCCGCCACTGCTGTCTCAAGGTAAAAACTCCAAATCGCAGTTCGGATGTCATGAAATTTACTGTTGTGGACACAAGTCTGGCTATTGAAAAGATGGCAAAGGTGAGAGAACTGAGAAGCTTGCCATTTGGAGTTTTAAAAGCTTGTAGTTTTGAAAATGACTCAGATGATGAGAATAGTTCAGAGGAGCAAGCAAATGAATCTGTGTCTGTCAATATCATATGCTTTGATCGGGGAGATAATGATAATACTAAAGCCAGTAAGTCTAATGTAAGTAAGGTGTCTCTTCACACTTGAATGGTTTAGAAAACAATGCTTCAAAAGAGGAGCTTCCAAGGAGCAGCATGGGTTCGACTAGTCTATCTGCCGTCTCCACGGACCCTAAGACAGAATGCTTAAGCAACGCACAGAGACGAGATGGTATGAAGTGCCAATCACTGCTGAGAATGGCATCTGATAACAATAATGATCTAGTTCCTGTCACAAAAAGGAGTAGATTAAAGGCCTGTAGCCGAGCAAAGAAAAATAGCAACAGTGCCAATTTCTTTGTGGTTCCGAGAGTTAAAAAGGAGGCCAGTTTTTGTCCAGATCTGGACAATTCAAATTCTACTGAGAATGTAACTGCTAACTTCTTTGTTGCTCCCAGAGTAAAGCAAGAGAAAGCCAGCTACTGTCCTAACAAGTCTAAATTTAGTGAGAATGTTCTTTCATGGGTAGTTCCACCCCAGGATAAGTCATTAGCAGGTTTTCCAACCCAGAAGAACAAGACATTAGCAGATTCTCTGGAAATGTTAAATTCAATTTTAAGGGTTAAAGTTAAGCAATTAAAAATAAGTTTTTTATTTAAAAATATATTTATTATTGAAAATATGACAATATATTAAATATTTAAAATTATTTTTTATGATTGAAATTAACAAAATAAAACAATTACTAATAATAGTTTCTGTCATTATTTTATTTCTTCAATGTTTCAATTTGGGTCAACTTATTCTCAGCAACTTAAGTCAGTTGGGTGGGGTTTACCAATGGATATCATGACCCGGTTGTTATTTTACTCTTAGTTTGAAAAGATGACCCAAATGAAATTTAGGAATGGACAAGTGACAGGCGTAGTTTTCACTAACTCAATTTAGTAGAGTCCAAATTCAATTTGATGGTGTATGTAGTAATTTGGATTTCGATTTTTACAAAACGGTAACGTAGCACGGGTTGAGACAGGGCATCTGTCCGTATTTAGAATCAGTTTTTTCTGTGAATGCGCCCTCCCAAATCAGAAAATGGTGGTGTGTGGTTTAGTTTTGGATTTATTCCCAATAATAATAATAATAATAGTAAATTAGAAAGGTTTTAAAAAGGGTAAAACAAATTGATGAGAAGTTGATAGAGGAAAGATTATAGGAAGTGAGGGAAGAAAAAAAGAGAGAGATAATCTTTTAATTAAATAAATCCTTAATAGATTTTTTTAAGAGTAGAGTTTGTTAAGAAGGTACTAGATTTTTAATCTTATTCAATATTTTGCATTGGTAATAAAATTGTTTTAAAGGTTTGTTATAGATTAAGATGGTGTTTAGGAGTAAAAAAAATTTCCTAAGTTATGGAATTTTATTGATATAATTTGTGGTGGATGAATGAGTTGTATATCTTAGAAGCTTGAATACATCTTGAAGATTGTGTTAGGCAAATTTCAATTAGAATTTGTGCGATTTTAGATTCTTATCCGTCAATTTCTGCTTAAAAATAAGAAATTTGAAATTTTAGTAAAACATGCCAGATCTCGACATGTTTTCATAAGAGTAGATGGAAGTTCTCTATTTTTTTGTCAAAAAAGAGAAAAAATTGAGGAGTTTTGAGGATTTGTAATAAAAGTGATACTTCAATATGTTTGCTCATAAAGTTGCCTGAAATGATTTAAAATGAAGGAAGAATTTTTTACAAGTCCAAACATCAACCGACGTACAAAAAGTGAAGAAATGTGCTGAAAAGCGGCATGTCTTGGAATGGTTATTAGCTATTTTACTAACAGTTATCACTAATATCGAAACAACAGTTGCGGATCAAAACATATAAAAAGATCATGAAACGAGAAAGCTATAGTAGCTACACAACGTACTCAAGGAATTTACAAAAGAGTTCGCAGGGGAAGAAAGAAAAAGACAAACTTATATATAAATAGACTAAATTTTATGTTTAAAGGTACCACTTTTACACATACTACCAAGAAATCCGTGTAAGTCAAAATTCTATACACCAGTTAGACTCAGCAACTCAGAGAGATCAACAGACCTGAGTTGAGTGTAGTCAAAGTTATACGTTTACATTTTTACAATTTGCTACAATTCAAGTTTATTTTTGTGTAACTATTATCTTTATGTTTAATATTGCTTTATCATTCTTCTATTTTCATTCTTTTTGATTATTTTACCTTACTGCGTTAATTTTATTATACGTTAAAAATACACTTAAAAGAATTTAAAAGAGAATCTAAAATTCAATCTTGAAATTGTTCTTGAATTCATTTATTTACTAATTGCAAATGTCACCGCTAAATAGATGGCAAAGTGATTGTTTGTTTCGAAGTTCAATAAAATATATTTTTAGTGAAGTGTGTTGTGTATTAAAAAGCATGAGAATTGATGTATTAACTTGAAGAGTAGCAAGTTCAAAGAAAATAATGCAAAAGGTAATAGAAAACTAAAGAGCTAGAAAAGGTTCATTTTGAGTTAGTTGATGCATTCCGTGTCACCAGAGGTATACGATCATGTTAGGTATAGAGAGATGTCTGAATTATGACGGGACCAACTTGAAGAATGCTGAATTATATAGCTAATTTATATACATTCTAACTCAATTAATGTACAAAAAAAGATATTAAGAATCTTAAAAATAAGAAATTTAAGAATTAAATTATATTTTTAACAAAATGTGTGATTACAACTTCATTATTTAGCTATTAATATAGTTTCAATTATTTAATTATTGAAATAGTTTTTGTTTTTAGTAACTATGATAGATTAGTAAAATTTTTACACATTATACAGACATTCTTAATTTTAAATAAAATTTTTGAATAAAAATAAAAGTATTGCACATCTATTTTAAAATTTAAATAGATTTACAAGTTAAAAATAACAACAATTATTGTTATTAATTTTTTTAATTATATTAAATAGAACTAAGTTAAAGAGATATGACAATAAAATTTTATTTCACTAGATAAAATTTGCTATATGAATTATATGATGTCATTAAGTTTAGTTAAAAAAAATTTAAAGAGATAAACTTTCAAAATAAAGAAAATTTTAGAGAAATATATTATTAAAAGTCAAATGTTTTTTCTTTATTGATATGGTGCATTTAAATTCAAAATTTAAGAATTAAAGTCAATTTCAGATTGATTAAAATTATGAAAATATTAAACTTATATTTATCTAAAATATGATATTTAGCATTTAAATTTAAATAGAATTAAATTTAAATTAAATGTTAATAAAATAATATTGAAAAGAAATGAAAGTTAATCAAAATAAATATTAAATGTAAAACAAATACATTATATAATAAAAATAAAATAAAATATTAAAATATTTTCATTTAGAAATAGAGAATTAAATTTATCGTATAGATATTGGAATGGTTAGGTTCACATTGGAATGGATATTCATAACCCCAAACTTACCCCCCTTACTTTCATGAATTAGGAAAAACTTCATTTTAGAGAGGGATTAAAATGATTTTTTTCTTCGCTTAAAGTCAGATTAAAATCAAATATTTATGGTTTACATTTAATTATTGTGTCTAATATAAATATTATAGGTTTATATTGTATCATAATAATTTTATTATTATTTTTTATTCAATTTAATTTAGATTTGACTTAGACAATGTACCTAAAATTAGTATACGAAAATTAAAATACAAAATTTTACTTAAACAATATTGAATCACTTACCACTCAAAAATTACTAATTAATTTTATATAAAACTCATTAATACATATTTCACCATTTTTAAATTTAGTGCAATTTATTTTGAGGTGAATTTTTTTTAGAAAAATAATTTAAAAAATATTTTTCTAAAATAATTTATTTTTATACAAGAATAACAATTTTAAGCATAACTGTACTTTTTTTTTTCAACTAATAATGTTTAATTTAATGTGTCGAGCTGTTACTTTTCAGCTTTGAGCATTCTCAATATTACCCGTGGAATGCACCAATATATATTCCTGACCATTAATTATTATCAGACACTTAAGGAATGGTAGTCTTCCTCTTAAAAAAATTACAAATTAATGCGGTTAAGAGAATTTATAAAATATTTTATATATGTTTTTATTAAAGATAAGTTTATTTGAGTTAGATAAAATTAACGAAAGATATATATATATATATATATATATATATATATATATATATATATATATATATATATATATATATTCAAATATTCAATATAACCATGTTAGAACTTGAATTTAAAACTACGTATTAATTTGAAATAATCCTTTACCAATTAATCATATATTTATGATTTTTTTATAATTTAATAAAATAAATTATTTTAAATTTAAGTGACTTGAAATACATATTTCGTTAAAATTAATTAATCTAACTTTTTTCTTTCATTTCACCAATCACTTGCACAACCGAAATAACTAAGAACACAACCGTGCAAATCATATTATTAGACATTAAATTAAGATCAAATATTCGTCTGCACATTACTTTAGATTCTTTAATCGGATATATTTTTGTCCCTTTTCAATTGTTAGTAAAAAAGGAATATGACAATAAAAATTCTCCTAAAATGGCGTTGTGGGAGAATTGATCCAACATTCCTTGTGTTGAGCACTTTATTCTCAAAATCAATGAAAATTCCCCCATTCCATCATTTATAATCAAAGTTAGGCATAAACCTAACAATTGATGAGCAAACAAACAATTCTCATCTACCTTTAATCTTATTCTTTTCTATCACGAAATTCCGAACCTTACTTTTCTTTCTTCATCGTTGAAAAATTCTCATCGGTATCTGAATTATACGCATTCATATATGATATAACTTCACTAGTCCAATCGGATTGTCTTCCTTTTTTTAAACTCGTTTCCATTAGAAATGGAGAATAAGTTCATATACCTCCGCGGGGCCATCATCCTTTAGTATTTAAGATGCCCATATTTTGATCAAGGTAGATAATCATTTCAAAATGAAGATATGTTTTAGCATTATGTGTAAAACATAATGCTAAGAAACTGGTGTTTACACACTTAAGCCTATTTGAAGTTGGTTGAAATATAAATAAATAATCAATTAAAAACATTTGAAACTTATCTGATATACCAAAATATAATATTAAATTTGGGAGAGTAAAATATAAATAAAATCAGCATATTTAGATATGAAATTGTAGATACCAATACTTTTAAGATTGATTAGTTTTTAAAAATATTAAAATATGAATAAATTAACACATTTAAAGATCATGTTTAATTATTATTATTATTACAGTTGGCAAATTTATAAAGAGTTCCAGAAAGGAAGGGATAAAGGCATAGCATCTCTTGGTTTCCCACGTAACCGTATATCTCTACTTAATCAACAATGTTTATTAAGAGTATCGGAACAGATCATATTGCATGTTGTTCAGTGTGTGTTACTTTATGTTAAACAAATCTTTTACTTATTTTTTAAGAAAAGTCGTATGCGTCTCTGATATATAACTTATTATAATTACAACTGAACTTGTTAGTTTCAATAATTAAATGTCACAATTTATTCTCTTCAAAAATCATACATGGTCACCCCTCCATATATCACAATCGCATGATTTAGGTTTAAATTTATGAATTATTGGTAGGGAACAATTTATAATTTTATTATGAAATCTTCAATAAAATTTTGAATTGTAAGAAAACTCCCTCATCTTCCCTAAACCCTAAAACTATTTAGAAAAAAATAATAATTTGTTTCCTATACTCACAAAGCCTGCTATAAGTAAGATCTCATTGTTGTACTTTTCTTTGCACATGGCTATGATGCCTTATCTACAACATTTATCCTTTTTTTAAATCTATTTTCATACATTATTGATCTTGTCTCATATTTTCTCTTTATCCTTCTCATCTCTCTCTTTAACTATGGAAATAGAATTTTTCTAATTGAAATGGGTCCATACAATATAATTACTACAAACAAATTTACCCTTTCCAAAGGAAAATACCTTTACCTAAGCAAACAACAACTTTTCAACCCAAGAAATAGGAAACTTCTAAATCTTATTATTGAATGGATAACTTATTGAAACAATGTTAATAACTGATGGTTTATTAATTTTTATGTAATATAATTAACATGACTTGTATGGGCTAACCTTTAATGCAACAAAGCAATCATCAATAGTTTCTTTTTTCAATTTAAGGTTTTTCTTTTTCTTTTTTTTTTCCTTTTACATTTCATCATATTTGATTGTTTATCTTGAATTTAAAGATTTTTTTTTTTGGGGTCAAGGATCGAATTTAAATAACATATCAACAAGTAGTTTTTTCATAATTTTGAATAGATATTTTAACGCATGATTCATATCGACTGTATATGTACTTATTTTCATTACAAAATCATTGAGCATTAATTGAACTATTTTTTTTTCCATAATGGCACGATGATTGTTACTGTAGTTTTGGAAGTATACAATTACATGGGTGTTGCATTATTAATGTTAGACATTGGTGGTATTTTCTCATTTATCAACGTTTTATCACAGAATCTGTGTGTTTTGAAAACTATTATTCTCCTTTGTTGGCTCAAAAGTATTTTTGATGTAGTAAAAGGAATAATAAAATGGCTTAAAAGTCGGATGATCTAGTGACATGGCGAATTGGTGCGCATGCACATACTTATAGACATATATAGGTGAAATATTTGGTTTTTAAGTTGATAATCTTTGTCACTGAATATATATATATATAAGCAATCTATTATTACATAATGCAAAGCCGTAGCCAACAGCAACTTTTTGGTGACTAGAAAGATCTTAGCCTCTCTTTTTCAAAGAAGAAGCTAATATAGAAAGACATATACGTCTCTCAAGGATGTCGATACGAGCAAGTATCTTAATTTGTTCAGAGTAGTAGTATTTTGTCTCTGGCTTTTCTGTTGAGACATTAACAAAGGTTTGTTGTATATACATGTAGCATTACATCTATCGTGGAGCCAAGCCCTATATATATGATTCTCTATGTGACATGGGGTTAAAGAAGTAACATGCTTTAAAAGTTGGTCGTTTAATGACTAAGGAGATGTTCGAATAATTTTATCACAACCAAAAAAGGGCAAAATCCCTAAAAGTAACTATTAACGCTGATTTGGCATATCAAGAAACCACAACTTGGAAATGTTTTGGATATATTGGGAATCAAAATTGTGCGAGGCGGGAAGTTGTGGTTAGAAATTGGTTTTGATGCCACTTCATTGTCTTCGCCATTACCCTCAAATAATTTTCCTTGTTCTTGCCGTGAGTATTTGATACAAGTACGTTTACTTCACTAACACAAACTTCTAGAGAAGAATATTTATACCATTCAAATAGCAGAATATTTTGAGGGGAGGAGCCATCACCCATTACTGTTAGTGTCTATGAGTACGTTGCTTGTAATAAAAAAAATTATATATATTTGAATTTGTGGAAATAATTGATTTTAAGTTATGGACTAATTAAAGGAAGATACGAAATTGAGAAGAGTGACAAATTAAGGTGGTCCAATGGGATTATTCGAAAGGAATTCGAGAGAAACTGACAAAGAGAGAGAAAATCTTTGTGTCAGGAGAAGGAAATGTAGAATTTTGGTTTGTGTATATATGTCTCTGTCACAGGACCATGTGGCGCGAGGAGGAGGTAACAATTTGAAGCAAAGTCATTACCATGGGGTCGATGAGAATTAATGTCCCTAAAGTACTACAACTTTTGATGTTGGATGTGTTGGAATCAAGCTCAGTTACTTTTATTGGCTAAGTTTATTTATCAGTCTAAATGAGTAAATAAACAAGCTAATTAGTCATTCTTTTATTCGATATGTTATTTTTTAGGTTGTATTCTTCTAATTGGCTTAAATCTCAATAACATTGAAGCAAAGTAATTCTTCTAATTAATATGCTTGTCTATGCATATTTCTACCTTTTCTAGAAATTGGATTTGGCGCGAAACTGTTTAGAATTTGGCCTAGCATGCGTGTGTGCTTGTGTATTGTCTACTTTGTAGGAATAAACTCCAAATTTAAGGAATATTTTAAAGTACAGACACTTAACTATTTGTACCTCAAAATCTTAAATGAGACTCTTCGAAGACTTAAAGATCCGTTTGAGAGTCAATTTTTTTAAAAGATTTTTTTTAATAAAAAATCATTAATTTAATAAATTTAATCTCAAAAATAAAAATTAATCTCTTTTTCTTTCTCCTCCATAATCATACTTCTAAACATAAGAAACCAAAATTTGCGTAAGTCACGTAGACAGTTTCAATGGGCAAAGATAAAGTAATTGGGTAATAATTGAAGCACTACACTGTACCTTATAAGTTTGTAGACTGAGTTTTGAGTTTTGTGCAAGGAGAGATTGAAGGGTTTAACTAGAGATAATTGGAATCTATCGATCATGTCCAAATCTACTACTTAGGAGAAGATGAGAGCTTTAGTGTACATGGATTACAACTTGTAAATACAACCGCTCCACCTAACCTTTTTCCTGCATATAAAGCTGGAAAATTTAAATGTATGGTCAATATTAATTGAAGGGAAAATTTTATTTATAATTTTGGATTAACATAATTTTATTCATATAATTGCTTAAAAAATGATAAGAAATCTGTGTTATAAAAATATATATTTATATTATGATAAAAGAAATAAAAGATTAAAAGGTAAAAAAATGAGATGAAATTTTATTAAATTTCAACACGTGTGAATATAAATTCATTTTAACTTCAAATTTAACCATCTATTATAGACAAAGAGGGAAAGAAGTAATTATAATCACACAATTATATATAGAAAATTAAAACTTTTTATCCAAGTTATCATCTTATCAATTATATATACACTCATTTGCACACTTTCCGTTATATATATATATATATAATTATAATAATTTTGAAAATTCAACATAGGGACTTGGATTGAAGGAAAAATTTATGATTTTGTATTATATATCATCGAAAGACCCCCCCTCACAAATTATAGTAATATAAATTGAAGGGTGGCGATGTGTATTGTCAAAACTAGTTAGGCGAACAAAAGGCTTTTACCGAAAGCATAAATTAGCATAGATAGTTAGGCAACAAAGACAAATCTGCTAGGAAAGCCTCACCCCAATATACGTTTGTGTCTAAGGAAATTCAACAATGTTATTTCCTCACCATTCACCAACGACCATCATTAATTGAAAACAATTCCTTTCATCTTTGGTCCCCACACCCATTATATGCACTTCTTGATCGTTCCCCACAAACCATAGGAAACCTTTTGGAAAAGTGCATATCATTTATTTAAGTCTACTGTGCAGTGAGCATCCCCTTTCTACTTAAAGAAATTTATTCCATTACCATTCAAGTCCAAATTATACAACTCCCCTCTCCCCCACCTTTCCACTCATAGTTTTCTTCACCACTTCACTTAAAGATACAATTTGATTGAAATAGCCCCACTAGTCTCTCACTCACTGAGGAACTTGATTTGCTTTATGTGACACATTTTCATTTTCTCCAATATATAAAACTTTTTTGTTTTTTTTTAAAACAATCACTTATTTTTAAAATATATAAAAGCTGACAAGAATAAGCTGCTGTTCTTGTAAAATAAAATGAATAAAAGTGCATATTGTGGTAGTTCTTTTTACTGAGTTGTTATTTGTTTTTGACTGTGTTGCAGAAGAACAGTTTCTTCCCCAAACAAAACAGAGATTCTGAATGCGTGGGGTTACGATGCTTGGAGTACGCAAATGGAAAAGTGAATCTGGATTCCCCCAATCGGATTACGATGATCGATGAAATTAATCGAGGCCCCCCCCCTTCTCCCCAAACACACCTTTCTCTTAAGACTCTTCTTCGCCGGGTCCCACCTTAGCTGTATTCACATCCAAACAACCCTCTATTTATAGTATACTATATATCTTCCATTCTTCTCCGTACTCATCAAATGTCAATTTCAGTTTTTAATTTTATTACATTGATTAAAAATTTGTTTTTTTTTAATTTTAAAATAAAAGCTTAAATTTGGCTCCAATCAGTGTTTTACATTGAATTGGCCTAAGCTTAATAAAAAGAAACTGGATAAATCAAGCTAAAAAGTCTAAAATTAATTTGAGGTTAAAATTTCATGTCTAAATTTTATATTTTAGGAGGCTTGATGGAGTTAGCTCAACAAATCATTTTCACTAGTTCTACTTGATATGGATTCATGTTTATAAAAAGTGACAAATAATTTATATATGTTTTTAATCGTTTGTAAGTCTATGAAATTTTAATTTTAGTCCTTTAAAAAATTACTATTAATATCTAATCATTTTATCCTTTCTTAATAAAAAATTGACATGCAATAAATATTTTAATTAATCATGTTGATACCAAAAATAAAAAATTTAAATTTTAAAAAATTAAAATCTCAGCCAAAAAATACATTTAACCTTAAATAAGTGGATGGTGAAACTTTCTGATCCTCACAGTTCCATCATTTCACCTATAAATACACAACACATCATATGCTCCCCTCAAAGGTTGGCAACACAAATTAAACAGACACTTGTGTTTCTTCTTCATAATCGTCAGTCAGCACCTTAATTTGTCGTGTGAGGAAATTAATAATGTCAGGGGTTTGGGTTTTCAAAAACGGGGTGGTGAGGCTGGTGGAGAACCCTGCAGGAGAGGCAGTGGAGGGAAGCCGAGGTGGAAGGAGAAAGGTTTTGGTTTACACTCCAAGCAGTGAGGTGATAACATCGTACTCGGTGTTAGAGCGGAAGCTTCATTCACTTGGTTGGGAGCGTTACTACGACGACCCAGAACTTCTTCAGTTCCACAAGCGCTCCACCGTTCACCTCATCTCCCTCCCAAGGGACTTCAACAAGTTCAAAGCCATGCACATGTACGACATAGTCGTCAAGAACAAGAACGCTTTTGAAGTCAGGGACATGTAGGCTACGAGCCTAGCAAGAGATCATCGCATATATTGTTATTATCTGCTACTACTCATTCAACTATCTTAGGGAATAATTTCTTGTTCGTTTGTGGGACTGTGAGAGTCATGTCCAAGTGATTGTTATGTTTATTATTAACTCGTGTTTATTATGTATAAGTAGGGTCTGATTCGTGATGTGTGAGTACTCCCTGCCATTTTCGCCTGTGTTATGCTGTAAATTTTTACTCATCCTGCAATAAAATTTATCTTTTTCATTTTTTTTGTCTGTCACTATTTTTTAATTTTTCTCTTCTTCCTTTTTTTTTCTTATCTTTATACAGATGAGGTAATAAGTATGCGTAAAACATTAAGTATGAAGATAGAAATTGAATAATACACAAGTGACAAAAACTCATACTTTACTACATTAAAGTTTTGAGTTAGACATAGGATTTAAGTAGGCTTGTATGATTTGTTCATGTCTCATCTTTCTGTTGAAAGATATTTTCTTGGTCGTATTAGAGTCAGATCTCCTCTTTGGTATTTAATTAAGCAGCCAAAGACTTGAATGACTGGCTCAACACAAGTATTAGGATCATGGGGGGATCATAACATCTATTTTCTCCGCTCATTAATTTTACACCTCATTTTAAGGTACTAGACCATCATTTTCCTTTCACAATTGAACGATATTCGGCTTATTTCGGTCTTATGAAGTTCAGTTGATTCAACTTCATGTGAAACTATCATATTATTTGACTGATGTATATAGCACATTTCTCTTGTATGAAGATGACTTTGGATTCTGGGAGGATAAATTCGTCGGGGAATTGAGTTCGATAGCTAATTTTCCAATAGACAAGCCTAAGAATAAAAAAACTCGTACAAGATATATTTTAAAAAAATTTGTTTACATCCAGTGAAATTTTTGTGACCAATAATATAATATACCAACATGTCATGTAAATGTTTGTTCAACCTTTTTGCAGGTTTGATATAAAAATAAATAAGTAATGACCCTTCTTAAAAAATCAGAGGATAGTTACAATTACTCAGTTCGTGGATTTCAATTTAAAACTACTAACTACAATCTTGTGTATTATACAATTTTTTCAATTTAGGTAAAATTACAAAAGAAATGGAAAAAAATTAATTTAAGTAAAATCTAATAGTATAAATTAAAAATAAAATATACTATTACTTCAAATAAATTAAACTTAAAATTTTAAAAAGTCAAGACTTAGAGTATATACTTATGTTTTACAGACAAAATTTAAATTAATTTAACAAATATGGGTGGATGAAATAAGCACGAAATTGGGTAAAGGATGATCTAATTATGAAGGTATGTACAGAAAAATATTACAAGATTCAAAATTGTTTCCCTTACGAAAGCCACGCAGAGGAGGCAGCAATTTTTGTGGCTCGTGCATGAATGACAAGACATAGAGATGGGCGAAATTGAGATCACGTGAGAGTGGATTCTATTGTTGACAATTTGACTTTTCTTTTTCCTTAAAGAGTAAGACCAACTTTATGCTGCAGTGCACGTTTCTATAAAACATGGACTCGCACGTTTATAAAAAAAAGAATATCATTTTATTTTTGGGGATAATTTTATGTTAAAAAATTTAAAGAAATATTATTTTTATATATTAAAATTAATAAAAAACTTAATAACAGAATACATGATTCATGTTACTCGATTATACAATTATCTTCTTTCTTGTTCTTTTATATTTTTGGTAAGTGGAAAGTGGCGTCCAACCCAAGCCTAACTCGCACGCTCCTATTAGGCTACCTCTCGAGTCCACTTCTCCGCTATTTTTGTAACTAAATTTAAATTGAATAGTGATATTTTCATTTATAGTATTTTTTTTCTTTCATTTTCTTGGTTACACTATATATTTTATGCTATAATTCTCTCTCTTTTTTTTCTTTGCTTATATCTCTACTTATTGTAAAAATTGGTGTGAAAGTAACATTACTATATATTTTTTTTTCTTATCTTTTTATTTGTTGTAAAAATTATACTGAAATGGCTTTAATCGTCAATTAAATGTATGCCTATTCATACACATTTTGCACGTTCATAATAAAAGTGAAACTAATTCCTTGGGGTTCTTTATTTTTATTTTTTTGGTAATTTTTTATATTATATTCTTTTCATATGGAATATCAGAATATAATTTTGGACCATACGGCATATTTGTACAAATATCCCTCCGAAAAAAACTTCACAAATTGGCTAAAAATATTTGGACTTTTAGTTTTCATATGAAATTCATAAAGGCAATCCTTGGCGTGTGTTACCTATTTTTTTTACATCATATTTATAAAGTATGGTAGAAACCATGTTATTTTAATGTATAGTTTGTAAATAATATTATTTGAATAAATTAGCTTGGTACAGCAAGGAAGACTTTATGAGGAAGCTATCAGATACCTTCATCTGAAATGATTTGAAATGACAGAGCTCCTCTATGTCTCGCCTACAATGGAAGAATCTTGCAATGAGTTATACTTTGGAAATCTTCCATATCCAAATTTTTTTACCACATGATATCACACAAAGAAACCATGCATTGAACCAAACCTTCTTAGCCAGTGGCTTGAACCATCTTAGGTTGAAATGGGATTGCAAGAATCTCAAATGCATGTGGTCCATTCCACGTTGTCCTTCTTGATCAAGGAAAAAGCATCAAATTAACAACTCTCGAGGATAATACTCCTGTCACCACATAATGTTTAATTTAGGAAAATATGAATGAGATACTATAAAACATTTGTTTTTATTTTATAAAAATTATTTCAACTTCACTAACTTCTATGGTTTTAATTATCATTTAATGAAATTCATATAAAATGTATTAATTAAAAAATATGTTGGGGGTGTATTTTTTTTATCTTATCAAGTTCGATATTAATTAATTGCAAACACAGGAGAATGCTCATAAGAGTATAAGACATTCAAAGCCAATAGCTATAGCTTGCAACTCTCATTAATCGTATGGAGTGCTCTCCCAAAATAAGCTGGGAGCATGGATGCACCCTATAAGTGGTTTTTTTTTTTTTTTTTTTTGGTAGAGTTATACATATAAGTTTTGTTTTTCTTAATTTTATCTTTTTTAGTGAAATTAAAATGGATCGTTTTTAAAACTCGTGTTTTATTTTGTTTTATTCTTAAAATATAAAATAGAGAAATTCACCTTTTAAAACGTAAGATGTATATTTTGAGGATAAAAAACAAAGTGATCATCTTTAAATAATGAATCAATTACTGAAATCGTACTAAAATATATATACATGTAAAATAAGTTATGTCTTAAGTTGATGGAATCCACTGCACGATTACCAGATTCACAGTATGTGATCACATTTATATAAATAACATTTCATACATATGAAAGATTTACCATTGATTTTATTGCCCATCATCACACCAAAGATTTCTAGTGTAAACGTAAACATCATAACTCAGAATTTTTAGCTAACAGTTATTCGTACTGTACTTTTTTTGAGGGAGATAATTGTCAATTTATACACAATTCCTTAGATGTGTTTTTGCTATTTTAAAGTAAAATTGAAGTTTATTTCGGCAATTTACATAGTAAAAAATTATTATAAATCTATATTAATTATTAACATGATTTAGTCATAGAATAACCTCAAAAGTACTCAAATACTATAGTAAGTTATGTTCTCTGAAATATAAAATATTTGTATTTTCTCAATTTAAGATAAAATAATATCTTTCACTGGATATAAAATAAAATTAAAACTCAGATTAAGATAATATTTAAACCGAAATTGTCCCGCAATGATTAATTGAGATTGGTGAAAATAGGAGAGGGAAAGAAAATGATTTATTTACAAAGATAGATGGTTCAACCGTTCTTGAGGATCCAAATAGAAAAACCACAACGTGGATTTTCTCATACAGCCCTCTTTTTAGTCACCTTCCAGCACAATTTCAGTCTTTAATTTTATGATCTAATGATTGAGATTAGTCAAAAAAAGAAGAATGAGGAGTAAGAGAAAAAATAATTTATCTACAAAGACGGATAGATGGTCCAACCAGTTACTTAAATGTTGATGGATATAAGTTAAGAGAAGTGAAAAAGACAACTGTAGAACATAGCTAAAATAACATAAGCCCCTGAAGTGGTTTCACCTTGGCACCTCACACATAACGTTTTAATCCTCTCATGATGCTTGGAATGAGAAGACTCAATCCACAATTCGACATCAATATTTCTGGTCCTTGCAGGGCCCACATAGTCCACATATGACTATGTTATTAGAGTCTATTTTTCTTTTTGAGCATGATTTGATACTAGACATATTTTTTGGTGTAAGGAGGCTAAAGTGATTATTTTGAATAGTTTAAGGTATGAACGATTTCAATTTTATATGAATATGGCAAACTGACAAAATCCTGTGTGCGGGCTGATGGTAGGTTTCATATTGTAGTTTGAAAGTGTGACCCCTTTCAAAGGAGATCTTTTGAAACAGTGCACCCAAAATCATGTAGGCTTGACAATATCATTACTTAGTTGTTGCCTCATTTTGGTAAACTAGGCATTTCCATTCAATGCAGCAGTTAATGTAGGAAATGGTGAAAAATACAACAATTCTGAGACAAGAACTACCTTGAATCTATGCATCCAGCTAAACGAATGTTTAAAGAGTACATATTAAGAAATGAAGAATGATCGTATAATGAAATTATAGCGCTAATATATTCAAAATTATATTTCATTTAATTCTGTTTACTTTTATACTTATTTTTTGCTGTACTTTTTAGCATTTGTCATAATTTCTAATCTTTTGCACCAAGAAAAAAAAAACAAAAGGGATGAATTTAGTCAAGGTTTGAAATAATTATTAAATGAATCCAAATGATAAAAACAACTCATTCTTCCAATAATTAATAACAATGGCAGTTTATACTGTAAAAAACAATTATGGCTACCTAATAGTTTCCTGATCCATTAGGTACATACCTTCTAATCCACTCTTATCAATGTTTGTGCAAATAACATTTGCCAGAATCTCCTTACATGCTCCTTAAAAACATATCCCCTTGGGGGAGAAGAAAAGTCAAATCGATTGTTTAAATGAGAGGCAAGTTATAAACATTTTTCTACATTTAAAATAAAGAAAAGAGAAGCAAATTACAACTGTATTGTTTGACAAGATCAAACAGTTCAGCACATGATACAGATACACCTCCTCTCCTCTCTAAAAATGTCCAAGAATATCGTATATCATTATCACCAACAAAGAAGGTAGGAAACTTTTTTCTCCAGTCGCCAAACTTCCCCTCCTAAGCAGATTCTCCCTAAAGCTAAATTGCTCTTTAAACATCATTTAAATACCTATCCATAAACTTTCATTTGTAGCTAGTTTGAGCAGTTGAATCCATGGCAAACAGAGAGCCAGATAACCAGGACCAAAAGCAACAAAATTCCAAGAACAACCAATTTAATTTTCATGTTCTGATACCACATTTTCCGATGTACTTGAGTTCCTTTCTTTCTGAACTCCTGAGCCTGAAAATTTGGAAATCCTTCAGTCCAAGAAAACAGGAGATTCCAAACAATAGTTGTCAAACCTTATTCAACTTACTTGTGAGTGCAATGTCTCTGTCTTGTCCGCAAGGATAGTTAGATTTTCTCCTCTATCAATAGCCTGAAAGTATGTATAGCGAAAAGAAGGATGACAAAGTATTACTGTCTTGTCTGACGTTTTGTAATCAAGGCATCCAGCTATGGAAACTACCGAGAGTGATATTAATTCATACAAACAGGATAATGTAAGGAAAATGTGTACAGCGATACAGGACTTAACAAGTTATAATTCATTAACTGAAAATTTTAAAAGGTGAAATGCAAAATTAAAGCATTGTCAAACTGTGATTGCAACTCATTGTCGACAACAGTGACAGGGAAACGGAGCAAGTACAGAACCATACTGCTTGTCCAAGTATATACATTGTGCTCTAAAATTTCAACTCTAGAAATTTTCTGATACAAGTATGAGGAGGCAGACAGAACCTTAAGCTTTGTTTGTGAGTTTGATTTAGGGGAAAAGGGAAGGGGAGGGTCTTTTTTTTTTTTTTAAATTGCACTTGTTTGGGAGTTACTAAAAAAGGAGGGCAAGCAGTGGGAGAATTTTGGAATCCTTCTCAAACCTTTCTCCAATGTAATTTTTAAATTCCCTCAATTTGAGGATTTTTTTTACGGAAAAGCTAACATCTAAACAAGGAGGAGTTTAGTCCCCTCTTCCCTTCCTTTTTCTCCCAAACAAAGCCTTATTGATTTTTTCCTAATCACTCCCGAAAAGTTGCAATAAAGGAGTCAAGTGACTAGCATTGCAAACTACTCAAAACAATACTTTCCGCATCCAAATCCTTTATTTCAATAAGAAATGCACATAATTAACCATGGATTAAGGGTTAGACGATGATGCATAACACAGCTGCACATGGCACAGGGAAATGACCGAACATCTCGAAAAAGAAAATTACCATTTCTTACTCTCAAACATAAACATACCTTGTCAATGTTTTCTAACATAATACTTTTAACTTCTGAAACTTGAGCCTTCACTTTTATTAGTTTTTCAATCTCTTCAGCATGGTCGATGATATACTTCATATGCTCTTTCATAACTGGACTGCAAATGTGAACCCGTATTATTACCTTTTTTAATTCAAGTTTTCCCATCCAAGCATTGAATTATCAGTTAACATCATGAAGGGCGTGGAAAGAAATAAGCATACCCAAACTCCTTGTTGAGACTTTTGGCAACAGCTGTGTCTGCTTTTCCTCCACCATATCTTTTCTTAAAGTCTGCTTTGACACGTTCTAGGAACGCAATAGAAATCTGCTTGCTAACAGATTCCTTGGCAACAACACAGTAAGCTGCAATTTACAGTAAGCCCGGAGGCAAAGCATTAAAAAGGTTAAATTCTCATCATAGTACAACTCAAAGCTTTAGTAAATGTTGGAAGTAAACCATTTGGATCAAAAGCCTAGGGAAGTGGAACAACATCACGAGGTGCATTGTTGAGTAAACTAAGAAAGAGATAAGCACCATCATGAGGAAGCGATAGTGTTTTGGTTTCATCTGTCACGGTCATGCAGAGACCCAATTGACCGAATAAAAATGAATGTCACCAAAAGGAAATGCTTCTCCTCAATGGTACAGAATCTACAGACATGCACCAAAATAAAGACTTGTTCTTTCATTAGTACAACAAACCATATTTGGACCTGATGGACCCAAATTTCGTTTTTTCCAGTCATTTGTTAATTTCAGCATTGAAATGGAAAATTAACAAAAAACCCACCATGGAAAATCAATTGAAGAGAGAAATAATAGGCACAAAAATGAAATTTTTGTGGGAATTAGATGTGACATTAGCTTGAAGAGTAGATCCAGCACTTAAAGTAGCAAGTAAAACTAGTATATGGTTGAGGGTGCAGAAAAGTGAAAAAGCAAGGGATCGGAGAAGAGAGTGGATACCGTAACCATCTTCGACTAGAAAATTGAAGGTGTGGTGGTCACAATTGTAAGTGAACTTGTTGTTGGAAGAGGGTAATTTCTGGAGACACTGAGCTGCAATTGCAGGGAAGTTTCCGGTAAACTCCGTGTACTCAGCTAACACCATCGTTCCCCGAGCCACGAAGCTGTATATGAACGATTCCTGACTCATTGCTCTGCAACTCACAACTCAGAGGCTGAGAGAGACAGAGAGAAGAAAGCTTTCTCTACTCTCTAGTAAGCAATTTCAAGGCCGCGTTTGCCTTTTTCTTTTCTTCGTTTCGAAAGAAAGAAACAACAAAAATATAGTCAGTGAGCTTAAAATATTAATTAAGAAATGAAAATTATTATTTTTAGAAAACAATGCTATACTTATTTTTATAATTTTCCTTTTCTCAGAATTTATTAATTGGAGAATACCAAGGCGTTTCTCGTCTGAAAATATAATATAATAATTACTATTTATTACGCTGGTGTTTTTAAAATTTTGAGCTGAAATGATTGACTGGCTTTGACTGTGTTGCTTGAAAAGAGAAAACTATCAATGATCGGCAATCAACGGCACTATAGCGATTTTTTAATTTTTAATTAGCCTTCGGCGGTGATTTAATTAGTCTTGAGTTGTAAATTATATAACACGACAAAGATTTTGATTTACTAAATAAATGGATCTACTTCCAATCTGAGTAAGCACTAAGCAGCGATTTGTGATTACTAAGATTTTTAAAAAACTATGATTAAGTAAAAGTAGCCGGGAACCGTGGGAGGGTTTGGTGTCTGCTTTATTACCTTTTCCCCGCTTTCCTTGGTTGGATTTGTTCCTTTCTTAAGATTATTTATTTAATTATTTTATCTCGTACTTCTCTTTTTATAATATAAAATTATAATTAAATTTAATTTCAATCCTCAAAATTTATAATTTTTTTATTCTAATAGGTGGGATGTGTACACCGTACTTAAATGTGTTAACCAACTTGTTTTGAAGTTTCTGGATCCCTCAAAGTGTAAGGATGGGAACCCTCATCCACAAAAGCTAGTTGGTTGGACATATCCATTCCAAGGGAGGATCAAAAATTCAAAATTAATGTCTATTATGGAAGCTTCATGATTTGCTGGCTTTTATATTCCTTTCGTGTAACCAATGACTATTAAATATGGTTTGCTTATTGCTTTGGGAGCTTGGATTCAAAGATGTGCTTTGTGAAACAGATTGTATTGAAGCTCATTGTCTCAGTGCATGTGATCACTCCCAACATTTCCATAAATACGGTTCTTTGATTGTAGACATTTATTTACCACCTTTCTTAGAGATTTGGGTCCTCGTGTATCGACCACGTCCAGCCAGAAGCTAACCAATGAGCAAATTTCTTGTGGGCTATAATTGTTTCCTTTGCTTGTTTCTTTTTTGTGCAGTTCCACTTTCAATTATACAAATATTAACCTTTTAAAATATTTGTTTTGTGTCTATCTAAAGCATAATTCTCAAGTTATTAATTCTGTTGAATGTATACGTACATTTGGTGCAATCTAATTTTCAACGACAGAATATCCGGCTTTCATTTTAATAACCTCTGAATTAGGAAAAAAGTGCAATTTAATACATTGAACTCTGAGTTATGTGCGATTTATGCGAATTATGTGTGATTTAATTCCCAATCTTAAAAAAATTGCATACAATGTAAGGACTAAATTACAAAAAAAATAAGTTTCAGAGATTAAATCATACGTATTCAGATATACAAGTAATTTTGTAACCTTAAAAAAAATAATTTAAAAAGCGAATCGCACTATATTTTATGCCCATAAAGCAATAATTAAAATTAAGAAGAATTCGCCTGCTGCAATTATGAAATAAGTTTTCACATCTGAAAATGAAAACCGCGAAGTCTTCATTTTAGATATTCTTCTGTTATGGGATCATTCTTGCACTGTGTTTTTTGGAATGATAATGTGAAAGGTTGTGAGAGTTGGGCCCCACTGCGTGGCATGAACATGGCGCGAAGTAAAAAAAGGATGGTAGGAATTTGCATTAAAACGGCATCGCATTGACGTCGCTGGCTGAACCGACAATGGTGGGTGGTCAAAGAAACAGATGAGCCACTCCATCGCTTTCACCGCCACTATTCCCCCATTGACCTTTTGGCATTTTCCTCAATTAAATAAAGTTACAGTTATTCACCACTCTCCCTTTCCATAATCCACAGATGGTACCCCAACAAAACAAAACTTCAAACTCCATTTCCCATGTCTTCAGCACTCTCTTCTCGTCCTTGAATTCCACCATGCCATCGTCGTCTCACGCGCTCCTCGCTCTTCTTTTCCTATCCTCGCTCTCAAAACTAGCCTCGTCAGAAGCAGAGGCACGAAGGGAATGCGAGAAGCGATGGATCCACATAAGGAACCTCCCTGCGAGATTCAATCTTGATCTGCTAGCAAACTGTTCCGAATACCCACTCCTCGATGACCTGTGTCCGTACCTAGCGAACCATGGTTTGGGTCAGAAAACCCATAACCGTTCCCATAGTTGGTACCGAACCGACCCAGCCATGCTGGAATTGATGTTCCACCGCCGAATGCTGGAGTACCCATGTCTCACCCAAGATCCATCTCTCGCCAATGCTATTTACCTTCCTTACTACGCAGGCCTCGACGCTCTCCGCTACCTCTACGGTCCCGATTCCAACCTCACCGCCCAACACGGCCTTCACCTCTTTCACTTCCTCCAACACGACAACCCTGCTATCTGGAACCGCCACATGGGACACGACCACTTCCTCGTCATGGCTCGTCCCGCATGGGATTTCTCCCAACCCCTCTCCAACGACCCTCCCATTTGGGGCACTTCATTTCTCGAGTTACCCCAATTCTTCAATCTCACCGCTCTCACTCTCGAATCACGCGCCTGGCCCTGGCAGGAACACGCCGTTCCCTACCCGACGTCGTTTCATCCTCCCAATCTCGGTCTCTTCTATTCCTGGCTCCAGCGCGTTCGCCGCTCTAAGCGCTCCGTTTTGGCTCTATTCGTCGGCGGCGGAGGTGTCTCCGCCACGCCCAACATCCGCCGCAGCATAAGGACTGAGTGTGAGAACGCCACCGCGGATTCCTCCGACTACGATACGTTGTGTCAGGTGGTTGATTGCTCCAACGGGATTTGCGAGCATGATCCTATCAGGTTCATGAGGCCCATGTTGCAGGCGACTTTCTGCTTGCAGCCTCCCGGGGACATTCCCACGCGCCGGTCAACGTTCGATGGGATACTGGCCGGGTGCATACCCGTTTTTTTTGAGGATCTTTCTGCTAAGTCTCAGTACGGGTGGCATTTGCCGGAGGCGGAGTTTGAGTCTTTCTCGGTGTTTATACCGAAGGAGGAGGTTGTGTTCAAAGGGTTGAGGATTTTGGATGTGCTTCAACGTATTCCCACGGCCAGGGTTAGGAGAATGAGAGAGAGAGTTTTGGAGTTGATTCCCAGTGTCGTGTATAGGAAGCATAACAGTTCCGCGGGGTTAATGGCGAAGAAAGACGCGTTTGATTTGACAATTGATGGTACTTTGGACAGAATCCGATCAAGGCTTGGGGAACTTGATTTCGTTCTGTAATTATAGTTTTCTTGTTCGTTGTTGCTTTTGTTTTTTATTTTTCTTTCCTTATATTATATATAATAGACAGGAAGATAGATACATAGATAGGTCGTAATTGAGCATTTAAGGTCGAATTAGATTTTTTTTTTTTTCTTTTTGTCAATGATCAATAGTAGTATTCAATAGACCTTGACAAGGCCAAACCAGAATACCTGCAGCTTCTAATTGCAGGTTACTCTCTTGAATTTCTTTCTTACTGGTCTTTCTACCTTTACATGACTTCTTCGGTGGTTTCAGTAAAAATGCAAACAACATCACGAGTTTATTGTCTTTCATTTTAGCCACTTGTGCAAGTTCAATTAACTTTTACTATTTCCAATCTATTAACGTTTGTATGTTAATTGCTCAATTGATAATCTGGGATTTTCCGACACAACATCATGTGTTTATATGCAGCTCCAAAGCATCAAATTATAATGGCGTATCTAGAAACTCTTTCTATCACCGGCATTCGGTTGTCTTTGAAATTTTCTGTGTGAAGTTCATAACAGGGAATTGTTAGACTAATGATAAGGAATGTGTGTTTCTACTGGGTTTGTCAAGTAGCTTATCTGGATGGACTTGAACTGATAATCTGCAAAGCTTTCATTTCCAGTTGTGATCCTTTAAATTCTGAACAGAAATCTATTTTAGAAGAAAGGTAAAAGGAAGATTAGGCATGGTGTTTCATCTAATCTTTCTTTGTTGTGTTTTATAAGTTGAATGTTGGCCTTGAAAATTAGTGAATTTAAATTCAGCTTTGAGAGTTGGGACAAAAATATATTTGTGTTATTTTCCCTTCACTACAACTTGGGCAAGTGCAACTGAACGTTTGCTCTAGTCTTCTATGATGTTCTATTGACTTGCTGCATTGTTTCTTCTGCAACGAAATCTACTTTGGAAGAATCTGAGGTGCTGATTGCTGCCTATACCCTTTACTATGTTCAACTGTAAGTGTCTTTGACCATTATATGCGAAGTGACAAGGTTGCATTTCACGTTTCAGGGAAGTGAATATCAGCTTTCATCTTATGTCATTTTCTTTTGATAAATTCGGGTTTAGTGCTTCTGTTCCGAGCCATCAACACCTGATTGATTTTGGCCCAGAATGAATCCTTCGTGAAGAAAACAAAATGCATGAAAGACTACCTTCAAGCATCTGTTTTAGAGTATCGGTAAATAAATTGATTTTAATTGATTAATAGCATTAAAACTTGTCTTCTCATTATTTTACCTTCTCGTTGTGCATCTGTGGGTGCAGCTTTTTTGTGGTCCATTATTACGATTACATGGTATGTTCTCCCGTTTTAAATATGATTTTTAATTTAAGGTTGACAGAGTTTGAACTTAGAAGGCAATTAGCATCCTGGCTTAAGGATGTTAAGATTAACTGCATTTAAATTTTGAAATAAGACTGTTAAGATTTAACCTGAAAATTTTGCTCAACAACACTTCGGTTCTTAATATTGTATTCTAGGAAATTTTAGAGATTCTGTGTGAATCGGTAGATCAGCATGCTGGAATGGGCCAGAAGAAAGCATTTGATGGTGCGGTGCTATATATATAGTATTATTTTATACAAAATGGTATGAACTATCATACACACTGTCACACCAAACAATCTCAAGATGTTAATATTTTAACTGGCCCATCAAGCTTTATCATTTAGCAACTTACCATAATTTAAAATTGATAAAAAGTCGTTCATATTCAACAGAATCCATTTACCTCTTCTTCGACCTCCATCGCCCCATTGCTTCTTTTCTTCTTAGATTGCCAAATGCATACAATAGAAGACATTACATCTCTTTCGAGATGAAGCTGCTACATGCCAATGCGTAACTACGTTTGAAAAAACATTTTTTGAAGAAATGGCTTACCATATCACTCTAAACCCTCTTTTTTTTTGTCAACGACATGATATACGACCTTCATCAGACCAAACACGTATGAAGGATATCGTTGAGCCCAAAATGCAACTCCAAAGTTAGGAAATGTAGAAACATTATCATCTACATCATAAAACTCCAAAGTAGCATCTAATAAATCTGAGTCGTGTACTTGTGTCACGCAATTTTGATTCATGGAAACTTTCAAATTTTGAGTCTTTAATGGCCTCACAGTCCTCATCATTAGGTGTTTGTTTGCTTCGGGGGCTTAATATTTTATAAAACGATTTTGTGAGCTTTAGTTCTCTCAAAGTCGAGTTCAAACATAAAGTAATAATCTTTTCTTTAAAAGAATTATTACGTTGAAAACACAAAAGGTATAACAAATATATTCTTTAAAACAAAGTTTATTATTTTTTAATGCTTAAATTCATTTATAAAGTTGAAGCTAATAAAATCATATATAAAATAAGTATGACAAATGCTAATTAGTATGGACATTGATTAAGGAATTAAAAATATATTTTTTTGTCATAAAATATTATTAACACGCATCTTTTGTGATTTTCAATGTATCTTAACGTGGTTTTTAATAAAAGAAATATTTTTAATTCATCATGATCAATGTCTTAAGAACATTGAATAGTAAGTGCACATATTCAATGTTTTGAAAAAATAAAATGCATTTTTTTCACATGACATGTGAGATGATTTATTGAATGATTTAGAATTATTCTCTTTTAAAAAGGAGCAGAGCAAGGGGGTGGGGGGGGGGGGGGAAATCAGCATAATTTAGGCATGAGAAAAGTTTCAAAACAGAAGAATATAACATTACATAGAATTGGACAAGTTTTAACTAATCAAAATTGTAAAAGAAAAGGAAAGAGCACCAATCAAGAATGTAACATTATAATGTTTCAATAAGCACAGTTGATTAGGCAAAGACAACAGTTAACAAACAACTTAATAATGCTATCAAACGACAAATTTAGCCCTATTTTTAAGTCCGTCTTCGTTAGTAATAACAATAATAATAGATGAAATATATTTCAAAGAGTCTCGTTAACTAATGCCTTGAGAATATTGATTAAAAAATACAAAATATTTTATTAAAATTGTATTAAGATATATTAAGACTTTATTTGGTGAAATTAATTGTAAACCTATAATTTATAATTGAAAAGTTATATCTTATAAGTAGTGATTAAATTAGAGCTATTTGATAAAATTAGATAAAATATATTAAATAAAAAAATGTAATATTATATAATGCAATACTAAAATTAAATAAAGAGCGAAATTTAAAGTTAGTATTTGTGTGTAATTAATTTAAAAAAGGATAAAAAAAAACAAGATAAAATTATTTATAACTACAAATTGAATGTTACTTCAACAGCAAATTTTTTAAAGTTAAATTTTAAATATTTTATTTTATAATTATTAAACTGCTATTTTGTTTATTTTATAAAAAATATGTTACAAATTTGTATTATTCAACACAGCTTAAAAATTACTATATATATATATATATATATATAATTCTTTGACCATTACGTACCCTGAAAGTATTTCAAGTTAAAAGTTAACATTTAATTTGGAATTAATGTTTTGAGCAGTGATGGAATAATGGTTCGTTGGGTTTCTGAGCGACGTTGATGTAGGGGGTAGTTCCACAGGTCATTAATATACCTTTGCGATACTGCTCATAATTTCATTTCACTTGCGAGAAGAGAGTGATGAAAGGTGGCGTGAGTTCATTCATCATTTAATAATTTTCTTTGATAATGAACTTTGCAATGTCAGTAGGTTGAGTAAACTTAATTTTTCAAGAGCTGAAATGGGTTTGCTTTGTTAGCTTTTGCTCAGCGAAGGACTTGATGGCGAGTTTATTTAGTTTACCTACCATAGTACACCTTCCTAATTTCTTTTCAAAACCTCACGCTGTGAAAAACTGCACCTTGTTCTTCATCACAAACACTGTAATTGCTTTCTCATTTTCACTATGGTAAAACCCCAAAAGCTCTGCTACTCGTTGTCCTACTTCTGTACCTGACGTATTTTAGAACAATAGGTGATTGCTCAATTTATCTGGGATTGTGTGGACCCGTAAAATCTTCCAATCATACCATCAATAATCAATTTTTTCCAAGAAAAACTTCTTTTTTAAATATCTACTTACATTATAGAAACTGAAATATAACCACACAATGGTTCATCCAATTTATATTTATCAGTTAAAGTATTACTTGAAAGAGGAATATTGATATTTATTTATTTTGATGCTTTTTTTAATTTCAAATTTATTAAAAATTGATTGACACTCATTAAGTAAAAAAGTAATTATTTTATAAATTTAATTAATAATAAATATATAAACAAAATACTATTAACTTGAAGCCACCAACAAAGGGGCAGGAGATTGGCTTCAATGTAATTCACAGGTGAAAAATACATGAGACGTTGATGGGAAGCTTATGGGTTATATGATGATGTAGTATTGGCAGTAGCATACAGAGCCTAGAGATGGAAGAACACTTTAAAGTTAAACATCATTGAAGGGGCTGTGTTGAATTGATCATCTTACTGGGATTGGATATTTTTATCCCTAGATTTTGCTGCAGTCACTTCCCATCCTCAACACTTATAGCAGACTAGTCCTTTCTTTGCTGGACACTAAATTGACTGAAGTGGGTAAAATGAAGTGATTTTTGTCCAAATTGGTAGTATTTAAGACACCCTTTTTATTCTGATGAACCGTGATGTTGGCTTGGGTATATATTCTTCACTTCCTCTTTTCCGGTTTTCTCATAGCTTTGGCGTTTTTACCTTGTCGTATATTATTATTTTGGTTCTATTTAGCCTTAAGCTTCTTTTCAAGAATAATATGTTGAAATGACATGCTAAAAAACACAACAGAAAATAATGTTGCTATATTCGACTTTTCCAAAAAAAAAATGGAGAATTAGTGGTCAAACTCAATCTGTCAATGCCCAGAAAATTTGTTCCCATGCGTTTGTACATGCCATGCCAGGTACTTTTTTTCGTGCTTTCTCAAGGTAAATTGGGAAAACCTGACCCTAATCAAACTCAGCTCGTTGGCTATGGGCTTCCACCTTTGACATCTACGAGACCACAAATCTTAAAATGAAGAACCAAAGTTACTGTTACCCATGATAAATATGACACATGTCTCCTTTATTTCAAATTTAAATAAAGTTACATTAAATAATGTTACACCATAATTTTTCCCTATAAACCTTTTCACAAGAAACAAAAGCTCAGTACATTTACAAGGGACAAACAATTTAGATAGGGAATATCAATATATAAAAAAACATTGATACAATTACTATTGTATAATACAACAATGGTCTTGTTCTCCATAGCGAAAAGAAAATTACATAATTGAATTATAAGTTAATAAAATGCAGTAAAAAGGGTAGAGTAGAATAGAATGAGGTTCATGTGGGAGGGAGAAAAGAAAGCAGAAGGAGCAGAAGTGTGTTCTTCTGTCATTGTCACATTATACTTTGATAACCATATTGGCCTGTTTACTTTGCTCCCCAACGGAGTACACACCACAACATAGGTACATTCTTGGCATTTTCCCTTTCATTTATTTTATTTTATTTCATGTCATTTTTATATCTTCTCTTCTAATTTCAACTTTCCAATTCCTTCTTTCACTCCCAGTCACACACACACCCTCTCTCAGTCTCTCCAATGGATGCCAAGTCTGCTCAAGTTGTTCCCTCAGAACCATTGAAGTATCAGGTAACTACCTCTTCTTATCTTCCAACTCACCCTAGCACAAAACCACTAACAAAAAATTGTCTTTTTCCCCTGAAAATTTTCTTTTCTATCTACTACTCAACTTCATTTTTCTACTCTGTTTCTTCTCAGACTTGGTTCTTGAAAGTTTCCATCCACTGTGAAGGTTGCAGGAGGAAAGTAAAGAAAGTTCTACAGAGCATTGATGGTACCGAGATTCAACGCAAAAATTTGCTCTGCCTTTTGTATACTACAACAGGAAACTGACTTCAAATTTCAACTATTTCTACGTACCCTGTTTTTGCACAGGGTTTTGTTTTTTTGTTTTTCTCATGCATGAATAGATTACAAAGCTCAAATTTCACTGTGCTAACAAAAATCACTGTCATTCTCCCTTACTTTTTCGTTACCATATTTTCAGCAGCAAACAACAGTGGCACTCGGTGCTCTGTTCTGTACTATTTTTGGGTTCTTACTTATTATAGTGACGGAATTTCGGATGTTTCGTTACATTTGCAGGTGTTTTTACCACAACAATCGACCCTCAACAGCAGAAAGTAACAGTCACCGGAAGTGTTGGTGTTGAGACCCTCATAAGAAAGCTCGTCAAAGCCGGAAAACACGCTGAGATATGGCCAGAACATCTCGCCGGAAAGGCTTCCGGCAAAGCCAAGAAGAACAACGAACAAAAACACCCAGAAAGCGTGGAAAACCATTCCTCTGCAAATGTTGAACCCAACCTCACCTCTGGAAAAAACAGGGGAATTGAAAATGCTGAAAAGCGCAACGGAGAAAGCAAGAACAGCAACTCAAAAAAGGGGTCGCCGGTAAGGTCTCCGGCGGGAAGTCAAGCAGCGGAACAAGAGCAAAAGGGCGGTCAAAGTCAAACTGACGGAGGGGGTTCCGGTAAGAAGAAGAAAAAGAAAGTTGAGGGTGGAAGCAGTGGGTTGAGTTCAGGGACAGCATCTACCGGTGCACCCGCACAGAGTGGATCGCAACCACAGATTGTGGGGCAGATGAATCTGAGCCCTACACGTCAGCAATCATTCCCATATCCAGAAACTTACTGTTACCCTCCTTTGGTGTACCTCGCTGCCTACAACAGGTTATGTCCCATGGGAACAATGGGTGGTCCTTCTTACTATGTTCCTTCATTGCCCTACATCTGTGCAGGCATGGACCATGACCCTTATCACGTTCAATCACAACCGTTGGTCTCCTTCGAGATCTTCAGTGATGAAAATGCCAACGGCTGTTCTGTTATGTGAGGAGTTCAAGTGCATGTTACACTTTCTTTTTTAACTGGTTTTGCTTCTTTGATGGTCCCAGGTAGTTTTTTTGCTTGTAAACGAGGGATATTGAAATCCAGCTTATGCTATACGTAGTCAAGTTCTTGGCTTTGTAGGGGCCGATTTTGCATTTTGAATTCGCCTCATTGTCAACTCTGAAATGCCCAGCTTTTACTTATTGTTACTTTAGACCACACTGTAAATGATTTTTGGACCATGTTTTAGTATGCACATGTTTTATGTATTGTGTGTCAAGGGAATTTAATCAACAAAAACAAAATAAATAAATTTAAGGGAGAGCATTTAATCATCTTTGTTATTTCCCTTATTATCCACTCCAACTTTGACTTACCCTGCTGAGATCGAAATGTCATTTGCAAAAAGGGCACTTTTTGAGGACCGAAGGATGAGAAGCAAGATATAAATTATATATGTTCACATTCTTATTATAAATTATTGAATATAATAAGATTTTAGTGGAAGCTTACAATTTAAAAAAAAATACTTTTTAAATAAATAAATTGTATTTAAAATAATAATATATCATAAATTTACTATAATTTATTATATTTAAGCATTCACAAATAAAAAAATTATAAAAAAATATATTTATTATATTAAAATTATATAAATAAAATAATTTTTTTATAATTTTACTATTATTAACTGTTTATTTTTAATTTTAATTAAAATTGATATTAATAAAATTTTAATTTAAAATATTATTTATTAATTTTTATTATATCTTAAGACTTTAAGCATGAATTAGAAAACAGTATTTTAAAAGTACATAATACTAATTGTTAATCTTCTTTGGGAGTTTATAATTTTCAATAAGTTCAGAGGGCTTACTGCATTAGCTCCATTTACGAGGACACTTCTTAAGTGGCCATTGACCGAACCGTGATTAGTGCCGCGTTTGGATGCTGGTTTTTGGGACATACATGTTCAGAGATTTCGTATTTTCCTACTTGCTGGAGAAGAATATACTTTATGTGCTCTTAATTATCGACTCTCGAATTACTTCTGTCAGTTAAGTTGCTGTATATTAAGTGTAATACTTATTTAATATACTTTTTTCTCTTATGTATATTTTTCTTCTTTCCTTTATAAGCTACAATATGAATCTCTTATTAACAAATATACTTTTTCATTGGCTATTGATATTCACGCAATAAAAGGTATACTTATTCGGAATAATAGTTGTTGTATGATTATTTTTACTACTTTTTGTCATAGATGGGTACACACAGTGGATAAATTATGAATTGCTATGACAAATTGTGTACAAAATTGTTCAACTGCCTAGGTTAGTATCTCGTACCAAAAGGACTTATCCTTTGTTGACATTCCGTATTTGGGTCAAAACAGGATCATATCCTTAGTTCGAATAATGCATATTTGTGAGGTGCTATCATTATTTGCTAATCTCATCATGTTCCTGTGATCAACTTGTCAGCAAGATATCACTGTTTCTAGATGCAACATGACGGCGTAATCAGGTAATGATTACAATATTCATCACTATCAAGATTAATAATTTTTGTTTAGCCAAATCTCATTTTCTTCAAGGCCACTCATTTTAGCATCTTATATAATAACCCAACGCTGGGAGTGCCTTGCAGAATGATGTGACAAACGTGTAAGGTGCTTAGGATACGATTGTACCCGAAAAAAAAGTAAATAAATTAGTCGAGAATATAGTGATTCATGTTCAAATTTAAAAGAATTTATTTAAAAATATGAGTGTAAGTATACATGCATGAACATAATGTGTATTTAACTATTTGTAAGTCAGCGAACAATACCCTTATTGCATACTATCTTGTACACTACAGATCAACATTCATGTCATCGAGAGTTACGTTGTAATTATACTTCTTTTTGCTGTTTCCAATATTATATGTTAACAATTTTTACAGAAATTGAATTAGAAATTCATCGTTCTACTATGAGGGCACAATTAATGTGCCCTGCATTTTCCATGTGGTTAGGGATACATGTGAGTGATTCAGCTTGTGGACCTAAACGATTGTGAAGATCAATGAAAAAAGTGGAAAAGGTATTAAAGGAAGAAGCATGTGTGAAGTGTAGTCCATTATGAGAAGCTTGAAGCCCGAGAAGATAAAAAGGTGATGATAGGTGAAACAAGTAGTCTTGCATTGAAGTGAAGTGAAAAATCATAGCACGACAGGACAGTGCGGATGAATGGATAAAAGAAGATTTTTTTAGGGAGAGAGAGAGCAAAGTAGTAGCTGAAAGTTAATGAATCTTTTTTATTTTAACTTGATTTTAAAGCCTTCTAATATTAAATTTTAATTAGCATTTTAATTAGATAAGTGTCTCTCCAAAAATGTTTTCGGTAAAATTTAAGGCTGCAGGCATACTAGTTGAAGTATCAGGAGAAAATTGTCTGTTGTATTTAATGAAGTTCAAGCTTAGTTGATCGAGTTGGATAAATTTTTTTAACTACATCCGATCCAAGTCATCTTTATTGTAAAAAAGAAAATCAAAATAAAATTTAAGATTGAGAGAGAGAGAATATTTTTGGTTGTTCATGTCAAATTAAAAAATTAATCATAAAAAAGGTAGAATCGAAGAAAACAAAATAATGCGTGAGTCTTGTATTGCAAGAATATAATTTCCCCTCGTCAATCAATAAAACGATTTTTTCTTCTACCAAACTTGATAAATCATCCAAGTTACTCGTTACTAAAATTAACACCCAAGTATAATGCACCACTACAATTTGTATATTCATATATTTTTTAATTCTTTCTTCGAATGGACATAGATACTACAATTTTTTTTTATTAATGCGTATTCAAAATTTCCCTAGACATATCTCTCAAAAATTATATTACAAACACTCTCTATGGTTGAATATTCACGTACTTGACACTTTTATAAAACGCATAATTAAGATCGGTTTTACCTTGATAGCAAAATCCTCAATGCCCTTATCTTTATCTTTGGGTTGAAACTTACTTTCTGTTTTAAGTCTAACAACATGTTTTTATCTTTACCTTCTACTTTAATTATAATTCTAATCTTAATTCAAATATGTTGTCTTTTATTCACACTATTCTTGCTACTAACTCTTATCTTGACTCTTTCCATGCTTGAGTTTACTGCCACTACTCAATTACCATACCACGCTTCATCCTATTGCTCACAAAATGAGCATGACCCAACCTATTGTTAACAATTGGCATCTAAGGATTACCAAAGGGAAAGCTGGTACAGGGAAATCCAAGATTCTACTCACTGGAGATGGAAAAAAAAATTAAGAGAAGAAAAGGGTTCAAATTTCTGTCTTTTAAAAAATTATTTTTTATTTTCCCTTCATCTCCCTTCAATCAAATGAAGAAAAATATCTTTAGTTTTTTTTACATACTTTAATGAACTAATGCTCATGTACAATGACATATATACAAATTGAATATCACACTTTTAACCTACGAAATACTACTAAAACAAGGGCGTCCAATTAAAATTGTTCGAGATACAAGTTTTCTTTGGCCAGTCTTAGATGCCAGTGGATGCCTTTGAAGTCCGTTGATTGATCCCAAGCATGATCACAATTACGGTCACATCATCATGGTACTTCCTTCTCCTTCCAGCAGGAACATTCATCAACTCTTCCATGCTGAATCCTGCATGAGTATTACTTAGCTAATTAACACTCATACAACACATAAATATCTATATTCATGCACATAAACTTAAATTTAGCATAAGATCATGAAATTTGACCCGCAGATTTTGCTGCTCTAGCTACAAGCTGCTCTATGAGAAACTTTGCTGGATCCCCCAGAGAATTGTTCAAGATATAAGATTCTACAAGCTTTACTGCCTCGTCATTGCTGAAGAAGTCAAATAAACCATCACTCCCTACTATAACAAATTGATCAGAATGTGAGATTTTATGGACATTCAATGATGGTTCAGTGGATACGTATGGTGGGCTAGTAAGGTCACGAACTCTAAGGATTCCCATCAAAGCATCATTCAAATTTTTCTGCAATAGAATAAAATCAGAATAATCAAAACTATGTTTGGTAGGACAAAGATTTATTATTCTCTGCAGCCGTCCACTCACAGTTAGTAGATTGAATTTTAAGGTTTATAATTATCAGTATCATAAGATCAGCACCCAAAATCTTTGGAAACTTATTGGCAGAAGGGTTAGAAAGAATGCCAACCTTTTTCAAGTAGCCAACTCCGAAAGCACGAGTAACCTTCAGTTTCCCTTTCACTTTTCCTGCTATAATAACCTTGGGATCATCAGGATGCTCAGCCAAAAGTCTAGCTCTTTCAGCTTTATTTTCAACACTATGATTATCCGTAAGCTGTATAGCCTCAAGTTTCTCACTCTTATTTATTCCATCATCTGTACTGCATTTTGCCAATACTGCTCTACTGTCACCTAGATTAAGTGTATACAAATCATTACCATGAAGAAGCACAAGTAAAACACAAGATCCAATAGAAACTAAATCAGGACGTTCTTCCATTTCCTGCTCAACCATGCTCAAGAAATCATTCTCAGCCTGACTAACAGCACGTTGCAGGATATCAAGTACTCCATGTGAAAACGACTCACATGATGCTTTTGACTCAGTAGATGGACTACCCTTTGCAAAATAACCATGACTAGAATCATTCATTCCCTTAAATCTTGACTGAGATTGGTCCTCATGACACATAAGACTATCATGCAACTCATATTGCAGGGATCCACCTAAACCCTCATCATTAGAAACTTCTATGGAACCCAGATCCATCTCCCAAATTAACTTGTTAAAGTAAGATATGATGGTGTCGTACAGGGTACCAGCCAGAAAGTCAGCCGCATCTCTTCCATTAAAGCCATCATAAATTGCACAAAAGAGCCATCCATTTTCTTCAGAACAAACTGCTTGAACTCTATCTTCACCAGCAGCTCCTCCTGCTACTTGAACTTCCTTAGCATTAAGAAAACATTCACTTCTAGAAGGATCGCTTGCAGATTTTATCATGCAAGAGTCATGTTCAAGGATATCACTTGGCGTAGAAGGACTGCAGCTTAGGTAAGACAAACTATTTGGGAGGGAAGATGATAGTATGTCCAACTTTGAAAGACTTGGCGAAGAGGTTACCTTACGAAATGAATTAGGAGAGTCCCAACTTGGAAGGATTTCTTCTCCTATCTTACCATTGCATATGTTTGTGTTGGCTAGTGTAGCATTTGCACTTAAGGCTGCCCCTGACAAGCAAGAGAAACTACTTGTTCTACGGACTCCAGGTAGGATTCTGTAGCCATTGGAAACCTCACGAGGAATACTTCTATCACTATTGCATTTATAGCCAAAACTTATTTTAAGTTCTCCTTCAGGACTAAGCATGTTTATCTCCTGTATAAAGAAATCCATTCACAACACTATCAATATCACAGGTATATATACTAAAAGGACAACAACAAAAAATCCAGTGACCTATAAAATGTAATTGGACCATATCAATATAATTTACATGCAAACGTGCATGCATGCACAAAATTATTTAATCCACTAGAAAATACCCATTTGGTATATAAAGCTTGATTTAAAGATTTCCCAGATAGTGTAAGGGCCTCCAATCATATAATAATACCCAAACAACAAAATGTCATTCAAAAGAATTTAAAGCCAGCAACCATCAGCTCAACAAATGAAAAAATGGCAATTATAAAATAAATATATAACCATTATGATGCTGGGTCAAATTTTGTCAGTTAATATATATGACACTAGATGATCAAATATGTGCGCCCATAGATTTGTATATATTTGTGAGCCAGTAAAGCAGATAATTGAAAGATATAGCAGAGAATGAGACAAAGAAGACAGGGGAAGGCAGATAGCATCTCAAACTAGCTGCAATCGCCTCCCCTTGCTTACTCACTTAACTTCTCAAAGAAAAACAAAATACTATGCAAGCAAGATAAAAAACAATTTGACACGAGATCACCAATCACTAGAATATATGGGCTCGAATCAAACATGATAGACTTAAAAATTCATTGACAATTGATGTCAAGCTTTACAGTATCAACATGGGCTTCCATGTATGTCAAATTGAGGAATGTTAGGAACATGTTTTCTAACACATTTTTTCTTATTGATTGAAATTTATTGAAAAATACAAAAGTATGAATAGGAATTATTAAATTAGAAGTGACATGTGATTTTTTATTAAATTTTAATCAATAATAAAATGTGTGTTGTTAGCATTTTTCATGGTCAGTTTATTTATTTTAAGACTTTGATAGATCTCAGACTCTTAGGGAAATTTTTAATTTTGTACAAATGATTGAAAAGCTTCCAAATAAGAGATCGTCAAAAGATTTTGTGGTTGTTCTTCATACTGAGTCTAGAATGTAAGATTTTCTATCACAATGACTATCACACATTCAGAATATAAGGCAGGCTAAAAAGTCTAAATCATAGTGATTTCACAGTCATTAACAAAATCTAAAAAAAGAAAAAGGAAGCCATAAAATGAAACTAAATTGGCACATTAATGTTAGCTCCAACCCAAAAATTATCGGAAAATCATATCTACTGGAGGGTGATAAAAATTCAAGCACTTAGCTTTTATCTATGTGTAACTGTGTATACTGGCACATAATTCTTTAGGTTAAAAATCTAGATTAGTTTGACACTTCAACCAAGATATATAGTAGCTAACAGCTTAACAACAAGATCTTACCGCAAAAAGAAAAATTAGCAGGGGTTAATTAATAGAACAATTCCATTCACAGAGAGAAAGACTGCAATCCAAGCATAGGGGTAAGTTATCCTACTAAATGAACATAACAGAACTATAGAAACACAAAGGACACGATGCACTGAAATACATGCCATAAGCTTATGATCCATGCCTAAGGTATACAATGCCCCTGATTATGACAATTAAAGATACTCACTTTACACACCGATGAGCAGAAGAAGGTAAGCAGATTGTGCTTGGAACCAATCTCTCACTGAGGGAAGCTTCAGTGAAATTAGTGTACTCTAGCTATTGCTATTGGAACCCAATGCAAAAGTCCAATAACTAAAACTACGTAGAAAACATATGGGGAAATGAAATGAAACCATAACAATTGTTAATGAGAAGAACAGAACAATCCAAAAAACAGAACAACTTAACCCGTTTCGTTTCTGGGTATTGTATGCCCTGTTAAAAAGTCAACAGCTTTTTCATTTTATTTTTTTCCTTAAAACAAGAGAAACCCAAAACAGATAAAGACAGAATAAAACATAAACAAAAAAATCAAAAAGAAAATAAGAATGAAGTAACCAACCGAATAGACGGTGAAGGGAGGATAATTGAGAATGAGAGTAGGAAGAGGCAGAGTGATGAGAGTATATATAGAGAGAAGAGAGAGGGAGTGGGAGTGTGACTTAGCAAATCACGAAAGGGCAGAGAAGAGAAGAGAACAGAGAGAGGGTAGCGTTGGGTCATGAGTCATGGGTGTGCTAACAAGTGGAGAATCCGTATCACATTGAAATTGGATGGTATACATTTACACAATATTGCCCAATTGGAAATATTATGTTATAATGATCCGTCTCTGTTTTCGCTCTCCTTTGTCCTCTTCTCTGTTTTACCATCATTCACTCCCCAATCCCTCCTTTTCTTGAGTTCCATTTCTACACGTTATCTTTGTCAACTTCAAAAGATTTTTTCACTTTTCTCATTAGTTAGTGAGTATAGTTATTTTTATCTCCCACCCATTCAGTACTTAACTTTACAATATATATAATTTGAGTATATTTGCATAAGTGTTTTATGGCATATATTTGACTATAACTTGTATTAAAATAATCTGAATAAATATTTAATATGTAATATAAAAATTATTAAGATTAGTTTAAAATGTTTATAAAAATCAAATGCTATCTCCATAAATTCATCACAAGTTTCTCTAAACAAACCTTTTATCTATTTGGTACAGTAAAACAATGGGGAAAGAAAAAAGTTTAAATTTGATGTTTGGAATAAAATTTCATCAATTTACTTTTATACAAATTCTTTTTGCTCAGCTAATTAGATGGAATAGATTTAGAATAAAAATTATGAGTTCTTTTTAGAAAAAATTAAATTTTAAGAAAATTATAGAATATGAAAATAGCGTTGTCTGGACTTCGATTTTTTATTTGGAAATCAGATGGTTTGGTGTAGGTTTTGAGTGAAAGAGAGTTTACAATGTTTTTATTAACTAATTCCATAGAGATTTTTGGCGAAAAAAAATGAGGAGGAAGAATGAGAAAAAAAAATAGTTAAAAAGACCTAATTATAACATAAAAAAATACTTGGAGAATAAATTTAAACAACAATGTTTAAGAGAATAAGCTTGCACATTATAAATAATGTAGATGGATGAAAAGTACAGTTAAACTTTTATTTTAAAGTGTTATAGTTCATATGCTTTCTTTTATCTCTGCCTTTCTAATTACAAAATCTTGTTTATAATTTTAGCTGGTGTTTGTTTTTTATATATATAGTTTTTCGAAAGGTATGTTTTACTGCTTAATACAAAAGTGTCATTTAATTCCTATTCTTTAGATTTTATAAAAAAAAATTATCAATAAATAAATAATGTTTTAATTAATTTCTTCACGTTATCTTGAAAACAGGAAGACTATAAAAATAATATAGCATCTCTATAATTATAAATAAAAAAATAAAGTAAAAAAATCAAATACCATTCACTGTTAGTTTCTTTTTTTCAGGCAATAACAACACAAACTTCTCATGTTACTTTATATTATGGAATAGGATGCTCATTCTGATGTATTATTGCCTAACATGTATAGATGCTGCCTGTGAATTGAATGGCTCAACGTTGAGTTCTCGTTGTTTCTTGGGTACTGTTGTACTTCTCTGTCTCGCCAGAGACATTATTTTGACCCAAAATAATGTTCACCAACCAAACATGATTACATTAAGTTCAATTTTTCTTTCTAGTTTTAAGAGAGTACATTTCAAAATTTTGGTTCCTAGAATCCTTTTCACCTTATAAAATATAATCCTTTAAATTGGAAGCGTTAATTGTTGTAGTTCTTGACTTTAAAATAATAATAAGAAAGAAAAAAAATAAAATGAGTAATTTTTAAAATAATAAAAAATAAAGTGAAATTTTTATAAAGTCAAGAACTTAATTGATCGACGTTTATAATTTTAAAAATAAAAAAAAAGGATTTACTCTTTTTTTTTCAATATTGTTACGGCTTATTTATGGTCCATATTCGTGAAGGATGGTGGTGCTTGAACAATAGGAAATGACGGCTGAAAAAGTAGCTCCAAATTTTAGCATCCATGCAGATTTACATGAACCGTGCCACGTTGTTGTGTCCCATATTTTTGGTTGGAAAAACAAAGAAAGAAGATTGAACTTTGGGCATTGTGCCAAACTCATCACCACCACTCATTAATTCAATTTGAGGAGAGACAATTCCACATTCTGATTGGAATGAGAAGAAGTGGCCGGGAATGATCATGACGTGCATCAACTCTTGAGAGGAGAAGACAAAACCAAATACCTGAATTTCAAATGTCAAAGTGGATTAAGATGCTCATAATCTGACCCTTACCCGGTGGTCAACCAATCAATTCGCGTGAGTTTGAAGCAAATCAAAGGGTGATTGAAGAGTTTGACTGTAGGAAAAACAAGGATTTGGGATGAAGAGAATATGGTATGATGGTAAGAGATGTGGTAGGAGAAGGTGTGTACGTGCGCGGCGTGTGAAGAGAGAGAAAGAGAGGGAACATAATTGTCCATGATTCACTAGATACAACAGCCACAGTGAAGGTATCGAAAGCTTAAGTGATGAATAGAATTGTCCATAAGTGATATTTGTTTATAGGAATTTGAGTCATAAGCTATTATCAATTTATTTTAATAAGGTTATTGACAAAACTTATCGAAATAAGTTGTTTTCTGCTTATTTCTATAAATTTTACTGTTAAATTATAGCATAAATTAACATTTTTTAAAAGTTTTTTAAATAAGTGCTTAAATATGTTATGTATCCCCAAATGCATTCTAATTAATATACAACACAAATTCAGCTGGTTACTAGCAAAATATCTTATCTAAGAGTAGTCATCACTATGGAGCTTAAATAGCAGTTACATGGCAGCAGAATCAGCTGCATATAACTAGGATTCAACATTGTAGAAGACCTTTGTCAGCCCCTTCTTCGAGCGTATTTGATAAACCTGATCAAATACACAGATCACTAAAGCAAATAACACAAAATTGCAACCAAGCAACCTGATATAACCAGACAAAATAGTCTCTTTTTTATGAACTACAAATCATATGTCTCAACTACAAAGTTTTCAAACCAACTGCTTCAGTGAAATGACTTCATTGCATGCTACATAAATAAATGCAGGAAAAGGAAGAATGAAGCATGACTAATTGTAAAGATCAAACTTACACAATATATATATCAAGTCAAATATATCTAGTAAACTAGTGAAAGTAAATGGATTTCATACCTTAATTTGTATGATATCTGAAATATCAACGACATGAGTACCACCACAGGGGCAGCCAGAATTATCTCCTATCCTCAAAATGCGAGGTGTGCTTTCCTGTGTGAATTGATGCATTAATATCAAAACATACTGTTGTGCCAAAAAGTTAGAACAAAACTAGATAGATACTAGAGATAAAATTAAAATTGCTCTTTATCCTTTAATATAAAGCGTGCAACTACATAAATATGCAATAATGAATGCTCTATGTCAGCTAATTTCAAAGAATTCTTCCAGTTGCATTATAACAAAGTACTAAAACAACCTAACAACAGTAACTTTACTGTTGATATATATCTGATATCCTAAAATTACTCATCACTAACAGTTTCATACATTACAATAAAACACAAATAAATACATTGATTGACACATGATATATGATAATGGCAAAAGCCCCCATGTTCCTTGAGATGTCAAGAGCAAAAATGAAAAAAATGACAAAATAAAATATAGTTTTACTTCAAAACACGAAGTCTGATATATGACAATCAAAGGCTTGGTTATACCGGAGTAAATTCATGCACATAGGGCAGGCAGGCAGAAAGACAGATAGAAAAATGACTGACACAAACACACACCAAGAAAGCAGCAAAGTGAAAACTATATTCCTTCGTTAAGACTGATTAGGCTAGAATTGATTGATCATAATGGCTGGAATGAGAGTTTCTATCTTCATCAAAACAATTTCTTAGTTATGAGGACTTGTACAAAGTGGATACAACACCATAAGCATGAGTCTTCGGTCCCGCAGAGAATTTCAGCATCAGAGACCCATGGAAGAAGCTGTATAAGCTGGAATATTCCTGATATTATACCGAGGGATGCAAAATATAGAACAGTGATATTGTTTGCGACCTTTGCTAGCAAATCTAAATTAAGTTTACTGATTCACACAAAAACTGGTAGGCACTTGTAAGATAACGAACTGACAGGCATTAGGATAATAGCAAAGCCAGCAACCAGTTAATTGTATTTAGAAGAGAAAATTATTTGTATTAGCCTAAACCTTTTAGAGACTGACCTTGGGAACATAATCAGGAAGACACCCACCGCAAAGCTTAGCAGCTTCATCGTATGGTAATATATCAGCAGAAACCTAAATGGCAAGGTGAAGATTTTCAGAACCCGAAGCCACATGTAAAAAGCAATTTGTGAACACTGTAACTTACTTTTCCTCCCATGGAAATTAATGCATTGGCCTCTATCTCTAAATCTTTTGGCTTGTTCTGCATTTCATTTTGTGAAATTACACCTTTATATTCAATCCAAGGCCTGGGAAAAATACAATAGCAAGCACGAAGCAAACTCGTAACTTCCACATTTCAAGTAGTACAACAGCAGGAGACTAATCAAGGTTAGATCTTTTTTCGAGTAAACCCCTAAAGAAGTCTTCCAAAGGATCTAAACATCACTATATTCGGATTAAAAAGGACTAAAGACAAATGAATTTGGTTAATTTTCTATCTTTAAGGGACTAATTTGACGATAAAAATCAGTGGAAGACTAATGTGGAAATATGCTAATTTTTGAATGACCAATTTTATTTAATATATTTCTAGTAACCACACTCAATTATGATTAATATTATACTACATCAACAATAATTTGATAGCTACAACATTACCTCCATCTTGGATATTAAATAAGTCACTTTCAAGTCTCAATCTTTTGTCAGATTATGTGCTCATAGGTAGCCATACATACAGTATACATAAAAGGAATCAATAAGCAGGAACAAGGTATACCCATCAGGAAAATGGTAAGCTTTGCCAGGCTCTAAATGGCCCAAACCTATTTTTGGCAGACAAATATCAAGCAAATGCCCCGCTGAATGCAATCTACACAAACAAAAAGACGAGAAAAGAATGAGACTAAAACAGAAGCAGAATTATAATTTTTCTTATAATCAGTGTAATAACCATACATTTAAAAGAGTTTAAAAACTGCCTTGTAGAAATAAAATCCAGGCTATAGTACCACTCTCAAAAATTAATCAATTAAAAGTTGGTAATATCATATGACCCACAAGGGAAAAGCGGGGAATGAATTAAGCACACACGGTAAAGGCTTTCCATTGCTACCTCAACCGCGAGTGCAGTGTTCAGTAGAAATGGGATTTCCAGGAAACAATTTTAATAATTACTAATTATAATAAGGCTACCTTCAAAAAACCATTAGTTAAGTCCAAAGTTGGATATCTAAACTCAATCTAAAAAGGAAGGTAAAAGCATAAATAAAACAGATAGAAGAATTTCATCATTTGCAAAAAATTTAACCTTGAGTTCAGTTTTCGCCTGGCCTCATCAACAAACAGCGAAACCCCCTTCCCTTTCTCGAGTGTAGGCACAAAATCCCCTCCCAAATTCTCAAAGGAACCATAGTGAAAAACCTACAGTATCATCATAACAAAAATAACTCCAATGATGAGCAAAATAATTTATGAACCCCAGAGACAAGCTTCAGAATTTAAAAAAAAAAAAAAAAGACTGAATTTTTATATTCCAAAACTTACAATTCCATCCTTGGATCGAACATCATGAACCACAAACTTGTTCTCGAACCCATGAACGTGTACAAACCCAGTATCCGCCGGTTGCCCACCTCCTTGCGGATGGAATACTGTACGATCCAATATCAGCCCATGTCTACCATCATCCCCCTGTCAACATCAAACATCATCATCATCATCATAATAATAATAGTAAACCATGAAAAAATTTAAGAAAATATTACAACTAACTGTAAAAAGATAGCGATCAATCTTAAAAGAAATACGATAAAATATTTTAGATGTTTTCATATATCTTGATTCTAATATAAAGCAAACCTTGAAGTGAGAGAGTAGTATTGCAGTAGATTGGAGCCTCCACATGTCATCGTGATAATCTAGTTTCGTGGGATTCTTATCCATGGCTCCGCCGAGTCCCAGAATCGGTTAGTTTAGTTTTAGTTTTAGTTTGGTATCAAATCAACACTAACAATACCTGGCGGCGCCAACATGGTCTACGGAAAAACAAAGATACCCATTTATTTAACACGTGGACAAAACATACACGACATAACCCGTAATTTATTTCGGTACCTAATTAACGATTTTGATTTGGTCCAACCGCCAATCCACCAACCGACTCATGTTACCTTTTTAGGCATTATAAAAGGAGGCACTAAGAACCCTTTTTTTAAAGTCGTTATGTTATTTTGAAAATTTGAAGGTTAATTAATCAATGGCTGATTTAAGAGTGAATAAGGGAAGCAATAAGAAGCAGCATAGACACGAATCTGTCACCGCCATAAAAGCTCTTCCGAACGAGTTATTAGTAGAGATTATTGCCAAGGTGGCTTCTCGTTCCATCGTTGACCTTTGCAAGGTCAAACTATGTTGCAAGGAGTTTCTTCATGCTGCGGAGGATGATAACGTGTACCACCATGCGTCCATGGAGAAGTTCGCGTTGGTGCCACTTCCATGGTTCACCGGAGAGAAAGAATCTTCGTTCTTGAAACGTTGCAGGGAGAATGGTAACTCGGAAATTTCGTACCGTGAAGGAATGGTGCAATACTTCAGTTCTTTAAGGGTAAAATCGGGTCTTGAGAATTTGAAAAATGCGGCGATGGAGGGTCTTGATGAAGCCAAATATGTTTATTGCATGCTTTTGATGTGTAGTGAAGATGAAGGAGAAAGAAAACGTGGTTTTGATCTTTATTGTACGTTGAAACGTTCCACTTGTGTTAGAAGATGCAGAAAGAGGGTGAAGTCTTTTATCCGAAGCATGTGGGTGAATAATAAAATTGTGGTTCGAAATCACAAATTATCTTTATGCAGCACGTGTGATGGTGAGAGGCTCAAGAAGCTTTCAAGAAGATGGTCATCGTTGGTTGAGGATGAAGATGGTGATGGCATTTCATGCGAATATTGTAGTGCTGACTATGAACTTGGTTTGTTTTGTAACATGAAGTCTAACTATTTACGGAATCAAGCATGTGAATAGGAAAACACGTTCAAATACACTTCAATTATTCCTTCTTGCATGTGAATAGAAAAACACGTTCAAATATACTTCAATTATTCTTTGATCACGTTTTAATTTTTTATTACTCTGACATAAAGATCGATCCAGAGCCAATAAGTCATTCTTAGTCTACCAGTATCATGTTTTTAAAAAAATATAATAATGTATCCATTTTAACAAAAAAAACAGTGCGCATCATAAAACTTACCTTCTTTAAGTAAATTACCTTGTTCTTGATTTGGTGAATTATTCTTGTAAGATACTAGTATTGCAGCGAGATGGCCGACAAACAAATACGTTTTTACTATCCCCTCCTCATGGTTTTGAGTACTTTAGAAATCGCACCACCTTTCTTAGATGTTAAGTTACGGGTCTTTAGCATCTGTGATTGAGTTAACAGACACTCTTTTAGGTCGGTTCTCAATGGATTTACTTCCCATGAAGTGTTCTAAACCCACGTTTCAAAATCTTTGTACATTTCACAAGTAACCAAGCTTGCTTGATGGTTGATGCAACAGTTGTACAGCCCTCGGTGTTGCTCGCTTTAAATAAATTCATTTTGTTCCAAATTTAAGAACGAATCAAAGCATCATTTAAAATAACTTTCAACAGGCATTATTGGCTTGACGGGCAATTTATTAAGGCTAATGCAGTGACGACGAGTTTTTCATCGAACACCTAGTTAAGGTCATCAGTACCACTCGTCTCGGTGCACAATTCTTCAAATTGGAGATAAGGCTTTAACAAACAAGGACAGTCACACTAACAAGCTAAGCAGAAGCTAAACTAAACCAATATAAACCTCTTAACAAAATCATAAATCAATGGAAGGAATAGGAGGAAGCAATCAAATATTTCTGAATGTAGTCAATCAGTCAAAAATCAGCTTTAAGCTGGGTAAAATAAATATTGCTGAATTTATAGCTAAATTACCTAAATTCCACAATCATATTACTGAAATATCTCCAGTAATAGTATAGTAGAACTTCAGACAAAAAAATATCATTTCTACTGTTGCTTAACTTCTGTTTTCTTCTTCTGCCACAAGCGATCTAGGGCACTATCAGCATCTCCCTGAAAAGAAAAACATAAAATCATTAGATAAAAATACAAGCCGTGGGTAAAGTATCTAGATGCAACCTTGAAATATCTAAGCATGTGCAATAAGACCAAAAGAAATCAAAATAAATAATATTTAAATCTAAATTTCTGAGTAAATGCAACCAAACTGCCAGAAACCTGATAGTCTACTTGTTTGTTGATCATATTATTCTATCATACCTTCGTCCAAATACAACAGAGCAACACGAGGGGTATAGAATAACATAAGATTACACAACCAGAGAAGAAAACCAAACATCCCTCAAATTCCCAACCACGTCTCTGTCCCCCTCCACCAATAAGAAAGGTTTTTAGAAAGAAAAAAAAGAATGGTAAGAAGACAGGAACAAAATCATCCAACCAATTGAGTTTGTAGCTAATACTTTTTTTTTTAATTGCTGCTCCAGCAGCCATTTCAACCCAAAAAAATTGGTGTGGTATAGTATACCAGAGATATTAGCAGGTGCTTATATTTTAAAACACAATTAACTATCTACCTACAACCACAAAATCAAATTGAGCCAAAATAGGCAAAAGCACAATCAGCCAAAATCAATCAATACGTGAAAAGGAATTTGCAATGTCATTTGTCATTATTAGGTAATTTTTATGTCAAGTTGCTAATATATACTTACTTGAAAATATGGATCATATAATTACTTGACACAAATCCAGAAATAATAAACCATAATGCAATTAAGCAATGCATCAGAAAAATGACAAAACAAAAGATACATACCTGTGCCCGGACGAAACCACATAGGGCGAATGTGGAAAAATGACCATTATAGATACCACTCTCATCCAAATGACCAATGTTAATCTGAACCGATGCATGGTCCTTCGCAGTTATCAGTCTGTTAGTGGCAGAGCTGCAACGTACTTAAACATCAGTTCAAATTCCACAAAACAACAGCAAAACCCATAACTTAAAATGTACATTCACCATTTTCTAGGAACGTATAGCTCAGTGAGCTTTCCCTCTTCGTTCTGCATCCTATGCTCCCAATATAAGCCTTTTCTTCAAATATCCAGAAACCTAAATCATACACGTTATTTAAAACTATGAGTCTTCCACGAGTGACTAAATCGTTTAAATGTGTGTATTTAAATACGCTCAAATATGATTTTTGCAATATATATGTGTGCGTGTAAAATTTACATGCAGTATGTCCAAATTCTACATCACATCAAACACGAAAAAAAAAAAACCACAGTTAACAGAGATTATGACGCTGATGATGATTAAATAGGAGAGGATACAAAAGCAAGACCATAATGCAAACCACAAAATAAACAAACAAGGAATCAAAGAGAGAGAGAATGTACCACGAGAGGCGAAAGGACGAAGGTTCTGCGGAAAATGACACTTTGACACAGAGCTGAAAAACCTAGCTTTATTGGAGATTGGGCCGGGTGAGATTTTCGACCGGCCCAATTTTTAAGTGATTTGTTAAGAATGACAAAAACAAACAGGTGATTTGTTAAGTACGATGATGTCAAACTTTTTTTAAATTCTTTTTAACCCACCGATGGTAGGACATCTTTGGGTGTCGTACCAACGATTTTAAAACTAAACTGAGTAATTAAATCGTTCATTGTTTGTTGACTAAAGTTTGATTAGGATAAGGTGAAATTAATAATAACAAAAATATTTTCAATATTTCTAATTATATGTTGAAAATTAAATTATTACAAATTTACAGGCAACTTAAAATAAGTAAATTATTAAAATGACAATTATATCATATGTCTTGTGAAAAAATTCAAAAATTTTATTAAAGAAATGTAAATAAGAATAACTTATATATAATTCGTATATCAGTATTTATATATTTGAATAGTTTTAAAAAACAAATAAATAAGTCTCTTTTAGAAAAGCTGGCTTGAATCAGTTCTCTTATTTAATATTGACCTAATCGGTTAGTTTTAAATTTTTTTTCCTCGGTTCCAGAATTAGTCCCTTTACAATCTTGATTTTAAATTTTCATTCGAAGCACATAAATAGTTAAATTGGGCAACTAATACTCAACAATATAATCTGCAGAGATAGAATGTTTTATTACTTGACAAGTTGTGCACTTATAGCAATATGAATAAAATTTTAATATGCCCCAACGTGTAAATTCAAGTAAGCTTAATAGACAAATCAATAAAGTTAAATTTTAAAATCAAATCTATTATTTAAAAAAGTATTATAGTAATAATAACAAAAATATTCATGCCTGTTTAAATAGTTTGATTTATTAAATTTAAATGACATAAAACCTTGCCCTTTCAATTAAATAATTTTTAAAAGAAATTCAGTCTAAAATGTTTAATAACTAACTCGGCCTAACTTTAACTTAATATAGGTCAAATCTAAACTTTTCGACTAATAATCTAACTTTTTTCCGTCACTAACATAAAATAAAAGAAATAGATTATTCTAACGTTTGACAACTTTAATCCATAAGCATTTAAGAGTCTCAGCATCTTTTAAAATATTATTATATATCACATTTATCAGTTCTTTCACAACACTCCCTACATCGCATTGACGCCATTTCAAATATTTTCCAACATTTTATGTATGGCCGTGACAGTGACTTGCATGTTGCATAATCGTCTACTTTGTAGAGCTGTAATGGGCGTAGAATAAGGACCTTAACGAGTGGCTAAGAAACGTTTTTTGCAGTCAAACATCAGATGACAGCTTCATATCACTTACGCGGTTGCATGAATTGAAAGGAAAGTTGGCATTCTCACTAAACTATATATAGTCCAATGCTTTATACAATCTGAACAGCGAAAATTAACCTTCATACTTATACTTTCTGTCACAGAGCTCTGTCCATAAATACCCTATAATACGTAACATAAAAAAGGATAAATTTAAATCAGCCTCTTTATATATATTGAATTTATTTATTAAGTAACTAGTTAATACTTTTTAAAACCGTATCTGGTTCAACAATATAATATAGATATTATTTTAGTTTTTTATTTAAAATAAATTATTATTTCAATAACATATGTCGATCTAGTTTTAGATAAAAGCACGGATGTTCTTCTTACAATCGACAGACTTGACGATAAAAAAGATCTGGCTGCTGGGATTCGAGCCCAGGTCTCCACGGCCACAACGTGGAATTCTTACCACTAAACTACAGCCACCTTGTGTTAAAATGAGATATTATCACACAATAATAAAAGTAATGGAATTTTACAAAATAATTCTATTATATGTTTTAAATTTCATTAAGTGTTTTATTATATTAAATAAAAAATAATTAAATCGATAACAAATCATGTGACATAACGAAAAAAATTATGACTGACAAATATCTTTATTTAAAATAAATCTTAAAAACCTTATTATTTAAAAATTATAATTCAGAAATTATAGGTAAATTAAAAATTGCAAAGAAGGAAGTTAAAATATCAGAGGGGCACTTGTGCTGTTGCACACATCATATGATACCATTTATTGTTGGCACTTGGCACAATATATATATATATATATATATAATAAATTATCCCTTTAAATATAGAATAATGTTAAAAAAAATGACCTGCAATTGTTTCAACTCTCAAGTCTAGTTCACGATTTATTCCCCCTTCCAGATGGTTCCTCAATTAATTAGACAAATCGTATCTGTCTTCACAACGTTGCATTCGGTCTCAACAGCTGCAATATGAAAATCTTACTCTCTCGCCGCACTAACAACTGGAACAGCTTTCATTAGCCTAAATAATAATTACCTGGGCCCCAAAATGGCATAATCTCCAACTCAAGTTCCCTTTAATGACTTTTTTTTCATTATGATGTTTTTCTTTGGATCGGGGGATTTAAATTAAGAATTTGTATGGTAATTTTAAAAAATATTTTATTTTAATAACTTTTATAATTTAAATTATTATATGGAAATTATTAAATAAACGCTTATTCTCTGTATCCGAAGGTACCTAAATGGTTAAATAAAGTCAAAATATGATAAAGGAGTGCGTGTGAAGCAATGAGTCATGTAAAAGTCAAGTGGCAGCACTCGTAAATACGGGACACATCTGAGGGCATTTTGGCAGAAGCGTCGCTTATAATCTGAGAGCGGAGGCTCTTTCCTCTTTGTGTGTTGCGTTGCTAACTCAAGTGAACATGGGTGGCTCCAAAACGAGAACCAGTTTCAGTGGTTTCTTCTTGGTGTGTGCGATCTTAGCCGTCCACGTGGCTCTCTCTTCATCAGCCACCCTCGATTTCGCCGGCGACCTCGACCTCGCCGCTTTCCTTCAACCTCTGAAGTCCGGCTGCCGCGGATCCATCGCCGAGTGCAGCTTGCTCGTCGGAGAAGACGACGACAACGAGTTTCTGATGGACTCTGAGAGCAATCGGCGCATATTAGCCGCAAGGAGGTACATAAGCTACGGTGCGCTGAGGAAGAACACTGTCCCTTGCTCGCGACGCGGCGCTTCCTATTACAATTGCCGGCCCGGCGCTCAGGCCAACCCCTACAGGCGCGGATGCAGTGCTATCACCCGATGCAGACGTTGAAATTGAACTTTCCATTTTATTTTTTTAATTTCATTTTTTTATATATTTTTGTAATTGATGAAAATTGTTATTGTTATGCTACTACATATATATACAAGTAGAGAAGAGAAGAGGAGAAGAGAAGAGTAGAGATGAATAAAATTCAATTGCCGTTTGTGTTTGTGTTGGTGTTGTAATTTAATTTAATCCTAGGTACGTACACATATTATTATTGATTGTGTCAAAAATACTATCATCGTAATTTCTTATTATTATTCTTGTCATTCGTCGGTGGTTTCTGTTTTTTGCTTTAATTTTATATTTTTGGTTGAAAATGAAAGAGGAAATTTGGCGGTATTGTAGATGGGCAGCGTTTGGTAGTTTTGGAAAGTAATGTGAAGGGCAATTATTGATGGTTTTATTTGTGGCTTTTGGATGAGGAGGGGAATGGACAATGGGAACTAAAAATGTGCCTCTTTTTGGGATTTTGCCTTTTGGATATGTGGCTTGAGAGAGAAGGGGGCTGGCATATGTCTGGTACCTCCCTTCCTTTTCTTTCTTCACATTTTGTTGAAATTGAGGAATATGTCCGGCTGGACCGTGCACCTTTGTTTATGCTCCCAATTTTATAAATCACAATCACCGCAATAATGTTAGCAAATCTACTATTTATCCATATGTTCCCATAGAAATAGTAGAAAACTAAGGTCTTTTTTATCATCAAAAAAGAAAACCAAAAGCCATGGGTCACTTTCTCCCCCCTTTTCATTCTAAACGAAAAGGAAAAAAAAAAGTGGGGAACAAATACGGTGGGTGTACCTCTTTCTTTTTGTTGATTTAGAGTACTCCAGACGAGATTATTGCTCCCATGTGAATTTTGTTTATAGGTGGTATCAAATGCGATTAGTACAATTTTAAAACGCAAACGGCTTTTTTTTTCCCATGCCGCTGATAGCGTAGCTATCTATTTCCCATGCTTTTTATATTGCAATCTTGACTTTCCATAAATAAATTTAATAAAAAGCTAGTATTACCTAATTTGTGGTAACATTAATTACTCCTACTTCAGTCGAGTTGGTTATAAAATTTATTATGGTCTTTATCAACCTTAGTAATACAGTGGTAGTTTTATAGACACCCTTTCAAATCATGGTTTTCTTTTGCTTTCCTTTTCCGAGGAGGAATGCTATTCTTATCTTCGATTAAAGCCAGCCTCACATGCATTATTATCCGCACCAATTAAAATCAGTGAACGCGCTCCTATGATTATTATGATGGTATCTTTACTTCTTCTTTTCTTGTGTGTGACAACTAAAATACACCTCATAAACCTTTGTCCTATTATCTCCTGTCCAACTATAATTTTGTCCAGGACCACCAACTTGAATAGAGAGCCCAAACCCGAAGGGCAGAGACTCTTCTATATCTACATTCACACTTTGATAGTTATTACAATATTTAATGGCTATCACTAGCTTGCAACGTTGCCCATATGATATCCGAACGTGATTTTGCATTCTTCCAACACCTATTATCTCAAGGAACTCTCTGCTAAGCTGTCAAAGATCAGTACACTTGACGCAACCACTATTTACTAAATAATAATTCGATGTAATGAGAGAGAAAATCTAGCAATCCTAGAGCCTTAGGGTGACACGCAGCCTTAAAGTTTTGGCCGATCTAGGAAAAGCTCAAAAATCCATCCAAAGTTTGGTTATGGATGGCCAATGTTACATGCATAACATTTACCTTCAGTAAATATAGGAAAACACTCTTTACAAATGCTTGAACCAGTTCATTCCTTGAAGAGACCAAGAAGACTTAAAATGTAGTCTACATTTAATTTCTCATCACATCAAATTGACCCCTTTTGGTATAAAATGATACAATTAAAGTCTTCTCTGAAATAATAAATATAGACAAACACACATAATTTGCTTGATACGGACTAGAGTTAGCAAAATGTGCTTGTTCGACTAGTTAAAGTACACTACACGTGACGAACTGCTGTAAATGAGCCAGAAAGATCGTTCTATCAACTCTATTATTCACTTAGGGAAAAATCAATAAAATGGGATGAGATGAATATATTCAGTCTTATTATTTGTATTATTAATTTGATAACATACGTGACACTGTATATTTTATTTATTTATTTATTTATTGTGTATGTATATGTGTATTTAAAAATATACTTTATATATATATATATATATATATATATATCTTTAAGTGTTCTGTTCTTATTTTCCATTTTAGATTATATTTTTTATTAATTTTATACTGTTAAAATTAAAACATTTATTATCAAAATTTTAATATGTCATTGTTATTTGTTTTATAACATGATACTGCCGTTAACTACCGATAAATTGTAAAATAGAAACAGTAGAAAAACAAGACATTGTGTAAAGTGTAGAAAATACTTAACAAACAACAATTTACATGAATGTACATCAGACATAAATATGAGATGATATAAACACATGCACGTGACGTTTTAAAAGTAGACGATATGACACAACTGAAACATACTATATAAAAAAGTTAATATCAGTATTTAATATAAAAATCCCAATCTTAAATTGTAATTAATGATATTAGTCTTTCGTAAAATAGCATTACTCAGTAAAATCTTATCATTTACTTAGTTCCCGTAGTATATTTTTTTTTGTTGTCAAACAGTTCCCGTAGCAAAATCATATCATTCACTTGTTTATATTGGCACAAAAGTTTGTAAAAATAAATGGAAGATATCGTTTATTAATTATTGTGATATCCACTTATATTGGTACAAAAAATCAATAAACTAATGAAAGATGTAAGTTTATAAAAGAATTTATTAAAATTAAGTGACACAGTATGCATCATAAGGAATAGTAATCATTTTAAAATATAAATACTTAATATCAACAATATCCCCAATTCTTCTTCCAACACTATAGTGAGTTGTACGTAGCCATCCATCACAGAAAAATAAAGATCCTAGGTTGATTGGTTAGATTTTCTTGGTTGTTTTTTGGGCTTAACAGCCCCTCTGGATGTATATAAAAGAAAAATGAAAAAGAAAGACAGAGGAGCACTTGGTTCACCAAACATAGGCATCCCCATGCCAATGCTATGCTCGACATATCCTCATCATGGCTATAAAACTATGATAACAACTAGTCTTTTTGTATGTGCCCACCGATTTGGTTCGTCCACTCGGCCACTCTGGGTCTTCTTTTTCTTTATGGCTAATGATTGCCTTTTTGTCATTTAAGTTTCTTTAAGCTTTTATGTGGCACCCTGTTTGTACTCGTTAATTATAATAGCGTATTTTGTTACCGTTGCGTTTTTTACTGTTTTGGAATTCCATTTATCCTTTACATGGGTTTAGAAGAAGGAACCATTGTAAAAAAATTCTGGTCAAAGCTTCTATTTATAAAACATGGTTATATTATAATGTCAGTATCTAAGTGGAAAGAGGACTTTGACAAATATAATTTTTCAGGACCTGTACTATCTATTAATGTTTCTACAACTCATTTTTGCTTAATTCAAACTTAGAAAAATATAATTTTGACAATTTTTTCCCATGTTGAAAAAGAAAATGATGTAGTAATAGAAAATGTCTTCAAAATTTTTTAATTTAACGTTTGAATTTGAAATATATGATATTATTTTTATAATTATGTATATTAAAATTGAATAAATCAAACATATAAAGATATATAACTTTATAGTGAATTTTTTTTAAAAGCATGTTAAACACTAAAATAAAATTATTTTATAAAGTATCAAATAATTTATAAAATTTTATAAACTTAATTTATTTATTAACAATTCTTAAACTAATAATTAGGTTAATATAAATTAAAAATTATAAAAAATATTAAGTAAAGAAAGCTAGTCAATACTTATTGTACAGATAAGTGAATTCATTTCCATAATATCATAATACATAATATGTTATTGAGATTTATAAATACCGATATAAAAACGTGGAACACAAAACAAAATAATTTTTACAGTATTCATCGGACTAAGGAATTAGAAACCCGAGGAAAAGGTTCAAAAGTAGTGAAACAATTGAAGTAAGCCCTTAAGGCTGAAAAATGTTTGAAGAGACTTTGAGCCTATTTGCATAACTCCTTAGATGGGGTTTACTTACTACCACTCTTAAATTTTGTTTTGAAAAAATGGGACTTGTACTGTGACTTGGGAAATATGAAATGTTCTTTAAAAAATTAAACACATAGTAAGAGGAATCTAATTTTCTTATATACATGATAAATAATTTTAATCAGACTTATGATTTTTATGTTTTTTTTCAAAAATATTTTTACAAGAGTAATTTTTAAAATATTATGACAAATTATGATTGATTAATAATGAAGAAAAAAATCAATATCGCCCTCTTACCAAATATAGTTGCATTGTGTTCTCAGAGAATTTTATGTTTATCCCACGATACTAAGAAAAGTAGATATGTATACTTATTTGGATAAGATTTTTTAAATTAGGTTTATTTTTAAAGTCAACAAGTGTGTGTATATGTATAAGCGTATCATAAAATCACAATCTTAATTTACAAAAACTTAACGGGAAATGTGAAATATATTTTACTTATTTTATGTTAAAACAATGTTACTTAAAATGAGTAATTTTTTTCATTTATAAAGTAAATCTTACTAATTTAGGTCCTTATATCAATGGTTAAATAATTTAAAAAAAGTTCCTGTTATTAAAAATTATGTTAAAAAATTATATTAATAACATTTAAAAGAAATGTTTTTATTTTAAACATTTAATTAGTACCCTTAAATACTAGTTAGGATATACCTTACTAAGCATTCATTTAAATAATTCTTCCATTACTGTGTTATTTTGTCCCTTGGTCAATTATGAGGAAATCTATTAATATATTTACCATCAGTTAATCTCCTTTTGTCATCATTGTTGCAGACGGGGGATGATCAGGTGTTGCCTGATTAAAACATGGCTTTCAATATACCCCAAAAAACAAAAACAAAAATTTACCTTTCAATGCCTTACAATATATGTACACATATGCACACATGTTTTTTTTCCTTAAAAAATATTCATAATATTATTTTATCTTATAAATAGTTTATTAATTTTGGATATTTTGTAAATGTATAATCAAATAAACAATAAATATGTTAAAAATATATAAAAATGAATAATTAAAAAATACTGTATAATATTTAGAATTATTCAAAAGATAATGGTTTATTTGGTGGATATCTGATGGCGTCTCCTCTGCATGATGCGACCCCACTGGGGCCCCATAAGAATCAAAGCAGCGAATCGCCGTAAATCGGGAAAATTTTGTTTGCTGCAAACACTAGATAACAGCCCCTTAGGCAAGAAAAAACTAAAAATAAAATAAATACTGATAAAGAATAAAAAATAAAGAACAAAAATAATATTTTTTAATTAAAAAAAATCAAACATCCATTTTTATTATAATTTTGTTTTTTAATATATTTATATATATTAAAATTAACCTTTCTTAATTAACAATCTCAAATATTAATTGAGCAGAATATTTTTTATTTATTTTTTACATAAAATAGGTTACAGAATTGAGATACAATCTATCTCTTTAAAATAAAATAAATACAATGTATCTGTATTTTTAAAAAGAAAGAGTGAAGCGTAATACATACACATAGCGGTACTCTTTCTTTTCACTTATTGGCATTTGCATATTATTTATGAAAGAAATGCATCGATAACATGGACATGAACTGAACCAAAAGCATGACTTGAATAAAAGCCCCTTAACCTTAAGCATAAGCTCAACACAGTAACTCTCCTCTGGCGGCTCTCAGAATTTCCAATCCCCAACCCCCAAACCCTAGTTCCATTTGGTTCTCTTCTCAAATAATTACACCCCCACGTAGTTCATATCTATTATTATTTTTCATGTATTTTATTTATTTTATTGAGAATAATTAAGAGAAACCTCGATTGTGGCTTGGTGGAGAAAGGGAAAGAGAAGGCAATGGAGGATTCTTTAGGGCAAAAGTGGAAGCACCGAGAGTTCACTTTGGCATCAGTTTCTGACCTCTCTTCGCCTTCTTCTGCTTCGCCGGGGATCGCTCGCTTTGGTTCCGACGGTCTCCAAATTCATCAGCAATCTCAACAGACCTCCCTCAATGTCCATCTTCGAACTGCACAGGTTTGTTTTCACCTTCTGTTTCTTCGCGTAGCTATTGCAATAATACTTGCAAAATGTTTTTAGCTATAATAACATGCATTTATGGCGAAGGCGGTTTTTTCCCCCCTTAAATTTTGATGCTTCCATTTCCTAACTTTGTTCCCTGATTGGCGGTGTATTTTAAATGTGAAGACTATTTTGAACAGGATATCTTAAATATTGTTCCTTTGTGGTTAATTTAACAGTTATTTAAGTTGGGTCCTGTTCAATCAGTTTGCATGGTGGAAGGTTCTGACGTTGGTAAAAAGGTACGGAGCAGAATCTTTATGCTAAGCTTTATAAGGTTGGAAAACTGCAATATCTGTGTGGTTGTTTGCTTGGGGTCATAAAGATTTGATGTTGTAGTTTTAATGCATATTATTATTATTATTATTCATGTAAACTTATGCTTATGTGAGGTTTGCATGGTGCATTTTGCAATATTATTGTTGAGAAATTCGTTGGTCTGTTGCCAAATACTTATGCATTTTGACAGTGCTATTTTTGAACCAGACACCGTATTCCAGGGGAATCACTATCCAGTTTAGAAATGAGGAGGAGAGTGCAGCCTTCCATTGTGTAGTTCAACAATGGAAGAAGGAAATCAATGCTCAAGGTGCTGCTTTGGAAATTTGTGTAAACCTTGTTGTGGAATGGCCTATGTCATATGACATTGTTCCAATTGCACATCAGCAAACACCTTTTCTGTGTTTTTGTGTTTATTATTATTGTTAATTGCTTCAGGTCATGGTTAGTGGTTAGAATGACATTTGTGAACCAATTTCTTATTTGTTACTTAAAAATCATTTTCTTTTGACACGTTTTAAACTTATTAGCTGGCTAAATAAATTTTCTTCTTTCATGCACTGATTAAAGTTTGGAAATATGATCTATAGCAAACTAGCAAATTTGTTAGGTTATTTAATTTTAGTGAAACCTTGTTTGATGTCAAGTTTTGAAAGAGGAACTTGGGAAACTTTATTATTAATGGAACAAAGATATTTCATATTCCTGTACTTCTCATGTTGCATTGGATCTTGTTGCACATCTATTTTCAGGGTAGGTAGCTTGATTTTGTGTTTTACTTCATGTAGCTGGCACCTAAATTGTGTGGACAACCCACTCTCCTGCCAAACATTTCTGTTGGTTATAATTTTACTTTTTTAAGATGGATCATCATCATTGATGCACTTATTTGTACATTTCATTGTTTATTTTACTTGCTCTCATTGAATCTTTTTACTCTGTGCAAGATCACTTTCTCTCTCTTTCCACTAAGATATGATATTTATTTAATTTTATATTAATTTTTCACTCCAGGAGGGAATTTATCAAATGGAACTATTACAACTTCTAAAGGCAAATTTGATGAAAAGATAGAATCATCTTCTGCAAAAATGTATTTTCATTATTATGGACAACTTTTGCATCAGCAAAATATGTTGCAGGATTATGTGCGGACAGGTTATAACTTATTGTACTCTAGTGCTATTTTTTTGTTTTGTTTGTATTTTACCTTGACCTGATGAATTAATATATAAATTGTTTCAGGAACCTATTATGCTGCTGTAATTGAGAACCGTACTGATTTCTTGGGTCGTGTAGTAGTTGACGTGGGTGCTGGTAGTGGTATTTTGTCATTATTTGCTGCTCAGGTAGCTCAGCATCTTAATTGGGCATAGCTCTATTTGTAGCATATGACAAGTGTCATTGCTTCTAATTTAATGAAGATTCTTGGTATCTCCTTGCCCAATACAATCATATAGTTTTTCCTAAGATTTTGTCATTCTGTCATTCCCTTTTAGGCTGGTGCAAAACATGTTTATGCTGTGGAAGCATCTGAAATGGCAGAATATGCACAGAAACTTATAGCTGGAAACCCAACATTGGCTCAACGAATTACAGTGAGATCTGTTTTCTGTTTTATTTAGTATAATCATTATTCATTAGGTATCTTATTATTCATAGAACTGTTTTAACAACTATGTATAGGTAATTAAAGGCAAAGTTGAGGATGTTGAATTGCCAGAGAAAGCAGATATTCTGATCTCTGAGCCCATGGGTAAGCTCATATTCTGCCTGCTTTTGAAATCTGGAGAATGATGTTGATTTTCCATGCATAATTTATTTATGTATCTAAATTGTTAAATATGTTGTGTTTTTGCAGTTCTGTAGTGTAAAGTTCAGGCATATGATTGAAATTCTCACTCTTCTATCGTTTGGAATTTTTTGTTGTTGTTGTTATGCAGGCACCTTGTTAGTCAATGAAAGAATGCTGGAGTCATATGTCATTGCCAGAGATAGATTTCTCACTCCTACTGGGAAAATGTTTCCAGCAGTGGGAAGGTAAATTAATTCCATTTCAATCTTTCTTTAAGCTTCTTGTATGTGACAATATTAAATGTGACTATGATAATATGATTATGCTTAAGTAAGTTATTGGCAGATAATTATCTGCTTTTTGAAAGTGACGTTTCTATTTAAATTTCTTTTACCCATGTTTTTTATCAACAATTTAACAATTTCTATTAATGGTAATTTTTATTGCTATTTCAATGGAAATTTACCATAATATCCAAGTACATTATGTTTAAAAAATGTGTCTTTCGAGTCACACCTACATTTTGTTTGATGTCTTGAGCAAAATATGAATTTTCGAGGTCTAGATTCTTGTTCTGAATGGTTTATTGTTTAATTTCAAATGATAATAGGAATTGGGTGCATTTGCAGAAGTTTTTTTAAATAAAGCATTTATATTGCATTTTTTTCGCATTTTTTTAGCAAAAGCTACAACTATTTTTTTATACTTTATTTCCTTAGAGTCTTTGCTTTTTTTCCTCCTGTAATATGTTCTTTAATTATCACGGAATATTTTAAACTTAATTATTGTAAATTTTTAAACATGTTTGTTTAATTAGAAAAACACATTTATCTAAACAAAAAACAAAGAAGTCCTTTAAAGAAATTCTCCTTCTCAATGCTTGTAGTTATGTAATTATTATGTGTCTCCTCCTAACCTTGAATTTATTACTGGTGTAGGATTCACATGGCACCTTTCACTGATGAATATTTGTTTATTGAAATTGCTAATAAGGTGTGTAATTAATATGTGTGTTTGTGTTCATATTTGTATATATAATTTGTCAGTATATTGTCCCACTCACCGACCTTTTCTTTGGTAGCATATACTTCTCTCTGAGTAGTGTCTGTGTGCATGTGTGTGCGTGTGGGTGCATGTTATTATTTTTTACCTAAAATTATGATGCATAATGGTGTGCATATATCTTGTCTTACACCCGCAAACAAATTTGTTTCAATATTGCATACTTGTACATCTTTAAAAGGTTTGTTTTGTTTCAAAAAGAAACAGGCTTGGCTTCTAAAAGCATTTTTAGGATTACAGAGAAGCCAGTCTGAAGTGTCTCTTACTGAGCTTTGTATCAGTTGTTGGATGAAATGAATTTCAATGAAATTCAACTGTGATTCCATGGACTAAAAGGGCTTAGGAAAAAACTGTAAATCATTATGCTTTGTAGAATCTATGCCATAAGCTGTTGATTTCATACTTTTAGAATTGCATCATGATACTTGTAGAGCATTCTTTTTCAGATATGGTGATTATTGTTCAGTGAAATTTGCTGGTTTTCTAACTATTCTCTTATGAGTGCTTTCAAATACTTTTTCCTCTTTTTAACTCATTGTTTGTTATTGTTCAGGCCCTGTTTTGGCAGCAGCAAAACTATTATGGTGTTGATTTGACACCCCTACATGGGACTGCATTTCAAGGATACTTTTCTCAGGTATCATATGGGCATGTTTTCAGAAATTTACTAAACTATTATGGTGATGCTTTCATTCATGCTATTATACACATCAAATTAAAATTTGGCATCCATTTTTACCTTTTTGATATATGATTACTTTTGTGCTTGTGGATATTATAAGACATTATGTCTTTTATGATTTATTCAGATGAGAATAGTATAGACTTAGAAAAGCACAGTCATGGTTTTATTGACAAACAGAAATTAGTATAGATACAAACAAATTTGTTAGCTATCATTGCCTCAACTTTTTAGGGATATATCTTCTGAGTGTTGTTGGTTTTGCTGCAGTAAAATTGGTCTGTTATTATCAATTTTTTTCCATCACTAATGCAGTCTTTGCTTTTCTTTTCCTCCTTGAAGCCTGTGGTGGATGCTTTTGATCCAAGATTGTTAATAGCTCCTCCAATGTTCCACGTGATAGACTTTACCAAAATAAAGGTAAGAATCAGTTTTTTTCGAAATCCATTTTATTTTCTGAGATTGTTTTATGTTTCTAGGGTCCTGTTGGTGCCATTAAATTGCACTTTTAATCAAATAAGCTAGTTTTTTTTAATTGCATTTAGTTTTCCTTGTAATAGATTTCTTTTAATGCAACACCTTTCCATATTGAAAACTTTTTAATAGAAGTTCCTGTCATCTGGTAGGTTGTAATGGTATTCTTGAATTCACTGGAAAAAGAAAAATATTTTAACTATATAAACAAGGCATGCATTTTTCTGCTTGTGTATTGTTTTTTTCAAAATAGTCTACTATTAGCTGGGGACTTAATTATGTTCATTTCTTCTGTTCTGTCATATTCTTAGATTCCTTGAAGTAAAGTAGACTATGAAATTGTTACTGCTGGAACGATAACTTTTTATTCTGTAGGAAGAAGAACTGTATGAAATTGATATTCCTCTGAGATTCATAGCCTCTGTGGGTGCTAGAGTGCATGGGTTGGCATGTTGGTTTGATGTGCTGTTCAATGGAGGGTAAACATTTGTCTTTATTTATATGGTCTACCCTGTTTTTTTATTCAGTTGGTTACTGTTCCTGTATGTTGATTTGTCTTCAATATTTACAAATTCTCAGTACTGTGCAAAGGTGGCTTACCACTGCTCCTGGTTCACCGACAACCCATTGGTATCAGTTACGCTGTGTTCTGTCTCAGCCAATTTATGTGATGGCAGGACAAGAAATTACTGGCAAATTTCACTTGATTGCCCACAATGCCCAGAGTTATACAATATATTTAACACTGTCAGGTTGGTAATTATCTCTTTCTTTTCCTCATTAATCTTATATACTAGTACCATGATGTTGAGAAAAATTTCAATTTGCGTTATAGCTAAAATGTGGGGTCCTGGTGCTGAACAAGGAGGGATTCTGCAAACATCATCCTGTAAACTTGATCTGAAAGAACCCTACTATAGAATGTCTCAACCGCAAGCTTATGCATTAGCTCAAGATCAGCAAACCCAACCACTTATACAAACACAGGTATTGAATTTATGTTCTCTTTTTCCATGCGTTTGTGAGTTGAAACTCAGGAAATTTTGGAACTGGAAATAAGGTGTTTTTCTAATGCCTGCCGTTTCAATTTAGGGGGAGAACAAAGGATGAATGAGTAAATCTTAACCAGTATTTTCGGTCTTTGACTGAAGTATTCCCACAGGCAATATTATGAGACTAATCTCTCGGGCATTTGTGACTGTAGACTGACCAAGAAACTCGCCTAACAATTATTTTCTCTAGTATTTAGTCTTCAACTTAGAGAGAATTAACCAAAGTAAGAAATAAATTTTCCATTTTCAAAAACTTATTAATGATTAACTAGCACTGACTGGATTAATCTTAAGTCATAACACCTTACATTAATTAGTTTTTTCTTTAACTTGAAATTTATTTGCCAGAACATGCAAAATTGGAATTTGAACATTAATAAAATACATGAAACAGAATCTTGGCTATGCTCATGTTGGCTCTCCTTGGACAGCTACTCTGTTGGATAAATGACATTAATGATTTAACAATAATCCAATCACACGGGTTTGATTGTTTATAATAATTTTTTTACTGTTTTAGTGTGGGCAGTGACAATCACTTTCTTTGATAGGATATACATATTCAACCTCAGGATTTGGATGAACCAGAAATAATGCAACAGCCTTCGCCTAATTCATGTGCCCAGATTGATTCACTGATGCAGAATGCCTAACTTGATAAATCCTAACCTGGGTTTCCGTTTGTAACATGAATTTGCCATGCTGCAGCTAGTGTGGGGGCAGTTTGTCTGTATTTGGACATTCCCCTTGCCTGTAAATTCATCAACATTCTGTTCTATCTATCGTGGATGGTTGTGCTGCAGGACACTCGATTGCTTTATTTAACCAACAATATATAGAATCATTATGCTTGGCAAACCTAGGAATTTATTTAGATGATCTCGAATTTGTCTTTGTAAGGTTATCAACAATGCCAATATATTCTAGTAAAACGATGCAAACACACTGTTGTCATGCTTGTACGAGTGATCGGAAATAGTACTTTTACCAGGTCAAAGCCGTGTCTTTTAATGTATTATTATTATTTAGCAATTGGGAATCAGTTTTTAAATGGAAAATTCATTTAAGTATTGTTGATTTGGTAATTCTGTATTTCATGTTCTAGTTGCTCAAAATTGACTTTTTAGAATCAAATTCTAAAAAGTGCCAAAAAAAGCGAGGAAAAACTTGGTGACACCTTTGTTTCCCTACCGGAAGATTTTGCGAAGAGAGAATGGCAGTACACGTTTCCGTAATACTATTTTCATATGAAATGGTAGAGGGATGGAGCAGAAGTAGAAAACTCGTGAGGTTTACCCCCAAAATTCTCTTTCTAGTTTAAGAAGAAATTAGGAAAGGGGATTTTACTGAAATGATTCCAGTGTCTATAATTTTTTTAATTATAGTGTAAGAGTAAAAATGATTAATTTAAAAATCTATTTTTTATTCGTTTTCTTGTCTCGTTTTTCTTTTTCTCTTTTTTAATTTCAATTGCTTCTCAAATCCAAACTAAGTCGTACTGTTTTTTAAGTCTAGCTCCTTAAATTTTAAGTGACTCGATCCGGTCCTTGTACAGGGAAGCCATGCTTTGGGAATGATTATTTTCTCTGTAGCATTACTAGTGTATAGTTCTCCTTATGAATTTCTCAGGAAGTGACAAGATTGCATTCTATTGGACAAAATATTTAATTAAGGAATGAAAAAATTAAGATGTTTGACGGAGATCAGGACATGAATTCCGCATCACTTACATGAAATGAACATTGTACTAAGCCGCATTTCTTTTTTATTTTTAAGCTTGATTATGAATTGGGTAGTTTGCATGGAGTGTTATGAATAGAGATCGGCAGATTAATGTGTTAAGCACTTGAGGAAGGTAAATCTTTTACTGACTAGTTAGCCTCTCACATAAATGCAGGAATTAGTTTGAATCTTATTCAGTTCCTCCCAATGGCAGTCAAGGCTCTTTTTCCCTTGAAGAAAAGGTTAGCGTATGTTATCTCACAAAGTAAATAACCTTATCTTAAGTGGGTTATCTATAAAAATCTAAAAATATATTTATTAGTCCACTTAAGAAGTTATTTAACCTATGGGATAACTTGGACGAACTTTTATTTTTTGGGGCTATTCTCACTTAGTTGACCAAAACACCTAGTTTTATCAGGAAGAAAGAATAGTGAGATTAAAATTTATCTGAAATTGCTTGTGTAGGCGTTCAGTAATACTCACTGGTTCACATACACCGGTGGAATTGTGAACAAAAAATAAAATATTTTGGATTTCAAATAACTTCGCTTTTTCCAAAATCTTAATTGATTGCTGCTACTTCAGAGGGCATCTGAGGAGCAACAACATCGTAGCAGCGGCTGCAGAGGGTAGGGTGGTCCAAAAATGACCCAACCTGCTGTGAATAATTCCAGCATCTTTCACACTTGGAACCCACAGCACGAGATATGCCAATCCAGACCTTACTCTTCCCTTGAATTAGGCATTCACCACTATATGGTATATTTACTATGTGTTCGTCCTCCAATGAGGGAAGAATCTCAGCCTGCACGTTGAAAATCAAATATATAAGATCATTATATCTATTCTTTTGCGTCATTCTTTGTTGAATCTGAAAGCCTTAATATACAGCATTGCTGGATCAAAACACGAATCCTAATCTGATACGCCCCAAACAAGATTTTACAACTCCTAATGCTTGGGAATTGCTTTGGCTGTCGCCAGCAGTCCAGCATCCCCATAAAAACTGCATTTTTCAACTTTATTGTTTTTAAGTCAAAATAGTAACTGAAAGTGACATGATTGATTATAGACATACCTGAGATGTTATGAATAGACGGTGCAATGTATCGGCATCATTTTTGGCCGCACATAGTTCACATAGTTGGGATGCCAGCCTGGCATCAGATGTGTAGACATGAACCTTTGCATCTAAACTGGCCCCAATTAGTTTGCCGGTTCGAGCAACTTCCAATACTCTATTCACTTCTGTTCTCAGCTGGCAAAAATTGTTTTCATTTACTAAAATGTACCAACTTAAAACAAATATCTGACATGTCATTTTAACTTCATCTTGTATTACTTTAGAGAAAGAATTAGTTATAAGGTTTTCTCCATCAATTTGCAAGCCAATATGTTAAAACAGCATTAAGAAAGTTTGGGGAAAAAAAATCAAAAAGTGAGAAAGAAAACAACACTGAAGAGAACTGATAAAAAAGTGAAAAAGGTGGCCACATGTTTATCGAAGAACCAAATCATTTGACTCTCCGAAATTTCACATTTTATAAGTTGACACTTCAATCGTGTTTTTTCGTTTTCTGTCCGTCACCTTTACATCCTAATACATATGAAATTGAAATTTTGGAAAACCAACCTTGAGAAAGAGTGAAAGATTACTAAAATTTGACTTCATGATTAAAAAATTAGTTATATATAACTTTCATACTTCATAATTATTGCTTCTAAGATCAAGGAACTAGGGCAATACATTCATTTATAAATCAAGAATATATTACTATAGATTATATCGTGGACTGCATGTATCAGATTTATTTTATATAAAACAAAGATAATGATTTTGAAAGTTATTATTGCACTTTGTATTTTGATCATTTTGAGGTGGTTATGTGGCCATGCTCTTATTTACCATTTTATAATATTCAAATCTATCATCTTTTTAATGGCTGGAACAATTACTCCTTTAATTCTGTCAAAAATGAATCGAAATATTGATTCAGGTTGACATCAGCTTAACCAAAAATTCAAGAGAGAGTACCTCAAGAATATTCTCCCAGAAATCAATTTCTTCAACAGGGAGGGCAAGCCATTTTTCATTCAAGGTGGGCCATCTTGATTCAAATACATAATCAGCAATAGAACCATCTCGAGTCATATACTGAAAAGGAAGATTCTGCCACACATCCTCAGCTAAATGGGGCAATATCGGTGCTATTATTCTCACAATGGAAAGGAGATGTGCTGCAAGAACTGTTTGACAACTTTTCCTTGTATAACTTGTTGATCCACTGTAGATTTTAAGCTTATTGAGATGTATTATGGAACTACACAAAAATGATAAAGAAATGCAAGCAAAACAGACATATATTCCTTGTTGCTATGCAAGGAGGCACATGTTGAATATCCTCAACTGCATATGAACAATGGATGTTAATTCGCAGAGAAAGAGGACATTGAGCAGAGAAGTTTACCCAACATAAAGTCGATCTTTGGCAACATCAAAATAAAAATTTGACAGGTCAACAATGACAAACCTCTGCAAAATCTGAGAGAACGGAGGAAAATTGTAATCTTTGAAAATAATCAGGTAAATTAGAAAATTCCAGCCAAAATGACATGAATGATATGCTTAAGCAAACAAAAGTTTAATATAAAGGCTTCCCATGTGACACTATCAAACTTATCATGCAGATATAGGTAAGACTGTGCAGTGGATCCCTACAACTCCATATCCTCTGTTCCCTCTTTAAAGGGATGAACTATTGCGTTTCTGGATTCCTCTCCCCACCCCACCAATTTTCAGCCCAAAGATCACAATGAAGTCATCATGACAATTTAAATGCATGTTACATAAATAGAGAATGTTTCATTAAGATATAAAAAATTACCTGAAATATTTTAAAAAACTGGTAATTTTCATAATTTCCTTGAATGTTTTTTACAACATTTTCAAGCTGAAATAGTGCATGTTGATCGATCCTCGGAAGTTCATGGTATGGAACCGTGCATTTCGTCTGTCAATGAGACATGAATAGAGGTATGAAGTAGAGGTAAAAATACAAATGAAGAGATAGGAAAACATAGATGTGACAATATTTTAGCATAACACAGTGGGTAGGCAGTGACTACAATGAGAAAAAACAGCAGTTACCCATCAAGCAAAATGGTTTTTAACTTCAACCAAAGAATTCAAACTTACGTTCCAATCATGAAGATTTGCCAAGAGATATCTCAAAGTTCCTCGCAATTTTCTGTAAATCTCAGACATTTGACGAAGAATCTGAGGGCCAATCATCACGTCACCTGTATAATCTACACTAGAAACCCATAGTCGAAGGACATCAGCTCCATATGCTGGTGCTTCCTGTGAATAAAGCAGGAGAAAAGTCCCTTGAGCCATGGCTTCGATAAAAGGAAAATGATAAGAGTTTAATACAATTCCAAAACAAATATTTATTAGATGATACATCAACACAACTAACCTTTTGATTTTTGCCTCCTTCAATCACAATACGTGGATCCACCACATTACCCAAAGACTTGCTCATTTTTAAGCCTTTCTCATCCAATACAAATCCATGTGTTAAAACACTAGAATATGGAGCCTTCCCTGTATCAGACAAGAATGACAAAATTTGTTAGTATTTGACAGTATAAAGTATAAAGACATTCTCAAGCACACAACCTTGAACACAAGTATGCATGCATCTATATCCACAGGTGTTATATAATTGAATTACATAAGTATGAACAAACAAACACAAAAGCTAATTCTTGAGCACGGGATCTTTACTGTTGCCTAACATAGCAAGGAAAGTGAATTGATTTGAAAACTAAACCAGCCAAGTAACTAAATATCAATCGGGCAAAAATACTTGCCTCACCAATCTGAGATAAAGAACTTTTCTTCTGATAGAACCAAAGAAGGGCTTCAAATAAGTTAAGGATGATCATTGTAATAAAAATGCCAATTTGCCTATTACCTCTTGTAGCTACACTTGTTAACAATGAACTCTGAAACCACCCTCGATGCTGATCTGTTCCTTCAAGATACAAGTTCGCAGGAAAACTAAGGGAATCTCTTTTTCCCAAGACTGCAGCCCAGGAGGAACCTGAAGTTAAAAGTAAACAATCAAAAAGCATCAGCAGTATTCGCTCAGGTAGCTGAGGGTTGGGACTTGGGAGTAAGGGATTAAGGTCCTAGCCTCCTAGGTTATGCTACTATAGTCCAAAGAGTTAATAAGAAAAAGGAACATCACCAGATGATAATCTTATTCTGGGTATGGACCTAAATAAGATCTCAATTAAATTAAACATGTACAGTAACAATCATGACAAATGTATTTAACAGGTAGAACAGTCCCTGAACAAGCAAGTGGAAAAATGAGTGGTTAAGGAACTCATGAATGTATTTGTGAAAAAAGAAAAAAGTTACTTAACACCAGAATATAGTACCTGAATCAAACCATACATCCATTGTGTCAGTTCCTTTTTCATATTCTGCTGCCTTATCTCGATACTTAGTAGGGAGAAGATCCTCTACTGTCATGTACCACCATGCATCACTACCCTTTTGGGCTATGAAAGCTGACAAAGTCTCAGAAATTAATATAAAAGATGAATTTCAGTATCTACAAACTTCACAGAACAAACATGTTTTAAAAAAGCATAAGCTACTAAGCAACTTTAAATATTTACCACTACATGTATTCACATATGGATAATAAAGAATTGTTTTGACCATTAACATTTGATACAATACTTCTTGCCAAAAAAAATAAAATAAAGTAAACAGAAAAAGAAAATTCAATAGTTTAATGTGAGATCACATTTTGAGTCTTACATTTGATATGATCAATTGTCTCTTCATTCATAAGAGGTTCTCTAGACTGAAGATGATAAAAAACTGGAATGGGGACACCCCATGTCCTTTGTCGTGATATACACCAATCAGAGCGGCTAGAAGTCATTGCCAATATTCTGTTTTCTGCCTAAGCAATTCATGCATATCAGCAAAAGACAGTGCCAAATATGATAAGTGACACATCTCTTAAGAAAAAACATTTAAAAATTAACTTCAAAAAATAGTATACCTGAGGTGGAACCCATTTTACGTGGCCAATAGCATCCAAAGCAGCATCACGAAATCCCTCCACAGATGCAAACCATTGCTCTGTTGCTCTAAATATAGTAGGTCTTTTTGTTCGCCAATCATATGGATACTTATGTTCTGTATCAGAAAAGATGGCGAATGATGAAGATATATAGTTATTAGTTATTGCTAGAATTCTTATGATACATGACAGAAAAACTTACCATATGATTCCTCCATGATGAGTGAGAGATGTTCATCCAAATATTTCACAACAGCAGTGTTACCTTCACCAAGAGCATCAAGCCCACTAAACTGCCCAGCTTCTTCAGTGAACTTTCCATCATCATCTACTGGAGAAAGTATGGGTAGTCCATACTTCTGTCCAGTTATATAGTCTTCCTGACCATGTCCAGGAGCAGTATGGACCAGTCCTGTTCCTGTTTCTGTGGTAATATAATCTCCACCAATTACGACAGGACATTCCCTATTATCTATTGGATGAATGTACCTGAGACAACATATACCCTCAGTGCAAGGTTCTTTTTTTCCCCCAATATACAAGGTAGAAAGATTATCAATGGATTCAACACACAATTATGGAAACTAGTAGCAGCAGCAAAATCCAAAAAAGAAGAAAAAGAAATTATTCATTTTCATACTTCCAAACAACCTGCAGTTTTCTAAGTTTGAACCCAATTGCTTTGTCTTGACTACAAGCTTCACACCCCATTTTGTCTCTAACTTTGGCACAAGCTCTGAAGCTACAATAAGAAATGGCTTCTTCTCATCCTTCAAAACAAGTCCAAGCCCTTTCTTTCCTGTTCCACCAGATGAAGGGTCGTGCTCTTGTGAAGACTTTACTTCAACGATAGCATATTCAAGCTTAGGATTCACCGCAACAGCTGAGCACAAAACAATAGAAAGTACACAAAGAAGAGAAAGAGAGATATATAAAGATTAAATTTACAACATTTCAGCAACAAAAATAATTAAATCTTTGAGTACTTAGCCATTATGCCCAACAATTGAAAAATAATTTATGCTATATTATCATATACATATGCAGAAATGATGTTTTTGCAGAGAACAAAGGTGTACTCAAAACAGTTTTGTTCTGTCTGGTATAGATAGTATACAAGTTTAGACAAAAAAACAGTTAACTCCTTGCCTCGTTGAAATTATAGGGATTTAAGTAAAGGAGTCCAAATAATAGAATATAATATTGATATATGATGTGTAATGATGCGTTACAAAAGACAATGCCTTGAGCCCTATTTTTACGACTCCTAATCCTAATTAAATATGAAAACGAATCATGATATATTATGAAATGTGAGAACCAGTCCTTTGAGATCATGTAGGACACTAAAATATTCTGATACAATAATGAAATTATGAGATATTTTCAAGATGTTCTAACACATCTAAAATCTGCTTCAGCAAAGTCTCAATTGTAAAGAATAATAAACTATATCTTCGTGTACCCAATAGTTAACGAGAATTAATCATATACATTATTTTGTAAAAAGAAATCTGTGCTGACTATAGCATGTTAAGTAGTATGCTGAACTATCCTATGAAGTGCTTCTGTTTAAACATGATTAAAGAACCATGGATACAGAAATCAAGAAATAGCTGTGAACACTGAGACTTGTGAAAGGAAAAAGTATGAGATAGGAGCTAGGTAAATGATATCCAGAAAGCTAACATGATAAATGCAAAAAAATCTGAAACCTACCTGCATTGGCAGGAATAGTCCAGGGAGTTGTAGTCCATACAGCCAAGCACAAATTTGGAAATTCTTGTAATAGGGAACTTGATGTTTGAGGAACACTCACAACTCTGAAAATGGCATATATGCTTCTTGAAACATGCTTTTCAGGATACTACACAGAAATAAAATAAGTAGCAATGTAAATACTCTAAGTTCCACCAAATCAGGTTTTAGAAAGAAAACGGCATATATGTACATATACATGCACAGTAAAATGCTGAAAATCTTTGTATATATAGGTATAAATAATTGTGCAAGTTCCACCTGTGTTAAACACCATATTGGCAGTATTTGGGTTTAGTATTTATAGTTCAAGAAAAGACGAATAACAATGATATATATCATTGTACCTCCAACTCAGCCTCAGCAAGTGCTGTCCGAGATGAAGGACTCCAGTGAACAGGTTTTCTGCCTCTGTAGATATAGCCTTTTAAGGCCATCTGGCCAAATACTTCAATCTAGAAAATCATTATACAAATATGAGGATTGTATAACCATAACCACTGTCATTTGAAGTCAAGCATCAGAGAAAGCAGCGTAACTAAAGCAGAAACAGCAATCTGGTTAGTTAATAGTTATAGAAGTTATTTTGTTGGCTTGCTTGATCATTCTATTAGATAGTGGATGGCACAACGTTCCTAACTGAAAGTAAGGACATAACTTTCACAACTATATTACATAATGAATAGGACATTGAAGTGCTGAAATCTATGTTCGATTTAACACATGAAAGGGTAAATGAGAATGGCTGTACCAGCTACCTGGGCAGCTTCATATTCTGGATCTAGGGTTAGATAGGGATCATTCCAGTCTGCCCATACTCCATAGCGCTGCAAACATTTAGCAATGTGCTTAAGGTACCAAATTTTCTCACTAATTAGAGAAAAAATTCAATGCAATATTATTAATTGTACATAATAAAACAAAAACCACTACAATATAAAGCCAAGAAAATCAAAGATAAACAAAGAACAGACCTTAAAAGATGACATCTGATTTTTAACAGTTTCTTTGGCAAATTTAGCTGCCTTTGCTCTTAACTTTAATGGTGTGAGGTCATTTCTAGCCTTTTGATCCAGTGACTGCAAAACTGAAATAATTCAAAAAAATCACAAAGTATGCAATGAATATGTACGTTAAAATGCAATATAGATGTAAAAGTTATAGTTTATTCAAATAAAAGAAATAAAGGGAATAAAGCAATTTCACCTAGGAATTTTCAATTTTCATCACTATGTCCCATATATTATGCGAAAATGAAATATGTCTACTCATTACCAAAAAAGTCATTCTATTTTTATGTAAGCATTAATTAACTCAGCAATTTATGTTATATTGCAAACACAATGGAAATGTTAACAGGAGCAAATAATATGAATTCCTAATAACAAAGTCTAGTTAAAAGCTATAACATCATATTGGGAAATTAAAACCCAGATCAAGAAACTCAGAGGAATACACCGAACTCTACCACTCCCAAATGCTATGTATTAGACGACAAAGCTCAGGACATACTGACTAAATCATGATCCCTGAGTAACATACCAACAAAATTGTTCCCTCCCTTACACCAAATGGCATAAGACCTCACCAATACATTTACAATATAAAAGGCTAGCTCCTGCCTGCATGACTAAAAGCCAGAACAAAATTTTCGTTATTTCCAAAACAAATAACCATGGACCAAAAATGAGCTGAAAAAGTTCTCAACAAAAAATTTTGAATTGCTTATAAATACTTGAGATATTTAAAAATATGTATGTAATGTACAAATCAATTCAGTACATGTTATTGACATTTGAACCTACTCCAAACATATTTATTGCTAAAAAAAAGTTAACAAAAAATCAATGGAAAATAAGAAATATCCACAACTCTACATACTTCAAGTTTGGCAATGGACCACACATGTAAATGAAGCCTCAACACAAGACTTATCATGAATTAAATATGGAAACGGAATTAGCCACTATCTGGTTCTAATAACATTAACACTTGCCTTTTAATTCAATTGGTAGGCCATGACAATCCCATCCGGGTATAAAATTAACTTTATAGTTTTGAAGGACCTTCACAAAAATAAAAGGGAATAAAATATTAGCAAATGAAAGTGTATCAGCAATTTAGCATACAACATGTATTGTTGCATGTGTCTGACAGAAGTAAAAGAAAATATGCATCAAATATTGTATTGTGATTGTAATAAAACATACCTTATAACGATTTATAATATCTTTCAAAATTTTATTTAAGGCATGGCCAATATGAAGATCACCATTGGCATATGGAGGACCATCATGAAGAATAAAATTTTCCTGATCAAATAATTTAAAGTAGGTCAATAAGTTCATACAACCAGGAAGTAAAAAATGCTGAGAGGAAAAGAGGAAAATCCAAAACTTACCCCACTATTTTTCTGAACAACTTTTTTGAATACTTGATTCTCTTCCCATATTTTCTGAATTTCAGGCTCTCTTATTGACGAATTAGCTCTCATACCAAATGATGTCTGGGGAAGATCAACGGTGTGCTTGTATTTGCCATCCTCTTGCTTGACTCCTGAAGTTAAAGAAAGTGAAGTAACAGACCTTGAGATGCATAACTACTCTAATTAACAGGACAAGCAGTAATAGATTTTTTTCAAAAAAGAAGAGAGTAGAAGGCAATGTGAGATAGCAAACAGACTACCTTCAGAGGCTTTCTTTCCTGCCATCACAGGCCCTCTTGATCTTCGCTTTGAAGAAAAAATCTCGTCCCTTGAATGAGTACAGTAGTTTGATATGTTTGAAAAAGATACCACTTTAACTGACGAGATTCCCCGGGAACAAAACAAGTCAAGAGAGTTAGTTCTCCTGGTGGAAGAACAAGCTGTTCGTAAGAACACCTGAGAAATTTAAAAAAACATATCAAAGACAAGTAAGACGACAACATTGTATTACACACAGATTAATATAGATTTATGTGAGAGAATAATCCACCAAATAATCAGATATAAAGAATTAGTTGGTTTTCACAGTCAAAGACAAAACTATTTGGTACTTGTCTACAACTGGCAACATTCAACAGTGAAGGAACAAAGAAATATGTCAGTTTTGTTACAACCGCGAAACAAACTACATTCCCAGAAAGACTAAAATAGCAACACAAGCAGATTGAAGGGAGAATAACAGAAGCAAACAACCGTTTCAATTTTCAGTTTGACAATTCATCAAGCACATGATCTATCTCGAGCTAAAAGGATGAAAAGGCCACCCTACACATACAATACATGATTAACAGAAGCAATTTGATTTCGTCGAGACGAGAGTGTTAATTGAAGACATAGAAAAGCTCAAATTTGATTGCGTTATCAATTAGGCGCGTAAAAATGAATAAAAGGGAAAAGTCCTTATTGAGAAAGAAGGATGAGTTAGTTGATAGCGTACTCTGTAAGGAGAGGTTCGGGCGATGGTGGTTTGCGATGGTTTGAAATTGAAAGCAGAGGAATTTGAAGTGAGGGATTTGAGAAGAGACATGATGTGGTGTGAAATGCAAAGTGAGACACTCGGCTCAGCTCAGCTCAGCGAGGGAAAAACACAAACATCGTTCGGATAACTCCAACCTACGCCTCACCATTTCTTGCCTTCGTATTTTCTCTATTTATCAATAATATCAGTTGCATGCTATAAATTTCACCCAAAAATTACTAATTCATTAGGGTACTGTATTCAGTCTATTGATTCGAACCGATCCGATAAATTCGAAAACATTAAACCAAATTAATTAAGTTGACACGGTTGAGTTATACATTATGGTCCATATTTTGATAAATTTTTATAATTTTTTTATGCATTTAGATATAAATTAATTAAGTATTTATTTAATATTTTTTATTATATAAAAACTTATAGCATAAATTTAATCATAAAATTTATTGAAATAAATTAAAATTAATTTATTTTAATAAATTATATAAAATTCATAAAAATAAGGTAAAGATATTATAAAAAGTCATCTATTTTCATAATATGCCAATAAATCTTTCTGAACAACCTTTTTATCATTTAGGATTAGATGACTATTTACTCAAATCAATGAAGACAAACCCATCCTTCCCCCTCTCATACCTTTTTTATGCGTTTTATAATACTTATTTTTTTGCCCTTATTTTTTATTTAAAAAAAAAACCATGCATACCAAGTGTCTTATTTTAAAGAGAAAAATTATATACTCCTAGAGTAATAAAAAAATTCCATATAATACCACAATGCTTATTAAAACCTTGCTGTTGACATGTTGGAACATCTACTTTAAATTTTGAAAATCGTATGATTACTATCTATCATCTCCCATTTGCGATTCAAACCATTTTTTAACGGCCATGATATCCAAACTTAGTTACTACCTTTACACTATTGTTTAATTAGTAGTTGGTACATAAAAAGGCCCTTTTAGAAAAAAATTACTTGAGGTAGTTAAACATGGACAAAATGCTAATGGCAACTTAATGTTTGTTTCAAAGAAATCTAAGAGAACAATTTAACTCTCGTTATTTATGGGTTGAGCAAGAAAATCAGCAATAAAGCTAAAACAAATAGAAAGATTCTTGCAATGCGTTAGTCTGACCCTGAAGATCACGGTTCCAGGCTTGACTATAGAGAATTGACATTACAAAAAGTTGTGAGGTGAACTCAGATATCACATTTCTCATATTCATTAAAATCATTTGCCAAGTGAAAATCTAAGTCAATTCCAATTGGCAGAAAATTTTAGATGAGCAGGAGACTGCAACAAAGAAGATAATGTATGGCGCAGAGGCTGGGAATGGTCCTGGAAGAAAAAATGCTTCCAATGATCAAAAAGAGTTTGGGGTCCTGAAACAGATGATATTTCAGACATGATCTTCAGAGAGAAACACAAAGCTAGTAATTGGTTTCTCCATCTAAGTCCATTGGGAAGCACACAGTCCCCAGACATATTCTTTCCACATAATGGATGGTTCTCAACAAGGGCCACTGGGCACATGAAACTTGGACTCAATAAACACAGACCACCTACTGCTTGTGTGATTGATTGTTGAACAAGATAGGATTTTTGAGCAACAAATACTTCATAGCTCAAAGGGGATCCTGGTGGCCCATCCAAAGGATTAGAAGCAGCATGTGTAAGGGTAAGAATTGAATGTTGCCAAATTGATGGACCAAGCGAACTTGTGATTGACCTTAATATTGGTAAATCATTTAGATCTCTGGTTTGGGTATCTACTCTATCAACATAGAGAATGACATGTGGAGAAAACTTTTTCATATACTTCTTTATAGATGACAATATCTTTCTGTTGTGAGCTTGTTCCTTCACAGGGGACTTGAGACCAGGCGTGTCAAGGATTCTGATATTGATTCCATCTATTTTTCCAGAAACCTCTTTTATAGAAGTTGTGGCAGGTTCAAATGCATTTGTCATGACCTTCATATCACCAAAAATAGAATTTATGGTTGCACTCTTTCCCACCCCACTTCTCCCAAGAACTAGAATGTTTAAAGAAAAGTCTAAATCATCTTGACAATTTTCTTCAAGCTTCATTGCTGATATTTTTGCTGACTTGATGACAAATTCCTGATTCGAGCGCCTTTCAATATCTGCAGCCAAGCTGCATAGAACTTTTGAAACCAAGGAATCTTCAGGAGATAAATTTATTCGCTGGACAAGCCTCAGGAATTTCACACTTATGGTCTGTATCTTCTGTATTCTTTCCTTTTCTTTCTCAGTTATGTGGTGTTGGAATTGCGCATCATAAGCTTGATCTTTGAGAAAGATAACACTGGATTCATCAGCAGAGGTGACTGTATCTGTGCTGCAATCTGATTCACCACCACTACCAACATAAATTAATTGGCTTTTTCCATCATCCTTTGGTAAGTGTATTGTTCCACACGAACTCCTGATGAATAATTTTTCTTGAGAGTTCTTTTCGGAACCTTTTGAACCCAAAAGAATAGAGAGAGCTGAAATTTGTTTCCTTAACTGCTCAAAGCCAACTGACATCAACTCTTCCACATCTCCTTCTGAAGCAGAACCATCTCTATTTGATTCTTGTCTTACCGTGTTTAACTCAATATTGGCATAATCTTTTACATTGTCTCCCAACTTAAGTGTTTCCACATTTTCGTGTAAATGATAATCACAAAACAGCTCATTTTCTAGATTAACACCTAAAATGGATTTAGACAAACCATTTTCCAAACATGTACATTCTTGAAGCAGTGAAGGGCCAAAAAGTTCAGAAGGCTCTACACTTGGAATTTTGTAACCTTCACTTGCATCATCATTGAATTCAAAACCAACTGAAGAATCATGCAATTCAGCTTTTGAATTCACCACAGATTTGGTTATGCTTACCAGATTCTGACACTCACTTGCATTCCTTTGAGTTGTTGTATTATATTCAATATTTTCAGCAAAGGCTTCTGATACAAGTTCATCTATCATGCAATGTTCTTGGAAGTTCTGTCCTTCGAGTAGATCATTAACACTCACATTCTGTTTCGGCATTATGCTGTTGTTACAATCCTCAACATTGGACTCCAATAAGCTGGTGTCAGCAACCATCGTTGAAGCTCCTTGCATCATTTCATTAGTCTCTATGGTACCCACTTGCAACCTCCCTTCCATTATGGTATCAGTCCCAATCAACTCAACAGCAATTCCCTCGTTTTTATCGTTCTCCAATCCCTTCAATACCACTCTTGCAATGCCGAATTGCTCACTGTTGAAACTGTCTTCCGAACACTGCGACATAACATCCGAATCAGTTGCACAGGAGTATTCATCATAAGCCACTCTGATTCCAACAACTTCCTCGAGACCATGCTCATCCACAACCAAATCCTCGTCGTCATCATCGAAAAATGTGAAGTCATTTGCAAGCCATGATTGGCTAACAGGTAACGAGTTCATAAACATCAAAGACTCGGTACTTTCTTCTTCCGGGTCAAGCAACTTGATTCTGGGTGCACCAGCAAAGTTCCCAGGCACTTCATCAACACTCAACGCTTCCTCTTCTTCTTCATCATCATCGTCATCATGGGTAGACAAATGGGCAAAGGGCATAACACGCAAAGGATGCACAAGAGGGTCACACTCATCAGCTTGAAAATGAAAAGACCCTTCTTTTTCTTCAGGATGAGGCACCAAAGGCCTTGGCGAAAGGGATTTGTCGGAAAGAGTGGCATTACTTGAAACATCGAATTCGGAGTCGTCGAGGGTAAGAGGAGCTCGAATAGGAACAGAAGCTGAAAGAGGAAAGTGTTGAGGGATAGAGTCAGAGGGGAAGTGGAAGGCCTTTGAATTTGAAGCCATGCGTTGCGGTTGAGAATGGAGATAGTCGCGCAGACACTACACAGAACCAAACCAGGATTTCAAGATTAGGATTTTGGCAACATCTCAACCTATCAGTTGCCAAACAATGCCTTCGTACTTTGTCTTTTATACAATTAATTGCCAGTTCAAATCTTATAAGGTTAAATTATAAAGTATTTATAAAGTAATGATTTTTTTAAAAATAGAACCTAAAAAAATTACCATTATTTTAAAATTTTATTTCAACAAATTTTGAAAGAAATTTTTTTAAGATAAAATAAAATAATGAAAACCTTTACTTTGTATAAATTTTCTAAAAAATGTATTTTTCACATAATTTTAAAATATTTTTTAAAAGACTAATATTTTTGTTCTATTGTCTCCAAAAACAAACAACGGGTAAGATAGGTTGGGCCAAACAGAACATCTTCATCGGCAGGCCCAGGAAGAATGTAATGTCATAATAGCCAGTGGAAACTGAGAACCCAAGCTTCTTCATGTCTCTACAGCCATGGATTGAAAAGTAACCTAACCGTTTACATGGATTCAATGTTGAGGTTTCGAAACCCACCAGAGCTTCCTCTTTCCTCACCTATGGCAAGTGCGCATTACTCTGTCTTCTCCCTACTCTCCCCTCATACTAATAGACGAACCCCTTCTCGTATTCTAGCTTCTTCAAAAACCCGCCCCCGGAAAAACTATTTGCGACCCAAAATTCTGAAAACCCTAACTAAACCCTACCCTTCCATCCTTCCTCTTCCACCGCCACCACAACCCATCCTCTGCCCTCAAGAAGACAACCTCTCTGTTGAAATTCCCCCCGACGAGACTCACGGCGGAGATATCGCCGGGGTTGTGGAAGAACCTGGTAAGTTGGAAGAGTTACAAGTAGCTGATGCCACTGCCAAAGACAATGGTGTTTTTTGCAACGTTTCTGCCGCAGATATCTTCAAATACGATGGTATGTATTTGGTTGGGGCTCTTTTGGTTCAGACGATTTGTTCCGTTTGGATTCTCAGAAATTACAATTCCAACCAGGAAGATAGGGATTTGGAAATAGATGGTAGGGAAAAGAGGAACCTTGTGTTGAACGGGAGTGAGAAAACTATGCAATTGCCGGTTACTGGTGCTAACAATGTTTTTCTTGTGGAGGACCAATTTGGAATGGAGAAGAAAATAGAGGAAATTAAGTTAATGGCAAGGGAAGTTCGGAGAATTGAGTTGGAGAAGAAAGGGAAAGAGGACGAGGATTCTGAAATGGAAGAAGATGAAAGCGCCCTTTCTAGTCATAGACTTGATATTGAGAAAGAAATTGGTGCACGCTTATTAAAGATGCAAAATAGGATAAATTGTAATAATGATAGTGCAGCTGCGTTACAGATTAATGCTCGTGGGAATTCTGCAGCTGGAGTGGCTAGGGATGTCAACAAGAATGTGAACCAGGGAAATGAGGCACTGGTATTTAAGAAGAAGTTTAAATTTAAAAGTCCTTCAACTAAGGCAACAAAAATTCCCAAGGGCTTTCCGGGGACCCGAAATTGGAGAGCATCTAATGCAAAAGGAGAGGATTCAGCAGGTAAGAGTGCAGCTCATGATCATGGAAGCAATGCTACTGATAGTGCAGAAATATTATGTGAAGATAAGCAAGTGAATCAACAAGATGTTGTGATGCATAAGAATATTTCTAGTGTTCCATCCGGAGAAAAAGGAAATTTTGTTGATGACGAGGTCAATGCAATTCAAGATCATGAGAAGAATTTGGAAGAAAAAATGGAGAAACCAAATATGACAACGGAAGTTGGAGTTAAAACCAAAAGCACTAATAATGGTAATGTGTTCAATGCTTAACTTCTAAATGGCTTCGTATCAGATAAATACTTGAATTCATAATCCATGACTTTATTTATTATTGCATTGTTCATTGGAGTAAAACATTTTAAAATACCTTTTCTTTCCCCATAAGTTTGGGTTATGCTGTTTCTTTTTGTGTTATTGTTTAGTTTTCAATATATATCAGAGTTAAGGCAGTAAAACTTTTCGTATGAGTTACAGTTTCAATTTTTATATAAATAGAACAAGGAACGTACATACTTTATTGGGTTGTTTGGCTGCTTGCTTGTTACAAGAAATAACCAGTGAAATATAGGTTAGTTTCTGATAAATGTAGCACAAATTGAGTTATTTTTATATGTTTAGGTGCTGCCCAGGAGACTAATTTTGGAATGTCTTCAGTTGAAGTAATACAGTCAAGTAAATCAAGAGAATTGAGGACACAAAACTCTCGGGGTACTTTTGTGGAAGAAAACCAGGACACTGGCTCAATTTTTGAAAAGGGTGATGTGCACAGTATAAACGGCAGTTCAAGACAAGGATTAGCTAAAAAAAAATCAGTGGCTAACAGAGTCAAAGTTAAGCAAGCAAATACTAAGACTGATATATGGTGGCTGAAACTCCGTTATGTTCTTGTATGTGCAATAAAATTCTCTTTTGTTGACTTGTTATTCTGTAGTACAACCAAAGAGTCTATACCATTACTTAATATTCAAAACCTCGTTATTCTTAAAGCTGTGGAACCTTTAAAAAAATTTGTTGTGTCAAGTACATATAGATTACTTATTAATAAACTTAGGCAAAGCAAATGTCCTACATTGTAGGACACAAACTCTAGAATTCTTTTGGTACTGGTCAAAGTTAGCTTGAACCGCCATTTACCATTAGTCATTATGCATGTCCCTGTGTGTATCCATTTGCATCTGACCATGAAGTCACTATCTATATTTTTGAAGGTCATTCTCATGCAAAGAGATTCGGACGGAGGATCAAAAGGTCTCTATACCTTAAAGTTCACTTCTAAGGAACAGGACCAAAGTGATGATTCATATACTGTTGCTTTTGAAGATCATGCTGATGCCAACAACTTCTGTTTTCTATTGGAATCGTTTTTCAAAGATTTGGGTGATTTTAGTGCTGATGCAGTTCCTATGTCAATACAAGTAAGAATCTTATATGCGCTAACATATAACTAAAATGTCTCACTTCTTATTGCTGGCCCCAAACCAGGCATATAGAAATTGAAACTGATCATATAGTGGCCAATCGAGTAAACCTTTAGGTAGCTGTTAAATGTACAATCATGTTTGAAATATCACGTCCTAAGTGGCTCGTCTAATTTTTTTTGCAGGAACTGAATGAAGTAGTAGTATCACGTGCCAAGAAAGTGGTAGTTGTGAAAAAGCAGCAGCTTCAACTCTATGCTGGGCAACCACTTACTGATGTTGAGATGGCCCTTTGCTCTATAATAGAACAAGATCAAAAGGCGCCATAATTGATCAGATTGAGGTGACCGCTACTTTATTGATCCCCACACAAACAATGTCCACATGAAGTCTTGAAGAAACAGAAACTCCCACCACAGTTGGGGGTCTACGTCACATCCATCAAAGTCCAAGGTTGGGAGTTGATGGAGCCAACTGCTGAGCACAGAGGTGAAAAAATGCTTGATACTGACTGAACCTTGGTGGTCTACCTTTGAGAAAAATTTCCCTCTAAAAGGAAGTGCACGCTGGATCCTCTAATACTTAATCATATTAAGTCCCAATGGTTATTGGGGGAGAAGGTGGTGAAGGGGGTTGGAAAGAATATGTAGGGGAAATTCATACTCTATGTAATGCAAAATCTGAAATTTGAAAAATCAATTCAAACGTCACGAATATTAATTTTGATCCACGAACGGCGCAAACTTTGAAGAATAATAATGCGAGACAAAATATTTACAGTTTGGCATGAATTCATGCAACCTAAACCCGTATGTGAAACGAAGGCGTTTCCAATTTCTTATTTTTCATAATAAAATTGTGGCAACGGTATAATTGGAATATACTACAGAGAACTGGCCGAAATTTTTATTCCATCATTACTCATACTGACCGGAGCACTATCAAAAGAGGAAAAAACTTTATGGTTTCCTGTGTTTCACAAAATCTTATTATTTCGTGACGTAATTTTTTTGGTTTAGTTCCTTTTGCATTATCATTGATGAGTTTGTTTGTTTCTAGTCGGGCTTTCAGGATTAACAATCTTTAACATTGAAAGAGCATGAATGGCTATCGGCTTGGATTGGCAGAAGCTCTGCCACACCTCCTGCTTCTGTTCCTTATCCTTCGCAAGTGTCTCATACACTGACGTTGCAATGCTTCGTGCTGGATCTTTCGCCTCGGAAAGTCTATCATTCAGTAATTCAGCTGCCACTTTAATCAACTCTGCTAGCCAAGACTCTTCCATTTCATACCATAAGAGCAGTGCACAGACACCAATGCAACAAACATGGATAAAATGCTCCCAGGACACTGGTTCGGACTAGAAGTTTTCAAAAGATATACTAAAATACACATCTTGGGATTTTCATTGCAATCTAACATAATTTTTAATTAAAAAAATCACTTTTAATTCTTTAACCAATGATTTGAGAGCATAAGTTAACAAGACTTTAAAATGTAACTCCAAATTTACCATTTTGGAGAGAGAAATAGCAGCCTTTGCCCTGACTCAGATTGGCATGGCTAACATATGCCCGCAGTTTCTGAAGCAGGAAAAGAAGGATCATGGATTCCCCCATCGAGCCAATTGCCCTGTCTGCTTCTTCGCATACAAATCGTTTATCCTTAGATGCTTTCAGCAATAGCTGCAATAGCTGTTGAAATTTGAACAACGAGACAAATCCAAGTCATGGATCATACAATCAAACCAAAACCATGAATCCACAAAACAAGTTCACAGAAAAGGCAATTGAGCCCACACACCAAGCCATCACACATGCATCGGAGGAGGAGGGGCCAAGCAACTTGTCATCAAAGGCATTGAAAACATCGGCAGCCGCCATAATAGAGGTTTTACAGAGAGCACTTTGAGGATTCTTCATTGTCTTCGCCACCACCAACACAACTTTTCCCCTGTTCACAACTTCACATTACACATTCCTCGAAACCCAATATCCCCAAAAACTAAATTTCCACATATATATTGTTTTAAAAGATACAAATTGAAAAGAAAAACCCATAACTGATGATGCCTTACAAATGGGCAGTGTAAGAGAAGAGTGGCACAATGGATAGCGCCTGGCGTCACTCGGCGATTCACACACCTTAGTCCCATTTTTTCGAATCTAGTTCTTCAATCAAAATCTACATTTTCAAAATAATTGAGAGTCAACGCCGAAATTCAAAGAGCAAAACGACACAAGAAGTGATCTTCATATGAAAACAAAATCTACTTGAATCTTGTTTTCAGAGTCGGGAATGGGTACAAGGGTCTCAGAGGAGATATTATCAATGGTAGCATCTCCAGATGAAGGCAATGGAAGCCAGTTCGGGTCATTCTCGACAAGACCCGTTTGGTTGTGGAAGATAACAGAGATTTGGGATTGTTTTCGGGTTATCGATGGCAGTGTTGGAAGAGCGTTATCAATGGGTCTGAGAATTCATTGTCACTGATGCAGAGGAATTAACCGCGAATATTAATGTGAATTGTAAATTATAATTTTATAATTATCTTATATTAATAGACAGTCAGTTCATGGTTTAACTAAAATGACGTTAATACTCGAATCATACCTGTTTATCTACAAATATATAGAATACCTTTAATGGTTTTTACTTCCTTCCAAGATGCACGATGCACGTAAACGATTGAAAAACAGAGTAATTTAATTCACTAAGCTTACGAAATCATGTAAAATAATGTAAGTTTTGAAAGTTAAAGTTCCATCCATATGGAACCAAATAGAGTCAACAGTAAGTTTACTTGTATGACACGCGTGGGAGGAAGAGCATTCCTCTTGCTGAATGCCTGTCATTTTACTTATATGACTTGTCATTATTGTAGTAATTGTATTATTTGAATATAATGGCTTTTTTATTTAATAAATACATATTTAAAAATTAATTATTAAAATAATATTTGTTTGAAATTAATTTTCTATCTAGTACAATTTTTTGTCATATTAATACCGATGATAAATATTTTTTTTATTTTTTAATATTTTATCAGCCACAGTTAAGCTGATACTATTCTGTTAAGTGACATGTGAAAAACAAAAATTCAATAAAAAATAAAATAATAATAATAATAATATCAAAAGATAGTCATTCTTTTATTATTATTTGACACTTTATCGGCCAAGAATCCTCTCTCCTATCTGGGCAAAAGGTTAGGTGTGTGAGTTTTTTATCTAGTATTTTGTTATTTGCATGATTATGAGTTGCTTTCGTACACGTGTTGTCGGCATGCAAATTTCCCAGTTCTGGCTTGACAATGATTTTGCTTCGGAAAAGGTTTTCTACCCTGTTATGAATGTAGGTGCTTAGGTGCGCTTTTTTTTCAGCATGTTTTAACTTTTGAATTCTTCGCCAGTGTTTCTTCATCAGACCTGGTTTCAAAGTGGATGGGTGAAAGTGAAAAGCTGGTTTCAAATCTTTTCCAAATGGCCCGTGAATGTACACCTTCTATCATATTTATTGATGAAATAGATTCTCTCTGTGGTCAGCGTGGAGAAGGTAATGAGAGTGAAGCTTCAAGCCGAATTAAAATTGAACTTCTGGTGCAGATGCAGGTAATATATTTATGGTGCCATGGTGGGGATACGTTGATTAGAACAGTGTTTTAGTTGAAATTACAATTTCATTATCCTGAACAAGTTGAGAAGCTTGAGTATGTAGCTGTAATGCTGTATATATGAATCATCTATTTAAATTTCAATTCCTGCCAATAAATGTAATTGGTTTCTTACTTAGAGCTCAAAGATATTGTGATGCTTGACAAAAATTACTCAATCTTCTTGATTGTGTGAACATTTGCAGTTGTCCATCATCACTTGACTAGCCAAGACTAGACTTGAGTTATATATTATGCTATGTAGAAATCTGTAAAATTTCATTTGCCCCCATAAGATCGGTATGGACTAAATGTGGCTGATAAAGTGTTAAATAATAATAAAAAATAATTATTAATTTTTTTTCTGATATTACTATTATTTTTTTTTGTCAAATTTTTATTTTTCACGTGTTAGTGCTAATTAATGCAGTACTATCGGCTTAACGTCACCAATAGAATATTAAAAAATAAAAAAATTTATCTATTATCAATGTATAACTGGGACTCCTACTGACATAGCAAAAAATTATATCTTAAATAAATATTATTTTAAAAATTAGTTTTTAAATATATATTAATTAAATAAATAAATCGTGTAACATCCTATGAAATTATTGACATCGCTTACTTTATTTTTATATATATATATAAATAAAAAAAATAGATTAAATGAAATAACAAGCTATAAGAAAAAAATTGTTGTCACAACACCAAATAATAAAGTAAACGAGACAGTATCTAACACCAAATAAAAATAAAATTTAAATTTTTATTATTTTTAATTAATTATAAATGCATATTTAAAATACTATACTAGAAAAGTGTATTATATATTACCATTCTTCTTAAAAAAATTGTTTTTAACGTTGTGTTTTCTTTGTTACATTAAAATTAGTTTATTGAACTCCAAATAGTGATATTTGTTATTTTAAATTACTGTTTTGATGAATTCGGAAATTTTTACAATAAAATTATCAGGTGAGTAGAATTTTGTATTCAACTTTTATAGTTTCTTTAAATTTATTATGTATATATATTATAATTTTAACTTAAATTTATATACCTATAATTATATAAGTACATATTTACTTTTACATTTCGCGTTAACACATAAATTTATATATATATATATATAGAATAATCTTTTTACACCAGTGAAAGTTTAAAAGCTCTTACATCTAATTTGAGCTTCTCATTTAACATAAATTTAATGGTCATTAAAATAATAAATTATAATCCGTTAGATTTAAGTTAAATTAAAGGCTCAGATTAAATGTAAGAGTTTTTAGACTTCGGTCTAAAAAGATTTATATGTATATAACTTATCATAAAATTTTCTTTAAAAAAATAAACTAATTGAAGAAAATAAATACTTAAACTATTTTTTTATTTGTTAAAACTCGATTTTTGTTCTCATTTTCAGATAAAAACAAAATTGATCAATATTTTAAATTTACATATTCTAATTTCAATTTAATATAATTTTTATTTTTACAAAGTTTGTAGCTATAAATATTTTTTACGTGCTTATTAAAATAATAATTTTTAATTATTTTACCTTCCTTTTAATAATATTCTTGAAAAAAAAATTTACCATTGTCACATGTGTACTTTTTGAACTATATAATAACATACAATTAAATAATGTTTATTGAAGAAAATAAAATTAATTTTAAAACTTCACCTATTTTTATTTCTCATATATAAATTTATTAATTCAACCAATAAGTTCTATAACATTAATTTTTTTCCTCTGACAATTATATAATATAGTTTTGATGTTATATTAAATTTAAAATAATATAAATATTTATTACCATATAATTTAATTGTTGAAGTTTACTTGTACTTTAAATGTCATCTTACACGTAAAAATGAAATATTAATTTTTAAAGAAATTAAAAAAATTTGTAAACTTATTTGTGAAAAGTTATTAAAAGTGTTGATTTATTTAGTTTGACATTTTATATCAATGTATCTACATATATAATATTTATTATTCTCAATTTAATTATGGTAACATAAATTCATAGAAAGAGATAAATTAAAAGAGATTATTACATAATACAGAACAACTTTTATTTTCATTTTTTGGAAAAAAATTGTATTTCTGAACAGACTTTTATTTAAGTATTTATTAGAAATTAATAGACATTTATATTTTTTCAAATAAATTAATAATTTAATTATTATTAATAAAAATTAAAAGTAATAATTATTTCGA